CCAATAAAAATTTTAATATCATATTTAAATAACACAAGTAATTCTGCAATAATTTGCATTTACATTTACATTACTTTAAATACTGTTTATTTTGTACAAGCCAGTAATAACAATACCTAGAACCATACTATATCTACCTAGAAACTATCCGAAAAAATTAAATATGTTATCTAATAGAGAATTTCGCAAGGATCTGCAAGCCATCCTTTAGATATTTAGACTTAGTGTTCACGCAATAACCACAATCAAAATAAGTAACTTAATTTTCCTTATGATATATTTTCGAACGCAAATTTTCTTGATTTGAATCTCCTAATTAGAATATCCCGTTGATAAATTTTATATTCCCCATTCAATTTCTGTTAAATTTCTCTATAGAAAGGACTAAAACAATTACCCAAAAAGCAGAAAAGGAATAAACTAAATTACACACGACTGGTTTAATTATTTCACTTACCAGTGTACGAAACAACGCACATCCAAGGTATGTAGATACTGAAATCAAGAAAGAGTGATATTACTTATACGTATGTATCATTTCGTACATTTTTAAATGCATCAGCGTTCCATGGAAACCCAGTCTTTGCGTTAAAATCCGGGTTTATAACGAAAATACGATTACACTACAATACTAACCGGGGAATATTATCACATAACAAAAATGTATTGCATAGGTACAAAATTTAGGAGGAACTAATTCTAATCAAGAATATATGCAATCACAGGATATGGTCGATTGGCGTCCGACGGCACACGCACAATCACACATAACTCACTAAATTAGTGGTTTCCGCGATTCCCCACGCTATAAATTATTCACAAAACACAAAACTCGTCTATTAACAGTAAATATAGGCGATGATCAATCATAACTTATCAAGAAAGGTCGCTCGCAACAAAAGCATGAGAAGCGTGCCGACATCGTATCGTATCGGATAATGCAAATCATAGGAAATATTGAAACAAAGAAAAATGTACATTTCTAGGTGTAAGACCACGCGGTTAAAGTGAAACTCAGAATGTTATAGGTATAGGATAACATACGGATTGTTTCTTCAAAGGGTTAAAGTGAAGAAAAGCGAAAACATACCTTAGCGCAAAATAATTTTTTTCTTTTGGTTATCCAGCATAAGATGTAAGCAGATGTAATTATGTATATAATAGAATAGATGAAAACACTAAACTGATTAGAGGCAACGCGAAGTTGATAGAGTATCCGACGGCCGACGGTACATCACACAAGCAGAGGTAAATCTACGTATGTTCAATCCGCGTTTAACGAACACTGCATATCAGTTTACGAGATATTCGCGTTTGAATAAAATGGGCAAAAATTGAAAAATGTCACTTTTTAGCACTTTTAGTCGCGATTTACCACCTTTTACTGTAGGAAATATAATTATTTTAAATTTTTATCTGATACATAATTTTCCAATCTATCATAATCAGTAATTTGTTGGTTACTGTGGCTTTTAGTTTAAGAGATATGAATTTTCAAAAATCGTCGAAAAAAAGTATCAAGCACCCCCCCTTGGCAATTTTTTCTTAAGAATGAAAATTTCATCTCTCAGATTTCCTTTTAACTATCGTATCTGATAGAGATTGGTCCGTACATTAAGACGCTGCGATCAGATCTTAATTATCTCTTTTAGTTTACGAGATATTCGCGTTTGAATAAAATGGGCAAAAATTGAAAAATGTCACTTTTTAGCACTTTTAGTCGCGATTTTCCACCTTTTACTGTAGGAAATATAATTATTTTATATTTTTATCTGATACATAATTTTCCAATCTATCATAATCAGTAATTTGTTGGTTACTGTGGCTTTTAGTTTAAGAGATATGAATTTTCAAAAATCGTCGAAAAAAAGTATCAAGCACCCCCCCTTGGCAATTTTTTCTTAAGAATGAAAATTTCATCTCTCAGATTTCCTCTTTAACTATCGTATCTGATAGAGATTGGTCCGTACATTAAGACGCTGCGATCAGATCTTAATTATCTCTTTTAGTTTACGAGATATTCGCGTTTGAATAAAATGGGCAAAAATTGAAAAATGTCACTTTTTAGCACTTTTAGTCGCGATTTACCACCTTTTACTGTAGGAAATATAATTATTTTAAATTTTTATCTGATAGAGAATTTTCCAGTCTTTCATAATCAGCAATTTGTTGGTTGCTGTGGCTTTTAGTTTAAGAGATATGAATTTTCAAAAATCGTCGAAAAAAAGTATCAAGCACCCCCCCTTGGCAATTTTTTCTTAAGAATGAAAATTTCATCTCTCAGATTTCCCTTTTAACTATCGTATCTGATAGAGATTGGTCCGTACATTAAGACGCTGCGATCAGATCTTAATTATCTCTTTTAGTTTACGAGATATTCGCGTTTGAATAAAATGGGCAAAAATTGAAAAATGTCACTTTTTAGCACTTTTAGTCGCGATTTTCCACCTTTTACTGTAGGAAATATAATTATTTTATATTTTTATCTGATACAGAATTTTCCAATCTATCATAATCAGTAATTTGTTGGTTACTGTGGCTTTTAGTTTAAGAGATATGAATTTTCAAAAATCGTCGAAAAAAAGTATCAAGCACCCCCCCTTGGCAATTTTTTCGTAAGAATGAAAATTTCATCTCTCAGATTTCCTATTTAACTATCGTATCTGATAGAGATTGGTCCGTACATTAAGACGCTGCGATCAGATCTTAATTATCTCTTTTAGTTTACGAGATATTCGCGTTTGAATAAAATGGGCAAAAATTGAAAAATGTCACTTTTTAGCACTTTTAGTCGCGATTTTCCACCTTTTACTGTAGGAAATATAATTATTTTATATTTTTATCTGATACAGAATTTTCCAATCTATCATAATCAGTAATTTGTTGGTTACTGTGGCTTTTAGTTTAAGAGATATGAATTTTCAAAAATCGTCGAAAAAAAGTATCAAGCACCCCCCCTTGGCAATTTTTTCTTAAGAATGAAAATTTCATCTCTCAGATTTCCTCTTTAACTATCGTATCTGATAGAGATTGGTCCGTACATTAAGACGCTGCGATCAGATCTTAATTATCTCTTTTAGTTTACGAGATATTCGCGTTTGAATAAAATGGGCAAAAATTGAAAAATGTCACTTTTTAGCACTTTTAGTCGCGATTTACCACCTTTTACTGTAGGAAATATAATTATTTTAAATTTTTATCTGATAGAGAATTTTCCAGTCTTTCATAATCAGCAATTTGTTGGTTGCTGTGGCTTTTAGTTTAAGAGATATGAATTTTCAAAAATCGTCGAAAAAAAGTATCAAGCACCCCCCCTTGGCAATTTTTTCTTAAGAATGAAAATTTCATCTCTCAGATTTCCTCTTTAACTATCGTATCTGATAGAGATTGGTCCGTACATTAAGACGCTGCGATCAGATCTTAATTATCTCTTTTAGTTTACGAGATATTCGCGTTTGAATAAAATGGGCAAAAATTGAAAAATGTCACTTTTTAGCACTTTTAGTCGCGATTTTCCACCTTTTACTGTAGGAAATATAATTATTTTATATTTTTATCTGATACATAATTTTCCAATCTATCATAATCAGTAATTTGTTGGTTACTGTGGCTTTTAGTTTAAGAGATATGAATTTTCAAAAATCGTCGAAAAAAAGTATCAAGCACCCCCCCTTGGCAAGTTTTTCTTAAGAATGAAAATTTCATCTCTCAGATTTCCCTTTTAACTATCGTATCTGATAGAGATTGGTCCGTACATTAAGACGCTGCGATCAGATCTTAATTATCTCTTTTAGTTTACGAGATATTCGCGTTTGAATAAAATGGGCAAAAATTGAAAAATGTCACTTTTTAGCACTTTTAGTCGCGATTTTCGACCTTTTACTGTAGGAAATATAATTATTTTATATTTTTATCTGATACAGAATTTTCCAATCTATCATAATCAGTAATTTGTTGGTTACTGTGGCTTTTAGTTTAAGAGATATGAATTTTCAAAAATCGTCGAAAAAAAGTATCAAGCACCCCCCCTTGGCAATTTTTTCTTAAGAATGAAAATTTCATCTCTCAGATTTCCTTTTTAACTATCGTATCTGATAGAGATTGGTCCGTACATTAAGACGCTGCGATCAGATCTTAATTATCTCTTTTAGTTTACGAGATATTCGCGTTTGAATAAAATGGGCAAAAATTGAAAAATGTCACTTTTTAGCACTTTTAGTCGCGATTTTCCACCTTTTACTGTAGGAAATATAATTATTTTATATTTTTATCTGATACAGAATTTTCCAATCTATCATAATCAGTAATTTGTTGGTTACTGTGGCTTTTAGTTTAAGAGATATGAATTTTCAAAAATCGTCGAAAAAAAGTATCAAGCACCCCCCCTTGGCAATTTTTTCTTAAGAATGAAAATTTCATCTCTCAGATTTCCCTTTTAACTATCGTATCTGATAGAGATTGGTCCGTACATTAAGACGCTGCGATCAGATCTTAATTATCTCTTTTAGTTTACGAGATATTCGCGTTTGAATAAAATGGGCAAAAATTGAAAAATGTCACTTTTTAGCACTTTTAGTCGCCATTTTCCACCTTTTACTGTAGGAAATATAATTATTTTATATTTTTATCTGATACAGAATTTTCCAATCTATCATAATCAGTAATTTGTTGGTTACTATGGCTTTTAGTTTAAGAGATATGAATTTTCAAAAATCGTCGAATAAAAGTATCATGCACCCCCCCTTGGCAATTTTTTCTTAAGAATGAAAATTTCATCTCTCAGATTTTCCTTTTAACTATCGTATCTGATAGAGATTGGTCCGTACATTAAGACGCTGCGATCAGATCTTAATTATCTCTTTTAGTTTACGAGATATTCGCGTTTGAATAAAATGGGCAAAAATTGAAAAATGTCACTTTTTAGCACTTTTACTCGCGATTTTCGACCTTTAATAATTTTATTATTATGAATAAAATAGTAATCTATAATATAAAATGAATCGCAAAAGTGTTGTTAACCACTGTAAACGTTACTTACTACACTTGATACGTATACCATAATGATGGCCGAAAACTGTGTAGGGTGTGACAGAAGTCTTATTGTGTGAGTGAAAAAGAAGACCGGCTTCAGTCTCATTCCTTCGAGCGGGATGAAAAAAAATTAAATTACCAAAATGGCTTTAAAAATATAGGGGTTGGTGATAAAAAAGTAAATATTTAGAGTTGTATGTATTTTTTAATACCACATTATAATTTTAAGTGTATTTGGCACTATTAGTTCAGTTAATCAAGTTTTACATACTTACACACTTATAATAAGTAAGTTACTCTTTGTCTACACTAAAATTTTTCTAGAAACTAGAAATAATTTATATGGCTAAACAACGTTTGCCCGGTTAACTAGTATATATATTACATATGGTACTCAAGGTTTTAGATCTCACTATTTAAGAAATAAGCCACGAGGCGGCGCTAAGGTAGATACTTTACTAGCGTATACAAAACTTGTTTATACACAAAGGCGTAACGATCAAATAACTTTATGATTTAGTCTGAAATTCTCAAAACGAACTGTTACTACAATTTTATTATTATCGGCTTATTTATTATCGGCCATAAGTATATGAATTTCCATATTTAATTAGTTTTCCAAAAAGACTGACACATTGTGTCCAAACACAGATTCGCAAACACTAAGTTTGAAATCAATTGACTTTCAGAGACAATTAGAGACTATAAAGAATTTAATTATTTCACATACCTGAATCAAATATCGTAAATCCAAATCAAGTAGATACTGAATTTTAGTTGCACAAGTTCGCAGATTATTGGAGTGCATTTGCGTTCCATTGACTATGAACCAGTATTATTGGCAGTAACCGTGGCAGTAACAAACAACTAAACAACAACTAAACATAAACAGTATCATTCGCATTTATCGGTATTACTAGCGCCACCTTGATTTTTTGAAGTGAAAACAAATACACTGCACCAACTTATCATGTTTTAACCTCCGATTAATGCCCCGATTCAACCTGAATCTCCGGACAAACTTGTCGCAACTTGAATTATGGCGTCTATGACGTTTGGTCAAAAAACCTTCACGCCAACGCCTCCGGACAAGGGCAGCTTTCCATTAGATCACGAAGGACTCTGCAAAAAGTTAATGATCAAGTACATGACTTGTTTGCACACTCACGATAACCAGAATTCCGAGTGTCGCAAGGAATCGCAAGACTATCTGGCTTGCCGAATGGAGAATAATTTGATGGCCAAGGAAGATTGGTCCAAATTAGGCTTTTAATATGATTAATATACTAATTTGTTGCACTGGCAGTGTAGCTACAATAAAACTGCCTAGCCTTGTTCAACAACTTTTAAAAACTGAGAAATTTAAGGTTGGTTTAACATATTTCATTGCATTACATTGCATTAATCATACATATTTTGTTAGGTGCTAATTATTGCAACAGAACATTCAACCAAATTTTTTGATAAAAATGATATCCCAACTTCTGTTCAAATCTACAAGGACAAGGATGAATGGACTGCATGGAATAAAAGGGGCGATCCAATTCTACATATTGATCTAGGAAAATGGGCTGATATTTTACTGATTGCACCTTTAGATGCCAATACCTTAGCTAAAATTGCAAATGTATGTATAATATACTGAAAATGTTATCCTAAATAATAAATTTTTGATTATGAAGTTACATGAAATGCGTTTCTAGGGAATATGTGATAATCTTCTTACTAGCACTGTAAGGGCTTGGGATATATCAAAACCTCTTGTGTTTTGCCCCGCAATGAACACCAAAATGTATATTCATCCATTAACTAAGGAACAAATTGAAAAATTATTAAGTTGGGGTTATCATTTAATACCAGTGATTGAGAAGACTTTGGTTTGTGGAGATACTGGAGTAGGAGCAATGGCAGAAGTTGATACAATTGTTTCCAGAGTCAGTGATATTGTAAAACGAAATTAAGTAGTTATTTGTAAAATAAATTTAATAAACTGGGCAGTTTATGTTTTTCCTTAAATAAAGATACTTCTTTTCCCTCTACTTCTGTTTCTACATGACCCAATTGGAAGATATGACAGTTCCAAGATTGATGAACTTAAAAACAAGTTTTAAAAATAATTTACTCTGAAACAAGAATACAAGCATTCTACATACATACAACTAATCCCGCGAAATGTAAAAGTATTTTATCAGCTTAAAATTGATTGAGGTGTCGGCAATATCGTAGTCAAAATTTTACACCAACCAAAGAATAAGAGCATTTGCCAAACTCTCTTATACAATGCCCTAACTTATTTCTTAGATGAAGCAACATGTACAATCATCAATTACTGAATAATATTATTTAAACATGTACATATTTCCTATGTACATATATTTATAATAGAGTAGTTTTTCTGTTGCAAAACATAACATAAAATTCGCTACACATCACAGACTTTTATCTATTTTTTAAGTGAAACAAGTTCTATTGATACTATTTTTAAAATCAATATAAAAGTATACCGTCATCACGTTAAGGGTTTGTTTAGTCTTCAGGTTTGCATCATGTATAAAATAATATAATCTTGACACAAAGAGAGAAGTAATAGATAAAAACTATATCGTCTAGATATGTTACAATTTACAAGATGACTCAGTAAAGGTATACAAACATTATTGGTTACTTCTCAATGCTTAATATGTTTCATGTCCTTCAATTTTAATATATTTAGAAAATGATTTTCAAATCCGTGTGTGTGTGTGTGGATCATTTCTATTTCGCTAATATCTAATCTAATTAAATGGTGTGTAAACGTTTTGCGTTATGTACATTAAATATTTATGTATAGACTAAATAAAAAACATACATTGGTCTAACAAGATTACACTGTGTACGTGAAATTAGTATTTGTATGGATAAATTCCTAATATTTTTTATCAAAATTTATCGTAATTTGTGATCCTCAAATCGTGTGTTTAGTATGTGCAATTAGAGATATGTAACCATAGACACATATATTTCACAAGCTTTGTTTTCTAAACACATAGAATTGTTTGCATGTGAAGCTTGACCGAAGAAGAAACTGATAAATACAAATGATGCCCTTTAATACCAATGATTTAATACAATATTTAAACAAATAACTAAGACCGACGCTTTTGTCGAATAACATATTGTTGACTTGCAATTCAATTTGGATGTTGATTGAATTGGATCCACACTTTGAACTTGGCTATTGGTTATTGGCATGTTTTGGACTTAGGCCAAACGATTAAATTTAGAACTGATTTCAATCCGGGCGTTTCCAGATAAATGCCAAGCGTGCAAAGTGACATGTGAAGATTCCAAATATCGCAAAGCAAATATTCCCAATCCGAATATTATATGTTAGGCACTTGTTTGGCAAGACGATATATCAACACAGCAATTTTCGGCACTCCATAAAGCAAACACCAATTTCATTCAATTAAGTAAGTCCGTCGTGCTCGAGAATCCAAATGTTGGGCGTTGTTGTAACAATGTTTGCTTTCAGTACCAACACTACTATAATTCTTGATTACAAATAACTGCACACTACGCTTCCCTCATAAAATATTTACATATAGTTACATTGATCTAAAAGCTAAACAATATTTTACATCTCTTATATTTAGTTTAGACTTAAGGCGCTAGTTATATTTTCCATTTATCACAATCTGTTTCATAATTTTAGTATAAATTAATAAGTATATAATTTTATTTCTGTTCTACTATGATCTGCTGTGAAAAAGTGTATCATCAGTGCATTCGAAGTTATTGTTGTGTTGCATATGCCGAGTGATCCATCGAATGATCAAAACGTTCACAATAAAAGGAGGACGGGAGTATAAAAGAGTTCCTTCACTGAGGTGCGCCATCGCGGCGGACTACTAACTGTCACGGCTTTTCGCGTGTAGTCGACGGGGCCAAGGGAAGGGCCAGTCCGGCCATTGCCTAGGAACTTGACCACCCACATTGCCCTCAAAGTACAGAAACAAATTGAACCACCACATGCGGCACAGAAGATTTTTCTCCGACGATTGCTGCAAGAGAAACCAACATATTTGATTAAATGCATCACTGATTAAACAACCATTTCGTAGGCAATTACCTTCAGACCACTATTGTTCGCCAACGTATGATAGATCCAGAAAATTCTGGTCGTCACATAGTAAGCGATAATCACATCTATCGTGTAGTGCGATCGAGACCATTGCAACATAAACACGCCAGTGACAGCAACCGCCCAATACAGCCAATGTACCAGATACAATTTTTTAGGAGTATCTATAACCCAGAGATAACAGAAGCATTAATTACTTCCTGCTGAATCACATGCAGACACAAACAAAACACTTACATTCCGAAATAAACAAATAACTTATAACTATCGTCAATGTATGCCCGCTGTAGATGAAGTCGCCGCAATATGTCTGCTTGCCGTTGATGGAGAGCCCCATACCGGACAACATTTGCACGACGCGTTTCGCCATGTCCAGCGTTGTGGTGTGATTGCTTTTCGGCGAACAATAGTACGTCGTGCTGGAGATTGGCAAGACCGTGACGAACATTGTCACCGAGCGATAGATATACAAAAGACTCATGATTAGGAACAGCCGACGTGCAATTATAAATCTGAAAATAACTTTACCGTCAGCATGTTATTTATACTAATGACAACAAAAGTACCTATGTTTGTGCAAAACAATAACAAATAACGTCGAGTTAAAGGCAAATATGATGAGATATTCGGACACAGTGAGGCCCCAATCGTGCACGCCGAAAAGATCGAAGAAAATGTCCGGCAACGGGCCGTAATCTTTGCGGTCCGGGACACGCTCATGCGTGGTCGCCAGCGAGATTAAAACTAATAAACTACTGAAGAACATAATCACCAATGCTGAAATGATACAACAATATGTAATAAAATACATAATGATAGGTAAGTTTAATTTATTTGTACCTATCAACGTTTTCCAACGCTCCTGAGGAAAACGTGGCTCTTCCCGCACAGGGGTGGGCATGTTGATTTTAATAATGCCATTCTGGTCGGCGTGCGGTTGCAGAGAGAGGTTGTCCTCGTCCTCCTCAACTGTGAACTCATGAATGTCCGGGTGGCCAGCGCTGCCCCATTTGTCCGCCTTCGTCGGCGTCGGCAGCAGCGGCTGGCGCTGGTAGAGATCGCCCTGTGTCATCACTGGCGGCTGCTGGCTGGGTGGATGCTGCGGCTGCGGCAAGGCTGCGTTGCCGTTGACGCCTATCAAATCGTGGACGGCGGTTGCGTTGTCCACTTCGGATTGATCATGCGGTGCTCGATTGACGACTTCACCGATTGAATGTATACTTCCATAATCAGCGAATTTGGGTTCAAGAACCATTCTGCAACACACATACACATCATTATTACTATAATCACTTCACGCGTTGTTTAATACAACAAATATTATTATCGTAAACCTCATTTCTGGTCTCTCAATGGTGAAAGCCGTCATAATTTTCCGGCGCTCGCAGCCACTCTTTTTCAACATCACACCTCGTAAGTACATGGCGGAGGCTATCAACGTTTTGAAAACTTGTTTTTAAATATTCTAATAGATACTGCCAACCTGTCACACCAAGGCTTCGATTCTTATCAATATTTTGCATATTCGTTATTTCGTTGAGGCACCTGCGTAACTGCGCTGTTAATTAGCGCGCGCAGGTTGTAAATTGAACAAAGGCCTCCTACAAGGGACCCACGTTATTTTTATAATTTAATTTAACGATAACTGCAAATGTTGTATGCATTGTAATTAACTAGAGAATGATACCCGAAATTTTACTCGTATAACTGCGGATCGACAATGCGGTGTGCAATCGTTTTGCTAATTTTGCTTCCAAGGTTTTGCCAAAAACGCATAAAACTAAACAAAACAAATCATTTAATTATATTCGTTGATTTACTAGGCAAAAAAGTGGGAAGGTGCAGGAATTGCAAATTTGTACGTTTTTCAAATGCGTGACATTCATTATCACATACTGCTGCTTTACTAACTCCACAGGTAGCAAATATCAACTGTAGTTACGAACAGCGTCACATGCCCGATACATACAACTATATAAATTATTTATGTGGTATGTATTGATAATTGACATTGACTACATGGAACGCTTAACGCATAGTTAGCACTTAAACAGAATCACCAATTAGATGATTTCGCAATTTTTGCGCATTTTGCATAAACACACGATCGGTGTTAACTTACATCTCGTCAATGTTACTTAAGTTCCGCAAGTGGCGACTTGAGTAATTCCTTTAAGGTTATGATTGCGCTCATCATGCGCTTTGGAGACCGTTATTGAGATTCTCTTCGGATACCGTTGCAGGGTCGCCACCTCATTCAACAAGTGTTCGTTCTCTCCCTGTCCAACGAGACAGAGTGTATACGTGACGCGTCCGAGATGCGAGAAAACAACACTTTGTACTTGCTGGCGAAATTATTCACCGGACCACCATTGGAACCTGTGACCGTAACATATTTACCGCGCAGATCGCCAACAGTCTAACATCGCCCCCGCACAAATATCACTAGCGCGGCTGATAAGCTAACGCGTTTTCGAAAACTAAGTCACAGGTTGCTTGCAGTGATGAGCACTGGAAGGAATGAGGGCTGAGTACGTTAAAGCGGGACACACATTAAAAAAAAAAGTCTTGATTACTGCTACAGTGAGCTGCGCGCACCGCCGCCGCTGACGCGCAAATGCTGCTTATGTCGCTGCTTACTCACTCGCTTGTGACGAGACGCAGTGAGTGGAAAGAGGCAAATGCGGCTTAAATATGGCGCTATCTCTGTTTGTTACACGACTACGCTTGCTGGTACACTTGGCCGGGCAGCGGCGAACGGTCGAAAGTCGCGCCCAACGGAAACCGTGCGGTTCTGTTTTACTGCGCAAGTTTGTTTTGTTGATACACTTCGCCGAAATTCGCCGTGTTAGATACAAGCCAACATCAAACGTCAGCAACAACGGCAGTCGGCCACTGATAACAAGCAATGATTAATTCATTACATCAGTTGCACTCTTTTTTCGTTCGAGAACTGTTGAATGAATCACTGCGATGACGTTTGTTTCGTTCACAATTCACAAATAAAACCTGGTTCAGTAATGCTTTTTTAATAGCATCTCTAAAACATCTTATATTATGTGTTTTCCGCTTGGAAATCTCTCATTTGGAGCATTTATTAAGTGAACGGTACAATGTACAATAGAGTAGAGTCAGTAGAGCAGTGGATATTTGTAAAAGGGATCTGGAATAATAAAAATTGAGTCTGGCACGGATGTAAAAAGCCGTTGTACGATTGCCCGCACAATTTAATGCGGCACAGATACAGCTTACAGCTAACAACCATATTGATTTACAGAATTACGCGCACAGACAGACGATTGATGTAAATAGAGAGATTGGAATAATAAACCACATGCTTCGGTTCGAAATTAAAAACAGATTTCACCGAGCGCTACATCTCCGCGTTGTATTATTATTAACGGGCAGTGCGCGCGCACTGTTTCAACAATAACTGCGATTGCTTCAGTAATAAGCGACTCCGCCATCCTACATTCCAAAGTGATTCTATTTGCTAAGGTCGCTGCGTTTAAAGCGTTTCAAACATTTCAAGGGCGATTTGCTTCACTCAATTAACACGCCGATGGAAAGAATCCGAATCACGAGAGTAAATTACATCACGAATTGAAAAGACAAAAAATATCTATCGCTATTTGCATCACAAGTGCATAGAAATAAATAATGCAGCAAACTACATGAATTTAAATATTTTAATAAATAATAATCATTGGAGTGCATGATGGATGTTAACGACGATTACGACAAACGACGTCAAAGTAAAATTATGTCACAAAAATGATTCCGAAGAATCCAAACTTTAGCTCTTCCAATCAATATCGAAATCTATAGAAACACGACATATGCGTCAAATTATGTGGGGTCACATATGTGATGACATACACGATTGTGTTGACAATGCTTGCAGCAACCTTGAGGAAAACAATAAAATTCAAGAATCCACCGGAATACGTAATGGTTTAATTACATTCGGGTAAATAACGTGAAGTATCGCGTATTGATAATGATAGTTTACTCTAGTAGCTGGCACACAAACGATTAGTGAAAATAAACATTAAACATTGCGGTACACCAGTTTTAAATGTGGTTACAAGCAAATAAACTATTAGAAGATAGATGGCACTAATTATTTACTGCAATAACCTCAATTGTGATCATTTATATTTCGGTTTGTGTAATTCAAGGTTTTTTATGGTATGCATGCTGTCAAATCATAAATTCACTGATAGTGTTTTTAAATGATACAATTACAAACTTGCTCATTGACCACACCACGTGCTGACCGGACTCGGATCACAGATAATATCAATTATGTCTAGTTGTAGCAATCAAAAAATTGCTCATCGTTATTTTAAAGTTTTTATCTTATCGATGATTAGTATCTCATTCAAACCTCTTTTATCTATTTTACAACTATACTAGTATGTAGTTTATAGTGGAATACTTGATGTTTTTATCTGTTTAGGGTTAGTGACCGATGTTTTTACCTATTTGCTGAAATTTTCAAGTTTAGATACGCGTACAGCGCAATGGTTAATAGTTTTGTTATCATAATTTTTTAATTTCTTTACTTTCAACCGCACATTCCAACTACTGATTGCGTTGACGTCAACATAAAATAAGTTTCCTTTAAGTTGAACTTGATAATGATAAACGCAATATTTCCAACAATTATTTCAACAACTGCGATAATAAGGTTTAATTTTTAACATAATTTAGTTGTTTTGAAAGAATTCAGGTTTTTCTGTGTTAGCGTAAGTAAAATTCTTATAAATTTCCATTTTGAACTACCTTTTGTATCAAAATTTTATTTAATTTCGACATTTTTCGCCTAAATGGAATTTTTAAAGTGTTAATACGACAATTCACGGACTTAAAAATGAAAATTAATATACCTATTACGTGATTACATAAACAAAATAAAAATAAAAACGAAATAAATAAAATTCTTATTAGCGTGGAAATGTGAACTGTGACATTCTTGCTATACATCTACAGTACGCTTTATTGTAAACTACCCACATTTGTTTATATTACACGTGCTTGAGCGTGTGAAGAGTATACAATCGTCGTAATATGCGCTCGTATGATCGGTGGGTCAAGGCACGTTCGCAACAATTAACCCAGTGGCTGTCAAACAGTAAATTGTAAATATTATTGTAATAGCTGTAAATTAGCTATGGGAATCGAACATGCTTTACAGGCGCTGATCAAAACAAACGTGTAAAGTAAATTCCTTCATTCTATTTCGATGGAAAGGTTCGCATGGTTCGTATATCTAAAATATGCATATTAATCACCGAAACAGCCTCGCAAGTATTATACAGGCAAAATTGTGTCCATCACTTATATTATGCCAATTGTATTTTAATTTTTCGTCATGGCTAAACAGCGGGAAATTTGAATTTTATCATTTTTGCTTGCATATTTTGTTAAATCTTAATAAAATAAATTCAAAAATGTAAGTAACATACATGTGTGATTATTTGAGTTACACACTGTTTGTTTGATCTTAATATTAAATAAATCATTAATAATCATCATTATATAAGAATTAAGAATATAAGAATTATCTTAAAGCAAAATTCTAAAAATTTTATCCCAAAAATCCAGCATGTTGATAAACACTTTGCGATAAATTTAGAAAATAATTTCAGTTCGTAATCAAAGTTCAAACAAATAACACTATTAATAAAATGAGCGAAACGTGTTTATTCAAAGCTTTCGCTTATAAATTATGATTATTCCAAGAATGCGTTGTTCACGTATCGATGATTCAACTATTGAACAAACATTACTAATAGTATTGAACAATGCTAACAATATATCTTACTTGTTAATTCCGCAGCAAATTTACTAGGAATAGGCGATAACTTTTTTGATCTTCCTGTGGGCCTGCAGAATTTCACCACTTTGCTTGCGCCATTAACTGATTAACTTGCGACTGTCAACGATAACAAAGCGTTTCTGGAGGCAGCCGATATAATTGCCCTTTCGATAACAATATCTCAGACAAACAACGCTGTTCCCGGCGTAATTTACATAAACACATCCACACAAGCACACACAATGTTTAATGATGTTTCAATAAAAATTCAATCAAGGGAAAAGTAAACCTCAACCAAAGACTCTACCAATCGATTGAAACATCGAAAGACGACTCGTACGTTCCCGCAGGTTTTTTTTTTCACTGTTTGTCTTCACTTAATCGATCACACCATCACACTTTAAGGGTTTCTTTGTAAGGATTCACTATATATGCAAGATGAGTCAACCGCTGTTGGAAACTTACAAATCTCGACTGTCGAGTGCGTGTGTGAGTGTAGCATCAACAGCCGGCTTCATTATGCTCGTATGGAAATTGTAATTGAGTGACGTGACGCCGGGCTCGCCAGTTTTGAGACTAATTACGCGCCACTCGAACGCGTGCTGCTACTGCTACCGCTCTACCCACGCCAACGACGTAATACAATACGGCTTTAATTGTCTTATTCGCCATTCACTTGGATGTGTATTTAGAGTATTTACACGTTTACACGAATGCGCTCGAATGGGTATGGATTGGCGCGCGCTGCTTGTTGCAGCACTGCCTCTGATGTTACGACTGATTTAACTCCAACTCGCACGATGAAAGTGAATTGCCAACTTCGGAATGCCGCTGTAGTGGTAACACGTGAGAGTAGTTCGAGAGAAATTTTAAGTTGCAATGACTAAAGAGAAATTTCCATTTCGTGCCAATTCCGACGCTTCCAGCTGCACACTCTGCTGCAAAACTGGTTTTTACGTAATCGCTTTTACCAATTAACTGGTAATAAACTTAAATGTATCTACAGTTTGTTGATAATACGCACATGTTTAAATTTTTATATTTAATTTAAACTAAACAATGAAAAACACTTGTTTTCTGGGTTGCATACATTTTAAACTAATAGCAATACTTTGAGACATGTAAATTGGGTTGCCTATATATATTCTTAACCTATTAATTTATATCTTTTTATTCTCACCTCAATAAAGCCTTCTTCCACTTTTCTCCAGTTTCGATGACAATCATTTGCAACTTCATTATGATGAACATCAACTTCAGTTCACGAAATAACTCACACTTCTAGTTTAGAACTTAACAAGTCCACTTTGTAAAAGTTTTATTGCAATGGCAGAAACTTAGCGTGCCAATTGTCAAAAATAACTGCTTTCCAAAACGTTACTTTCGCACAAATTCATAAAAGCTGCCAACACTGAGCGCACTTTTACAAATATCACGAAAGCAAATAAACAACGCAGGGAATACGCTATCTGACAACATTAATTGCACAAATTACGTCGTAAACTCACTTCGAAGTGAGTTGAACTAAAACGCTTGGAAGACTGACAGCTTGACAAAAGTATTCAGGACGAACTGTTCTTGAAGAATATTTTTCCAAATGTAATGCGACTAAGCTACTAAGCAAACGGTACGTAAACGTATAACGTCTCGATATAATCAATCAATATTTTCGTCACGTAGATTTTAATTTAATTCATTCCGAAGCACAGAGCCGTATTTAAATTAGTTCACCAAATTTATATCAATGTATTTCTTCTGGGTTTTCTTTGTTTATTTTTATATAAATACAAGTCTGAATTCGTTAACATGCGGAAGCGCATGATATGACAACCAAGGTGCATTTCAATCGCACATTTTTTTAGTCACATTGACCCCGTTTGTGTTATTTGATTTTTTCTGCAACTGACATAAAATCAATTCCCGAATCGAATTGAATATTACAAAAATAATTAGATATGGGTGCGGCCAGCGTTGATGCCGGCGCGCTGCTTATTTACAAATGCATTCGTTCAATCCGCCCGCATCCCGGGGTTGGCGTAGTTCGATGATAAAAGACGCTCGGGCGTGAAAATATAAATGTCACGCGGCGACCTTTTCAACGCTGTCGTCAGCCGATCTAATGCGGAATTCGTAAAGTTCAACACCAACACGTCGCACTATCAGTAAAGTGGGCCGCCACTTCAACCACCGCGCACAATTCGTTTCCTTATCACGCGCTCGCCACCACTTAAAACAGCACTCATATTCCAACCACAAGCGCAATCAGCTGATCGACACACTTCCACGCTTGTAAATCGATGCGTAAAGCGACCCGATGTTTTAGTTGCGATTATTGTCATCAGTCGGCTTCGGCGGCTAATTGTTAGTGTCATTATTGGAGGGCGCGCGAGATGACACGAGCACAATGCGAGAACGAGAGAATGGTGAGCGTCACAACCGCGAAATCGTTGTGCACGTCCTTCGCAATATCCTGATTCATGCCGGGCAGAGGAGGTGTGTGTGTGGGTTTGCGATCGGGGTAGCACGCGCATGCGTAGAGGATACAGACGGGTCCAATGAGGAAATCTACTGGATCATTTTACGCGACACTGCTATTTAGGTATATTTAGCGTGCAGGCAGCGATTTCACAATGTTTTTGCAAAACAGACATTTCCCAATAGATTGCTGTTCGATTTAATTGGATGCTTTCATGAATCATTTCAAGCATGTGGTGTGATTCACAACGTCTAGTCCAGTCTAGACTCTTTGCTGATGACGCAGATTGAACGCGATAAAAAGGGTGCAAATGAGTGGAAGTTTTATATTCTCTTATGATTTAATCGATTTCCAGCGCACACTTCAAATAATACTTGATTATTTACGGAGAATTTTTAATTAAAACACAATCAAATTTTTTTCACCAACAGCTTATTTCTAACTTTATAAAATATTCAAAACTTCATTATAAGCAAATTGTCTACTATTAAACAATATCTATTTGTTGTGACAAAGCGCCTGTCATTTAAATTTGAATCGCACCACATCACATGATTTATTACCTTACTTTTAACGCTGTAAAGCATAAAATGAATGAAAACTCAACTCACCGATTCGAAAGCGCATTGTTAACGAGCCGCTGCCGGCGGCGGATCAATTGCAGAAGATTATTGACCACGAGGCGACGCTGAAGGTGGTGGTTGGGCGATGCGGAGGCCACTGACGACCCCGACGATTCGTTATTGTCTTCGCTTGATGAAGTCGGCACGTCACTGTCGTCACTGTAAGCAACAACACACACAAATGCACTTTAATGCACGCATGTCAAGTCGAGACGACCACAAACAAATTAATTCAACGCACTTTCCATCGCGATGAATGTGATATGATATACGCCGCTTTGTTGTCAAGGAATCACTGATTATGAAAGTAGTACGTGTTGATGTATATAATGTAATTGTTATCTCCTTTCTAGTTGGTAGGTAATACTAAAATTCGTTACATTTCAAATAAACTAACAGTAGTGTTATTTACACAGATGACAAATTTAGATTTCATATGAGATAATTTCATGTTAGATAATTTCAATGACTTAAAACTTAAATGTAATAATTTTAATAAATATAATCACACTTAATTTAGCCTAGTGCTTAATTTAACATATGAAACTACGTATTACAACACGACAGCCGTGGAAACAAATGATATTCCATTTTTTGTCATAACAGAATTAAAGTGAAACCTTTTAAGTCCTTCAAGAGGGGGTGCAACCACGAAACAGGATAGGACTAGACCAAACCTGACAGGCGAATAAATATATTCGCTAGGTGTGTCCGCATGGCGCCATTCCGTGGCGATCCAGAAATGACCTAATTAATTTACGGGAGTGTGACGCTTCCTTTTGGCTTCGTAATCTTGCGGAGCGTTTTACGTTTTAGTGGCGGTCGTAAAACGCCGTCTATATGTTAGTATGTGTGTGTGTGGTGATACAGATAAATGGCGCCGCTCCTCTTTAGCGTCTGCTTTTATTACCGATTTATATATTACGTATTACGGCTCAGCACAAAGGTACAATCGATTATTTCTGCTACAGACATCGCGCAAAAATGAATTCAAAAACTTGACGGCAAAAAATGTTCCTCAATTTTATTTGATCAGTCAGATCGTCAATAGTCAATATCCTGGTTGTGATATTATCAAAATGTGCAGATGCTTATGTGGATAGAAAGATAATTCATAATAGCACCGTATTAAAATTATCAGTTTGATAAAAAAGTACACATGTTGCGTTCATGTGATGCGCAACAATGTATTTATCATGCAATATCATATAAGTATGCGAGTTTCGCGGAATTATTGGATTTATCATCGTAAAGCAATGCAAATGAATTCGTATTAATAAATTATGACTATCAATATTCTTTTGAAGAGTCAGACATGTTTGTTTTACAAGCGTCGCGGAACTTTGGCTCGTATTATCAAAAACTCATTCCGTTAAAATGAATTAATAATGTATGCAGTGTAGTAAAGTATTGTACACGAGCCACACATGATACTTCACGATAATTTGTTTCTTCGACAGGTGTTTAATTTTCCAAATAAAGACATTGTTGGCATGTGCTTATTTACAGGTTAATTTTCCACGTGTTGAGGTTAAGGGAAATAAATTTAGAGGTTATTTCATGACATTTTGGATATTTTACGCACTAATGCATAAAAGTAAAAGGAAACAAAGCCTCCATTAACGCACAATCATAGAAAAGTAACATTTCGATATATAGTTCATGATACAATAGCCATCACACAAAGGGGTTTGCATCGTCTACATTCCCAAGCACTTGATTGATCCGCCACGAGTATAAAATACAAATGTAGTAGACGCGCGCGCCGCAGGACAACATCAATTTTTCCCTTCATGCATTATTCGTAATTCGTTTTGTTGCGAACACAAATTGTACGCGAGTCGTTTACGTCGTTTGATGTCGCACATCAATTTCAGTGTCGTACGCGTACGCTGATGGGACAAATAGTATTCTGGTTGGAATTAATTGGAAACACGGTGTTGTTCATAAATATTTTCCTAATCGCCACAATCACACTCACGTACAGCTTCATTAATAATAAATGGCACTTTTACTGCTCGTGTCGGAATGAAATAGATGGACATGTCAACCGGTGCTGATAAATATAAATGATCTTCTCATTTGGTTTTGTATTATTGGTTGCCTACGCTAACCTCAATTAAGAACTGCTGCGTTTAAAAAAAAAGACGTTTTAATTAGTATGCGGTAATTAGAAAATGTGAAGAGTGTGCTTTTTATCCTTATTATGAGTCTAGTTTTGATGTGAACTGATAGTTCGTTATATTACACGCGTAGGTGCTTTATTTATGCGCTGACATTGTTGTGGGTTTTTGAGCGGGAGCCTATTCAACATCAAAAAACTAAATTTAGATTCGATTAGGGAGCGCACAGCGCGCGGCGATTTGCGCTTGTGTTGTGGGCGAATGACGTACTATGCCAGCACTCTATATAAAATCGTATATCGGCTTGGAAAATCTGATGAATTTAAATATGAACCACAGCGGTGCTATTCAGCCGGTAATTGCAGTGTTGAATTTTATTACGTTCAGCAAATAGGTTATACTACGGCAAACAAACGGTAAAAAAGCACTAACAACGCAAAAATGTTAATAACTGAAGTTAAATTTGAAAAATTTTGTAATGTTTTTAAGGCTTGTGCGTTAAAAGTACTGCGTCTGGTGCTGTGCTTGGTGTTGTGCTCGTCTATAAATACTCCTTTTAAACATCTCTTACCTCAACTGCAAAAAAGCAAAATAGAGCACTGTTTAAATAGTCAATTATCCTGGCCGCGTGTGTTGTTTACGCGCGTGTTTAGCGACCGCATTCAAATGAACTCGTACAGAATAACGTGGTATTCGTGTCGCATTATTTCTTTTCGAAAATTGTATAAACGTAGAAAAATGATTGATATTTGTTCGCACCTTTCGCATGACGCGCCGTTGGCGTTGGCGGCGACGACGTCTGCGTTGGTGTCGACGCCTCGGTATCGAATCGCCGTCTGCCCGCGCTCACTAAACGCGGCGCCGCCAAACCTGTTTCTAGTCATGCCTGCGTCGTCGGCGGCATCGGCGTCGCTTGTCGCTGCGGTGGTGGTGGTTGTAGCGCACGCGTCTCCCTCGCGGTGCTCTGCAACAGGCGAACAGGTGGCGTTACGTTTGCCCCACGTGTCGGTGAATGCATCGCACCCACCCTCATTCTCATACTTTGCAAGTCGGTTGAATTTGGGGCATTGCGAATTTTCATCAAACGGGTCGAACGGGACGAAATGAAGAATGCATAGACGAATACCAAATTGTGTAAAATGTATAATTTATGACATTGTGCACGTCAATACTGACACGATGCAACTGACTGATTTCATGTCACGGGATGTACGAGTACATTACCATTACGACGTAATTGTGAAGTGAAAACGACATTACCAGATTGTATACAAGTACCAATTACTTATTTACACATCAGGTATGATTCACCGCATGAATTATAAAGCACTAAACACGGCATTACAAAATAAACACGTTTACACATTCACACACGGTATGAAAGGTTTTTATTTATTGTCACAATTGTATATTTGGTATTTGGTCCTAGGTTATTGTTGGTTTAAAAATCTTTCTCCCAGCCAGAGGTCTCATCAGCAGGTATGTTATTATCTTTGCTAAACGTGTCAAAATTAGTAAAATCCGAAGGTCCTCTTATTGATTGTACAATCGGAGCTTGTAAATTACCACTAATAAGACCATCCCAATCAAATCCTTGAAACCATCTATAATTTAAACCTGTTAATTTCGTAATTCACATAATAATTGCATGAATAACGCACTTATGTTTTTTAATATCTTGAATACCACCTCGTTGATATCCGAGTCTTTCAGACGGTAGATCTCTACACAATTTCTTGATCAAACTCTGCGCTGTCCTGCTTATATTGTGTTTCGCAAAGTCAATCATATCTATACCTTTCAATATGAGATTGTATGTACGCATCGGGTCATTTGCAGCAAATGGCGGACTAAAATATAATATAATATATATTTATTCTAATTTGGTTTAAAACATTTTCCAATACTCACTTTCCAGTGAGTAATTCATGCATCAATATACCCAATGCCCAGTAATCAACAGCACGATCATGTCCTTTATTGAGAATAGTCTCGGGCGAAACATACTCTGGTGTACCACAAAACGTCCATGTTTTACTACTGTATCCTAAGCGTTTTGAAAAACCAAAATCGACTAATTTAACATAACCTTTACCGTCCAGCAGTAAATTCTCTGGTTTTAGGTCTCTATAGATTATACCTCTCGCATGTAGGTAATCAAATGCTTCCACAACACAAGCAGTAATAAACCGGGTGGTGTATTCATCAAAACAACTCCGATCTCTTAGAATCGTCCATACCTCACCACCAAGACACGCTTCCAGTAGCATGTAAACATATTTCGCATCTTTAAACGTTTTATACATTCTGCAGATGAATTTACTACGACATCCCATCATGACACTCTTTTCACTGAAGATATGTTCCTGTTGGTGTGTGTCTACGATATGCTGCTTCTTAAGACACTTGAGAGCGAATGTTAGGGATTGGTCCCTGGAGTACTGCACGAGTTCCACACGTCCGAAACCACCTATACCCAAAGTAGCAACCACATCTAAATCGTCCAATTGAATATAATCATATTCAGCTAGTTCCTGCATATTGGAACTGCTAATTGGACGCGCTAGTTTACGATGTGTGTCACCGTAATCTTTTTCTTTGATTTCGCTTAGGTCCCCGATGAGTTGAATGAAAGAATCGCGGTCTAGGGTTAAACATTCTACACCTGGATGAAGAGCTATCACGGAAGCAGTGCGGTAGTCTTCTTTCAACAAAGCTTGCTCTCCGAAATAATCACCACGTTGTAAGGTACGTATTTGTTCATCTTCTAAAGTGCCTGGTTTACGTTGAGTGATTTTTACCCGGCCGCTGCTCATAATGAAGAATGTGTCACCAGTTGCACCTTGACGAATTATATATGCACCACTTGGATAAAACTCCTAATAATTTAATAATAACATAAAATATCTCATAAAATTTTTGTTTAAACCAAGAACTTACAACTTCAAGCACATCAGCAATTTTTGCTAAAACATCATTGTTTAGATTTTGCAGTAGAGGAACCGATCGCAAAAAGTTGATGTTATCTTCTAATCTCTGCAATCCTGTTCGTACCATGATTTGTTGGAAGACTTTACGGTCAAGTACCCAAACATTCGAATCACTTACAACTAAAATTTAATTACTTTATATTATACCCATGTAAATATGATAAATAAAAGAGTTTAACCTCTAATAGAGGCTGTTCTTGTGCAGTTGTAGAGTATGGCAAGTTCCCCGAATGCTTTCCCGGTACCCATGCGCCCCAAGACGTTACCATCTTTGATGACCTCATATTCACCCTCTGCGGAGACAAACAGATGTGCGCCATTATCTCCTTCGCGGATAACATACGTTCCTTTCTGGTACCCGCGCGGGTACATGGAGTCGACGATTTCGCGAATTTGGCACGAGTCTAAATTTTTGAGGAAGTCATTGTCTAGGATGGCGTCCTTAATAAGCTGCTTCGATCTGTACCACAATGAATTACTGGATGTGAAGTGATTTGTAAACGCCGTCGGCGGCTGGAAATATCTACCTGAAATCTTTTTCAAATTTTGGTATGGTAATATCGCCGGGAGCTCCTGATGACTCGCTGGACTCGGCGGATACACCTTGTTTCTTCGCTGAAGATGTTCCATGAGGTGATAACGACGAGGAGACTTGATGGAGAGTCGAAAGTATATCGGCTTCTTTATTGAGCTTTGATGTCGTTTGCTGCAGAACGCTCTATTCGAAATAAATGAGATTGTAAATCAAAATAATGATTTGGTAATTATTTGATAATAAAAGCAAAGAAATTATTCGTGGAGCGTATCATTGAACCGTACGTATGTAAATACATTATCAACGAAACGCTTTCGATTATAGCAAGAAAGAGGTGAGGGAAAATTAGGCCGGAACGACCAACACGCCATCCCGCTATTATAATACGAATAAATAAGTAGGACGCAGGACGATTACGTCGCCGGCGTACAACATATTCACCATTAAATCGGCGCGGTTTGCGTGATTTTCGCCTAGATTCTTTTTATTTTATACCCATTCTTTCGCAGTTTACGGTTGATTCGGTCAAAATGTATTCAAGCCTTGACCTTGATCCATTTGCGTGTATGGGTCATTATTGTTCGGCAACACAACATACACCCACACACTTCGAGTATTAATTTGCAAGCAATGAAGCAAGTAAATAGAGTTTTGATTCTCAAGGGGGCGATATAAGAGATCGAAATTGTATGCTCCAATGTTAACATGATGACACCTTGCGGCGGAAACGTCCTTATCAGGACAACGACAATGCGTGTTCAGGACGTGCACACGACAAAAGTAGCTCTTGAGCGCTTCAGATCATCAAAACCAAACAATAGGTGTTACGCATATAAAGCGTCCCTCTAAGTTTATTGTTTTCTACGCAGTTTAGTTCTAAGATGTCGATAATAATAAATAAATATGTGTACCTTTAACTTGTGAACTTCTCGTTGATATTTCAAAACCGCGGCGTCTTTAATTTGTAATTCTTTTCGTGTTGTATGCAACTCGGAATTGAGGGTGCCATTTTTGATTTCTAAATCTCTCAAATCTTTCTCTAACTTTGGCACAATGTTTTTCAAATACTCGTAATCTGATGGTATGGTTTGTGTGAGTTGGTCCTTTGCTGGTGTTTCAGGCACTACGCGTTTGTGTGCAGCGTCTAAGGACACCTTCCGGTGTAAGGTGACGCCGTTACCCATTGGTCCCAAAATACCAAAATCTTGCAAAAACTTCCTGGCGATGTCTTCCGATGATTCCGATTGTGTCTGCGATCGTTTGTACTTTGGCCGTATCAATGGCAAGAGCAATTGACTGGGGGTAACCTCCTCGGCGGGTTCCACAAGACTCACTTCCGGATTGGAGAGACGCTTCTCATGCGAACGATAGCGACTGTAGTTAACTGACGGACTGGAGGATCTCTTCTTGTCGTCGGCATGGTTTCTTTGGAAGCGCGAGCAGCCGCAATTCGCGAACAGACTGCCGCACGTGTGGGTGGTTTTAAATCGTCTTGCCGCCACAGGTGTAACGGCGCCCTCGTTGCCAGTGGATGAGGTGCGCGCCGCGACGCGCAATGGTGGGGTTGGCGCCGCGACTTCGGCGCGGCAGCCCCCCGTCTCCATTGCTACCGCGACGAATACGCACAACTGCCGGGCCAAGAAAAACAACTCACAAGTCAAAATAGCCACAACAATCAACAAAAGGAAACATATTTTTTGTAAAAAAAGAAAATATATTCATGAACGTCATGCGCAAATACAAAAGATATTCATAATTTAAAACACCTTTTGTATACACACAACTTTTCAAAACAATATTTTTTGTTTACAATTTTTATAATTGTTTTATACAGAGAATTTACTCTCAACTATCATATTATTTTCCGTATTAAATAAATGTTTGCTTCAACGGTTAAAATAATCCAACTAAAGCAGACTTTTATGAGCAGTAACACAAAAAATATTGTAAAGAATATATTTTTATATTTGACCCACCTGAACTTGTAGGTGATCTGTTATGCGCCACAAAAGAATAAGAATAACTCGCACAATGCCCGAATTCACTCTACAATAACAATAAAAAAAAAGCAGCGGCGATAGCGACCAGAGTATTTACCGGTGTTTACTTCGACGCGTACATTTTGTACCAGCCGGCGGCGATGTTGTCGCACAATATTTCGTAAAATTATCACTTTTATTGTTAGATCACGAAATCGTCCGTGACCACCGCGACGGCGCTGTTTGTCGCTGCTCCTGGTTGTGTTAATCCTGCACGATTATTGCCGGCCTTGTTTTCTACTTGTGTTCTCCGCTGTAATCTTATCATTACCTAAATAAAGCCGAAATCGTTTATTAAATTGTTAGCATACGTTTCACCGCATACACCGTTGCCGACGATGCGCATACAATGTACTTCATAATTGATTCATTTGCATGCTCATTACCTGCGCACAGCGTAAACATGTTTAAATACTATTGTTTTTGTTATCGGTAAGACCCTGTGTGGAAAATATGTTCCGAAGTGAACAAATGCGTACATTTCGCGCATAAATTTTACCTGTCGCGGTAATTATACATAAATATATTGAATGTAGTGACTTGTTAGAGGACAAATGTTTTAAATTGTTTGTTTGCCACACGGTTTGCACGACGTTGAGTAATTCAGTGGAATATTTCAACACGTTTGAAAGTTGTACCTAGTTAAGATAAAATAGTGTGTGGTAGTAGTAGGACTCTTTAGTTTACTAGTACACACTAGATGGAAGCACAAATACGCGTCTGGTAGAAAATCAAGGATATTTCAGGATTTTATAGATTTGTACAAACCTGGGAACGTGGAAACTGTTGAAGTAAAACAGATCAAAGTCATGGCCAAGACATTAACACCTCATTACGTTTGAAACACTTGTAGAATATTATATATAATTAAATGCTTTACAATAAATTAATGTAGTTTAATATGTAGCGATGTTGGCTTTGCTGATTTAGTCTTTTTTGTAGTATGTTCCTCTGTGGCTACAGGCTCTGACGCTGACGCTGGTGCATTTGTAGTTTTAGGAAAACTAATTCCTTTCTTACCATTGTTTTTCTTTGTGTTTAATTCACTCAAGTGTTGTTTACGCAATTTGTCGATATTATCACGTCGGAAAACATCACTGATTAACTTTGCGGTGGTTCCTAAGCTTTCACAATCTCTTGAATGACTTACAATCAACCAATTACCTTGCAAAAGCTCCCTTTTTCGACAAACTCGGCACTCACCTAAAATTTTAGCGTGAGATAAACCCCAGAGGCGAAAATTTAACTCACCCATGAAAGTAGCTAGTATTTGATCGCGATTATTCCATCCGTTGATGATAATATACTGAGAATTATTCGCGTATGGATATGTAAGCGTAGTGTTCCAATCTTTAAAGCTCATAAAACCATTATGCACGTGGTCGTGGGACCGCTTGCGTTCTAATGGCATTTCCTGGCGTTCCTGTCCACTCATACCAACCATTTTATTAAGTGTAAATAACCCTCCTGCAGATTCAGATAACCATTGGCCCTCGATGTTACAATCCGCTATAAAAATTATAATTTTATTAAAATCTGATTAATTTTCATTGATTTTGTATTAATACATGAATTCGTTGATCCCGATTTGGCACCAGTTTTTAATGCGGAAACCTCTTTTAAAACATGATCTAGTAAAACAGCAGGATTGGAATCAGCTTGATGTAGATCTTTACTGACGTCTCTCTGTTTGAGTAAAGATTGAATCATATTCAGCTTCTCCAACATTAGTTTTTCACGTTTGTATCTATCAAAATCCGAGATGTCGAAGGTGGAGGCGGTGGCTTCAGCTGGAGCCGTTCGCTTCTGCCGCAAGTGCCCGGGATGTCTGCGTCCATAGGAAATACTGTTTATTTTTAGATTTTTTCTTGGAGCGTACCAGCGCATCGGGACATCCTCTTCCGTAAAGCCGGAGGCAATTAAGATCAATAACGGTATAAAAAATATAGAATAAAATGAAAGTCAAGGTGTTTTTTCATCGAAATACCGTTTCATTGAACATCAATGATTGACACATGATATCACGTATCACAACTGTCAGCTTGTGTCAAAACTTGTCTTGTTGTGTTGTCATGGTTGTTTGAATGGTGCTCCTTGAATGATATTTTGCTTGGACCATTCATGAAAGTCGTATTTACTAGAAGTAATTTGTGTTTGCGAAAACTAAACGATGATGCTTTATTGCAATGCGTGAGTTTTGACTACGGCGCTAATATGACCACGACTGCCTCAATACAACACACAGCAACATACGCTTGTAATTATAGATAGAAGTTTAGTCGGCGGCCAGAACTCGACGGCAACGACGGTGCTTGCACAGAGTCTCAAGCGAAAAACATCTCGGTTTCTTATATTAAATTTAGTAAACCCGCCTTGGCTCAATCGGTTGCACCGAATTCGAAACTACAAAAGCTTACGTTGTGCGTGTAAAAAAGTTGTTTTAAAAATATCAAGGTTCGTAAGTGTAACTGAAAGCTCACACTGAACGTTTTAATTCTTCCTTTTTTTACCGTTGACGTCGAACAAATCACCAAACAAATGTGTGTGTTTTTTATTATTCGTCTATTTTTTTCTTCCAATGTACATAAATGTTTGATGCGATGCAAATCTAAATGCGATTTCCCAATGGTGCGCATCGGTGCATCGCGACTTCAAAAATATCATTATACGTTATAACACCTGGCAATAACCCAATCGAATGATATTTATTTGACCCACTCTTTATATAGATCAATTGCATTGTCTCGTCCACTCGTTCGGCTCCTGGCGAAACGAATGGCCGTCTTCGCATCCGCGTCAACAAATTACGAACGATAGGCGTCGGCGCGCACAATGTCCCGTAAAACCAGCGGCGCCAAAGCCCTCAAAGTTGCACCAACACAACATGACGAGGTAATGGAGTGTTGTGGTGTTAATATGTTGCCGTTTTCACTCAAAATATTCAATCAACACAAAGATTTAAACGATTTTTTCCGAAAAAATGTATTTGTGTACCTGCGTTCACTCGGAACACACAACACGCGCAAATATTTAGTAAATAATCGTGGTGCGTTCTCAAGGTTTCGGGAGTCGGTGCCAAATATGTATGTGAAATGTGAAATCTGGCTACGTATCTTCATCTTAGCGGATCCAATGTTTTTTTTAATCTTTAACGCTCGAAAAATTCCTAGCATGCAAGAGAAACACATGTAAATAAGTTTAATTAATTGTTTTACTTAAGTGTATTAATAAATTACCTGTTAAACTGTATTAAAATGTAAAATGTTAATAATGTGTCTTTTAAATTTTTTTTAGATAATTCATTGATTGTTGAATGAATAACCACAAATCCACAAAACACATTCCGAACGAATACGAGTACTCATTTTAAAAACAGACCAAAATAATAAATATTGAAATAAAATATATTTTTGCTATAAAATTTATCAAACGTACATCAACGTTTTGCCAATACTTAGCCCGGAAAAAAGCATACACACACAAAAACGAAATTAATTATCGGAGGACGGACGGAAGATGTTTTTCATCCTGAGGCATCCAGTAGGTTGAATTGGAATTATCTTGAACGTATTGTAAACAAAATTCAATGTCGTAAAACGCAAGTGCTGGCAAAGCTTATGCATTTTCCGCTGGTAGCTGTAAGCTTTTCTCTGTTTATTAATAGACAACGCATTTGTCAATATTTTCATTAATCGAGAGCACTGCAACTGTCTGCATTCAGAGCTTATTAATGGCAACGCCACACACATTGCAAACTGAGCAAAAAACACTTTCACTCGAAAGTAATCTTCCATTTTTGCTAACTAATATACAATAGAGCTTTTACTGTTGTACGTTTTACACATATATTCAAATATAAATAAAATTATTATAAAAATAAAGAATAAATGTTAAAAGAAAATAACTTAAAACAATTATTTTATATTTTCAGCTATAATTTTATTAAATATTTAATATTTTGTGGGTGTATATTAATTATTTGCTATTTTAGAATGCCGGCGAAATGCTGGTGGCCTGGCAGGCCTATAAAGCCATGACACCCGAAGAATTAACATTGAATGAAGGTGATTTAGTGGAGTTACTTGATACAGAAGATCCAACAGTTCCAGGCGCAAAGTAAATTCAAACAAAGTTTGAAAACTTGTTTTATTTCGTTATTTTACTTTCAAGGAGACGTAAAATTGACCCTTCGTTAGATGTTGGGGGAGAAGGACTTTTAGACAGCTCTGCTGCCAAACATAAACTTTCAGTCAAACCCAAAAAGTCTAAAAGCAGTTCGAGGTATTCCCCAAGCAGGAATCCTTTGAATGCAAGGTAAAATTTTAAAATTTATTCAAAATTTTTCCTTAAACTATGATAATTATTTATTTTTTGGTAGATGGTTAGTAAAAATGGTACATGGCGACAAGAAACAAGGTTGGGTACCATGCCAAGTGTTACAAACTGCTGATGAACCTCAGCCTGGAACAGGTCTACCTGGAGATGCAGCATTCCGAAGACAGTTAGTGAAAATATTCAAAATTTACAAATAAATTTTCTATATTTTTTAAATTTAATTTCAGAGCTGTTGTTAAGGAACTAGTGGAAACGGAACAAGAATTCGTGCGTGACTTAGACTTTGTCGTCCAGAAATACTTGATAGGATCCGATAAAGAAGCACGTAAACCAAAGATAATCAAAGACAACTTTGAATTGATATTCGGCAACCTCAAAGAAATCGCGGAATTTCATCGCACGTGAGTTAAACATCTGGAAGTCTGTGTACACAACCTAATTCCGAAATGGAGCTTTCAGTGTTCTGATGGAAGGCGTCAAGTATTACGCCAACGAGCCACAGCTTCTCGGCAAGGCCTTCCTGCGTCTCGAACGTGACTTTGACAAACACGTCAACTATTGCAAGGAGGAACCATTGGCGCAAGCATTCCTCGATTCCTGCGTGATCGCGCGCGATTATTTCGAGGTAAGAATCCCGCTACGTACAGGTGGCGCGTTCAAGGAATAAATCTGTTCGGTACGAACATATTGCGGATCATAAACTGGCGAGGAGGAACTGACGCAATCGTTCGTAATGAACGACGCCGCGACGCAATCCCGCCGCACGCCGTACCAAAAATAGCCGCGCGCCGAAATTAGAACGCATATTTATTTAGCGAATTTTGTGCGCGGAGGCGATGCGTGCACCATTCGTATGAATCAAACTATTCGTAATAATGGCGAAAAGCGTATTAGTCATACGTTTATTACGCGTATTGGCGCTATAAACGCAAGAATTTTTCGGTATGTATTTTTAGTTAAACCAAGCAATTAATTTCAAATTCGAAATAAGTGGCGTTATTTTGTTTTGCTCCTTCGATTTTGGCTGCTTGCGATCTTTCCGGCGCGACGAGGAAACACTACATTAACTCTGAGAATAATTTTTTTCTTTTCAAACTCTCTACGTTACGCTACGATACTAGCCTACTCCTGCTACTGGCTATGTATAGAGCACGGACGTCGCGACGCCGGGTTTTCGCCGCGAGTTCAGTTTCAATACGACCGCTAGTCCCGCGTATATCCTAAGTCCGACCGCCGCCAACACGTGTCAATTGCGAATTACGACTTTTACTCCTCCACCACTACACGCACACGCGCGCGCGCGTTAATTAATCGAACCGATTCCAAGGTAATCACAACAATTCAAACGATCTCAAGTGAACGTTATTTGGATAACGCTGCGTAAGGAATTTGCGGCAAACGGTCTCCAACATCCGCGCCGCGCATATTTTGGCAATGGACCAGTTTTTGGCAAACAACACCCAGATGACTATATTGAATCGAGTGTAACTTAAAACCAGATTACGACTTATCTAATTACCGTCACTCACAAACATGCACTTTGTAAATTCGCCGACAACATCCGCTCTTGATTAAGAAATGAAAATAATCAAAACTTATCGGCGAAAGAGTCGAATTCCTTGCGCGGTCTAAATTTAGTTGTCGATTTAAATATTGGTCGAATTTTGGCCACTGGTCTCGTGCCATAAAATAAATTGAGAGGTTTTATTTTAATCGTAGGAACTATCCACCCGTTTAGCCGACGATAAATCCATTTCCGAGCACTTAAAGTTACCAATACAAAGGATAAACGACTACCAATTACTGTTAAAGGTGAGTGTTGTTCAAACGCATGAGATGACTTTATTACTGTTGCCGCCGCCCGCTTTTGCTTCATGTGTTCATCGTTATATTATGATAGATTTTATAACGTTTCGGCGTCGAATGTAAAAATACGGCCCGTAGCTATTTATTCTTAGCCAGCGGCTGCACAAATACCAAGTGCTGACCCATTTCGTTCAAATTTCGAACGAAACGCTAAACGCCCACCATGTTTGTTATGTTGTTTTTGCGTGATCGTATTTATTGCAATCCCTGTAGGTGTGTTCCTAGCGTTAGTTGTTGATTTGTTGTTGAAATCGACAGGAATTGGTAAGGTACAGTGCTTGTCTTGGCGAAGACAACACTGATTTACAAAAAGCCCTTGAGTTGATGCTAAGCGTCCCACATCGTGCACAAGACGATAAATTCACCAATAGCATAGAAGGATACCGTGGCAGTATCCACAAGTTGGGACGCCTGTTGGCCCACGATTGGTTCTCAGTTTGTTTCGGAGATATCACCAAAGAGCGCTACCTGTTTTTGTTCAAAGCGCGTATTTTAATATCAAAAGTTAGGCGGATATCCGACGATCGATCCGTGTTTCAACTCAAAGATATCATCAAAGTAAGTGGTATCACTTATACTCCATTGTGAGTAGGTTTTGTTGACCGATGGACTTTTAGCTACCGCAAGTGGAAGTCAAGGACTATCCAGACGATCCTTTTACGTTTGATCTGATCGATAAAACTGCTGGAAACGCTTTGAAACTCACTGGACATAGAGAAAACGTGAAGCCTTTTTGGTTGGAAGAGATCAGAGAGTTTGCTAGTGAAGCAGAAGAGGGTGTAGAAGATATTCAGATTATATCACAACCACCATCACCTCCCGAACCTATCAAATCACCATATCAATTACCCAAAACAATCGAAAAACCTATTGAAACTAAAGAAGTACAGCAAAAAGTGGTAGTTGAGGCTAAAAAAGAAGAAGTACAACAAAAAGTGGTAGTTGAGGCTAAAAAACAAGAAGTTCAACAAGTATCAAAACAAGAAGTAAAATCTACGACTGTTACAAGCGCCAAACAAGTGACAAATCAACAAGAAGTAAAGGTAACTCAAGTTTCTGAAGAAGTTAAGGTTGCTCAAAAAGAAGTGAGTACAGCCCAATCAAAAGTCACTTTTGCTCAACAAGAAGTTATCAAGGAACTTAAAACAGTACAGGCTAAAGAGGAAACTAAAGTTGCCGAATTATCTAAGACAGAAAGTCGTACACCAGCTTTCACACCACCTGCAGCTGCAGAAAAACCTCTTGTAACACCAATACCAAGTGAAGCAAAAGAGAATCCAAATCCAATCAAAAAGAGTGACACTAGCGAGTCAGTCGGTAAAACATCTTCTGAACTAATCAAATTTAGAGGTCATAAACTAGACAATCCTAAATTAAAAGGCAGCCATATTGCTGTACCTGGAATAGAACATACCGCATCAAGCAGTTTCCTCGCTAGGGATGGTTCAAGAAGTAGCATCCCTGATTACGGTGACAGTTTTAGAGTAAACGTTGAAGTTGACCTTGAAGTTGAAAAAGACCCCAAGAAACACATCACTGACTACGGTATTAACGGTACGTACTAAAAAGTAATCAAATTACTTTCTCTACTACTTCATCACGTTCACTTCATTTACAATCGCACACAATGCTTACTAACGCACACCTACAGCCGCTTGATTTCTGCTGCACCTCTGCTGCTTTCTGAAAGTTTTCCTCCACAAAATAGACAATTTCTGTAGTAGTCGCATTGTACATTCTGCAGAGAGTAGCAACGGGGAGATGTCCTCGTATAGCCGACGCACCACAAGTAGCCACTCCAGCGAGGGTTCTTCCACTAGGAAATATGAGTCCAGGTATTCTTCAAGATCTTTGGATTCCGAGGGAGTTGGTGAATCCATGAGCGGTTTAAGCAGTTATCGTAGGAGTTCTTCGAGGACCGAGGATGATGACCTTGGTAGTAGCTACAGCAGCAGACGTAGTATCCGCGAAAAACGTTCCGTTCGCACTTCTGTTATTGACGATGAAGACGTCTCGAAAGCTCGTAGAGAAAGATTGCTTCGCATGTCAATTGATGAAGAAGATCCTGATGTGTACATTAGTAAAATCAAATCCAGGGGTATCGAAAGTTCCTCAACTGAAGAAGCTTCAAGCTACAGAAGATCTCTTTCAACAAAAACATCTGTTGATGATGATGACGACGCTTATTTAGCTAAAATTCGTGCAAGGAGCGAAAGTGGTTATAAAAGATCCAACAGTAGAGAAACCACTAAGACCAGCTATGCCAGGGAACTCAGCGAAGACATGGATCCAGAAGCTTACATTTCTAAGATCAAATCTAAAACTGACGAGGTATCCTACAAACGAACGACTTCTACTGATAGTACTGGATATTCAAGATCTACAAGCGTTGCGGGTCAAGAGGAGGAGGACAGGTTGGCTAGATTCGAAAAATATTCGAAACGAAAACAATCGAGCGAACAAACTGACAGTGGTAAGGCAAAACAAAATTTAACAAAACACGTTGAAATCATTAAAAATCACCAACCTCTTCATTTCGAAATCTTTAAACCTTTAATCAACCTTAAAATTAATAGCAATGTATAAATGATTGTTTTATTATTTAGATTCGTTCCAAACAGTCACTCAGAAAACGAAATTCGACGGTAAGACCTTTGAGGAAGTAGTCAAGAGCAAGAGCAGGGACGATTTAGGAATGGCGCCCCCTGACGAATCTCCCAAGTTTACCAAGACCATTGGTGGTGTTCATGTTCGACGTAAGTATTACGAGTATGCTTATGTAATGCCACTGTTGTGTTTGCTTGATTTATTTTTATGCTTTTTATGCTTCTAAAGCGCATGAAACTGTATCATTCGAGATACATCTCGAAGATACGCCTGATAGCTTGACTTGGCTCAAGGATAACAAAAACTTAGAAGGCAGCTTAGCTCGCAGAACTAAGATAACTTCGCTTAATGAGCATAGAATTTGGCGCTTGCAAATCGAAGACTGCGTAGATGCAGATTCTGGCTCGTTTACGGCTGTTGCTTGTAATGCGAAAGGCAAATCAACTTGTACTACACATTTGCTTGTGCATAAACGTTAGTAAAACAATACATTTTTATTTTTGAATTTCAATAAAATTAAAATTAAATTTTATTAGTTACGGAGGAAGAACAATTAGAACTCCAGAAACCAGCGTTCATAATCAAATTCAAAGATACCGAATTATTGGAGGACACCTACATGCGTTTCATGTGCAAAGTTAAAGGAGACCCGCACCCGAAATTAACTTTGTAAGTTAAATATTTACAACGCGCAGTTCAATTGACCTAATTTATGCGTTAATTATGTTTGTGTTAGTTACAAGGACGGCAAGGAAATTAAAGAATCCGAACGCATTAGTGTCAATCGTGACCATTCTGATACTGACTTCTACGAGCTGGTAATCCCAGATGTTAAACCTGATGATGCTGGTGTTTATAAATGTGTGGCGAAGAACGAACATGGAGAAGATTCAACTGAAGCAAGCGTTACTGTCACTGAATCGAAGCATTTGTTTGACGAATTTGCTGATTCTGAAGGTTTACTACCAAAGGGCGAGAAACCAACTTTCATCTGGAAGAAAGATGGTGCTTCTATTGATGTTGACGAACGTTTTAAGGTTCTAATGGGTGATGATGAAGATTCACTTGCTTTGATCTTCCAACATGTGAAGCCTGAAGATGCTGGGTTGTACACTTGTGTTGCCCAGACCACCACAGGTCATATCAGTTGCAGTGCTGAATTGACAGTTCAGGGAACTGTGCATGAGTTGTATAGAGAGCCTGAGAAACCTCAACTTATTATTGAAAAACGTGATCCTATTACTGCTGTAGGAGGATCTTGCATGATGGAGTTGCAGGTGAAAGGTTTCCCGAAACCTAAAGTCACCTGGACTCATGAGGGTCAACCTGTTGAAGCAGGTAGTAAGTACAAGTTCCTATACGAAGATGAAGAAAGTATGACTGTGGTCATCAAGAACGTTGAGGGTTCAGATGCTGGCAAGTACGAGATTACAGCTGAGAATGAACTGGGTCAAGACATCAGAGAGATGCATTTGACCGTAAAAGCCCCGCCTACTCTGTCCAAGATGCAGGACACTACTGCATCCACTGATCAAGAATTGAAGATGAGCGTTGATGTCACAGGTATACCTGAACCAACCGTACAGTTCTATAAGAACGGCAAAGTTATTAAAAACTCCGAGCAAATGACCGTTATCAAAGAAAGTAACAAACATTCAGTGGTCATCAAGAAGACTACTTTGAGCGACTCTGGATCATACTCTGTTGTGGCTAATAATGAAATGGCCCAAGTTACACAACTGTGGAATCTTGATATTTACACCAAGCCAAAGATTTTGAAGAAACTTGGTGAGAGTAAAGAAGTTCATCAAAACATTAATTGCGAGTTGAGTATCAAATTGGAATCTGAACCAGCAGCGGAAGTTACATGGTTTAAAGATGGCGTGGAAATCACTGCCGATAGTCATTACACAACCGAAAGCGATGGGGGCACTTACACACTGCGAATTAGCGGCACTGTTGTTACAGATTCAGCCAACTACAAATGCAAGGCTAAAAATATTCACGGATCTATCGAGGATGAAGTGCGTGTTGACGTCAAACGTAAACCCACGATCACTGTCGGTTTAGAGGATAAGACAGTGACTGAACATGACAAGAATGTCACGCTTGATGTTAAAGTTGATTCTTTCCCCAAACCACAAGTAAAATGGTTCTTGGACGAAGTAGAAATTTTAGAAACACGTAATGAATTTGCTCAGAGTCAAAGTAATGATGGACTTAAACTGGTTATCAAAGAGGTGACCAGTGAGTTGCAGGGAAAATATACTTGCAAAGTTATTAATGAACTTGGCGATGTCAGCACTTCCGCCAAACTGACGGTCAACTGCAAACCACGTATTCGTAAACAACTCAAGGACACAACTGTTGAAGAAGGCGCTGCCCTTCATCTAGAAGTTGAAGTAGAATCAGTTCCTGATGCGACTGTAAAATGGTTGAAGAATGGTCGTGAAGTAAATGCCGATGCAAGAATTAAAATTACCCGGGATCAACAAAGGCTGGAAAGTTACAATTTAACTGTAAATCTGATCAAGTACGAAGAACAAGGAGAATATGAAGTTCAAGTTACCAATTCCTTGGGCACGGTTTCCAGCAAGAGCAATGTTACAGTACACAGTAAGTACCCAAAAATTGAAACCTACCAAACACAAAATACAAACTACACAAGTTCAAATATTAGCTAGATTAGTTCATGTTAATGGAATGCAGGAATGCAATTTTGTTTGTTATCTTTGTGTAAATCAACGCAGCTCAAACGCTGTATAGTGTTATGATTGTGAACGTCCAAATTGTTGTTGTTTCAAAAACTAACAGAAGTGACCCACACCGATGCCGAGGAAGTGGATCAAGAACCCGTAAAATTAACAATGACCGTAATTGAGTGTGATCAGGAACAGGAAGCTATCCTGCACTCTAGCGATGAATCTCAAGGTATTAAAATATGTAATAACGACGACATCTTGAAATCAATATTCATTTTTCATTTTGTTTGTATTGATTGTTTTCTGTTGTTTGTTTGTGATTGAGTAACTTAGGTGAAACGGATATTGAACCTCCATCACCTATTATAGTTGAGAAAGTAGATATTGACGTCGAATCGAATTATACAGTACAGTCACCTGTTGATGAGCCCCAGCAAGGTTTATTTGAAGATGGTAATTATATAACTGATGTTATTTGTTACTAATTTTCACAAGCACACTTGTACAAACACTTCTTTTCTCTGTTTCTATTTAAAATGGCGGACTTTGATTTTATCTAATGAAAGCCGCCGTCTTGTTTAGTGCACAGATGTAATTTATATTATTCTATAGCAATGCCACAAATTGTTGAACATGACATGAAGGATCGCAAACAATTTGAATCCCTGACAACAAAGTTCAGTGTAAAAACATCTGGTAATCCACCACCTACTGCAACCTGGTCACTCAACGGTGAAGTATTGAAAATAGGCGGTAATGCAAGATACAAAATCTCTGATGATGGTAACGAGCACAAGTTGGAGATGACTAAACTGAAACCTGTCGACGCTGGCGCAATCGAAGTGACGATTGCCAACTGCGTGGGTGATGTTAAGCAGAGTGGCAAACTCGAAATTATCCGTAAGTTATGACTGACAAACAAGAATGTTAAAGTGTAAATATAACATGCTGTCACGTTTACAGCCGAGGCTGAATTGAGGAGACCTAAAATTCGCGATGGCCAAGGTCTTGTTGATACAACCGTCATCAAGAAGAAATCTGCCACACTCAAAGCTATTGTTGTTGGTGATCCCATTCCGGAAGTCACATGGATGTTCCAGGGACAGAAATTATCTCAGGAATTGATCGATGAACATAAAATGGTCTTGGAAACTCATCATACTGACATTCAAGATGGTCTTAAGGAGTGTTCATTCTCGCTTACAATCCCACGTTCTGAAAGAGTCAACGGTGGTGATTATGAGTTGAAGGTGAAGAACAAATGGGGTACTGCTAGTTCCAGCGCAGTGCTTACTGTTGTCCTCAGCCCGGAAATCGAAGGTCCTGATTATGTTAAAGTAGTTCCAGGTGATGCAACTGAACTGGTTGCTATTATTCAAGCTAATCCACCACCGATTGTCACATGGTAAATTTAAAACAACTCAAAACTAACAAATAAAACTAATTTTTGCATACTTCTAGGACAAAGAGTGAAAATGTAATTGAAGCCGCAGGCGATATTGAAATCATCGCTGATGTTGCAAATGAAAAGTACACGTTGAAGTTCAACAAGGTTCAATTATCAGATGAAGGCTATTATAAAGTCTACGCTAAGAACGAGTACGGAGAAAGCAGCTCTGAAGGAAGAATCAAAACTATCAGTGAGTATTACGTCCACGTTGTAATTATATGACTGTTAATTATTTATATAGTTATGTGATTGTTGTTAATGTGTCTTTGTTTATAATTATTATAGAAGATCCCGGAACCGTTGAGTAAGTTGTTTGCAATGATTTCGGCAAACTTAATGCTTCCGGTTGTTTGTTTTTATGCGTTATCGGGCTTTAATACAGATGCTTTTCATTTATTTACTAAAAATTTATATTAAGTGGATGTTTTTATTTTATTTTATAGCTGAGAAACCACAGTTTATCACTGGTTTAACCGACGGTCAAGTCGCGCACGGCGGTGAGATTACTCTCATGGTGCGTGCTGATGGCCTCCCAAGACCTGATATTAAATGGTATGTCAATGATAAGGAAATTACTGAAGCTCCTGGGTTGATTTTTGCTACTACATCAGATAGACAACTCACCAGTAGTTTAATTATTACTGATTATCAAGAAAAAGATGCTGGAATTGTAAGTTCATAATTCTTAATCAATATCCGTGTAAAAAATTAAAATTAATTACAGTACAAAGTCACTGCTACTAATGTTGTTGGTGATGTTGAAACAAGCGCCCGTGTTTCCATGCTTCAAACCCCACCAACTTTCGGCAAAAGATTAGAAAAGTCTCAAGAAGTCAACGAAGGTGAACCTTTAGCCCTCAAAGCCAAAATTTGTGGAAGCCCTAAACCTACTGTGGCCTGGTACAAAGATGGAGAACCAATTGATCCTAACAATTCAAGAATCAAAACTGAATTATTACCTGATGGTACTGTCAAATTAAATATTGAACAATGCACACCAGAAGACAGTGGTGCTTATAAACTGGTCGTCAAGAATGCCAATGGAGAAACAGCAGGTCTCTGCGCGGTTGTAGTTAATGCTAAACCACAACGCCCCATGTTTACGAAATGCATCAAAGATACTAAAGTAATGATCGGTGAACCATTGAAGTTGGTAGCTAAAGTGAGTGCAAATCCACCACCAGAAATCAAATGGATGAAAGATGGCCTGCCAATCAGAGCTTCTTCTAACATAAGAATGGAACACCATCCAGATGGAACGGTTGCATTGATTATTGATAACGTAAAACCAGAAAATGCTGGTAAATATACACTGACTGTGTCGAATAAAATGGGTGAGATTTCTGCGGATGCTAAAGTAGAACTTGAGAAACGCCCAACTAAACCTGAATTCATCACTAAGATTCAACCACTAACTGTTGTTGAAGGATTCCCTGCTAAATTTGAAGTTAAAGTTACTGGTAATCCTCAACCACAAGTAGCATGGTTGCGCAATGGCGCCGAAGTAATTTCGGATGCTAAACACATCAAAGTCACCGATTTACCTGATGGTGTAAGTGTTTTGCATATTGAAGCATGCGATTCGGTCCGTGATGCAATGGTCTACCATGTTGTTGCTTCCAATGATGCTGGTGAGGCAAAATGTCAAGCTGAATTGACAGTTAACCCAGCAAGCAGAAATGATCGTCCTGAAGAACGTCCACAATTCTTACACAGTTTGCGTGACGTTATTACTGATGAAGGTCAACCACTTGTCCTGGAAGCACCGTTTACTGGTAATCCCATTCCGACTGTTGAATGGTCTAAAGATGGAGTTCCTCTTAAACCATCCGAAAGGATTTTGTTAACTTGCGATGGTCGTAAAGTTGGTTTGACTGTAGACAAAGCACTTCCATCTGATGCTGGTCAATACAGTGTTACTATTATCAACCCATTGGGTTCTGAAAGCTGCCAAGCTAAAGCCTCTGTTCATAAAGTCTTCCAAGCACCTTCATTCACTCAAAAGTTTGGAGATATTCAACAAGTACCTGGCAGAGATGCTAAATTCCCAGCGAGGGTATCCGGTGTACCACAACCAGATGTTAAATGGACCAAAGATGGCGTCGAATTGCGAGATAGCGAAAAGTATAGGATCAAACGTGATGGTGATGCTTGCTGTTTGTATGTTATGGATTCTCAGCCTGAAGATGTTGGTGTATACACTGCCACTGCCTCCAACAAGGAAGGATCAGCTACTTGCATGGGCAAACTTGACATTGTCAAAGAAATGTAAGTATACTAGTATCCATAAGCAAATAAAATTCTAAACTTAATTTTTGATCTGCAGCAAAGTGCAAAAGAAGGTTGAGCCCGCTAACTTCGTCAAGAAGATTGGTGATACCGAACTTTATAAGGGCATGACCGCTAAATTCACTGCATGTGTTGCTGGTATTCCGGAACCAAAAGTAGAATGGTATAGAAATGACCATCGTTTGTATCCCACTGATAGAGTTAGAATGCAAACTGACCCCAATGGTCTTCTACGTCTTACAATTGCGGGTGTAGATCAAGATGATTTGGGTACATATATCTGCAAAATTTACAATGACCATGGATCAGACAGTTGCGAAGCACAACTTCGATTCGATGAAGGATTGGAAGATCGTCCAAAACGCCTCACAGATCAATACACCGATTACGATAAATATAAGAAGACCGGGGCACCAATGCCTCTATCTGACCCACCAATTATTTCCCGCATGACTGACCGTCATTGCACCGTATCTTGGAAACCTTCAATTCCAACAGGTCCACGGGCCCCAGTTACCTACCAACTCGAAATGTTGGAGTTGCCTAATGGTGATTGGTTTACTGTACGTTCGGGTATCAGGAGTTGTTGTTGCGATGTTCGTAATCTGGAACCATTCCGCGACTACAAATTCCGAGTACGCGTTGAGAACAAATATGGAATCAGTGACCCATCACCGTATGCACTGACGCACAGAGAGAAATTAGAACCGGATCCGCCCAAGTTCATGCCGTACTTGCCTCCGGGTATCGATTTCCGCCCGGAAACATCACCGTACTTCCCGAAGGACTTTGACATCGATCGTCCACCTCATGATAATATGGCACAGGCACCAAGATTCTTGCGACAAGAATATGACGCTCAATATGGCGTAAAAGATCAAAGCTGCAGCTTGTTTTGGTTTGTTTATGGTTATCCCAAACCGAAGATGACTTATTACTTTAATGACATCCTGGTTGAGTCTGGGGGTAGATATGATATGAGTTACACAAGAAATGGACAAGCAACATTGTTCATCAATAAGTAATTTACGAATAATTTAAGTATTGTATCCATGTATTCATTATTGAATTGTTCTAGAATGTTAGATCGAGATGTTGGTTTTTACGAAGCTGTTGCAATCAATGAACATGGCGAAGCCAGACAACGAGTACGTTTAGAGATTGCTGAAGCTCCGTGCTTTATTCGTAGACCTGACATTGAATATGTCATGGTGCGTAATAAAGTACGATTTGATGCGCGTATTACTGGAGTGCCATATCCGGAAATCAAATGGTACAAGGATTGGAAACCACTAGCTAATTCTTCTAGAATTAAGGTAATACTATTCCCATGCTACCAAACAGCACAAAATTTAAAGCAAACTTTTCTATTCAAACAGATTCAGTGGATGGAACCAGACACAGCAATTCTCATCATCAACGATTCAATCTTTAAAGATGAAGGTTTATACTCGGTCAGTGCTCGTAATGTTGCAGGCAGTATATCCGCCAGTGCAATGCTTCACGTAGAAGAGAATGATTTGGAATACAACATTAGAACATATCAAAACCCTAACCCCATCAAACTTCGCAAGAAGCCATATTCAGAATTATACGATATTGGTGATGAATTAGGTAGAGGCACATCAGGCATCACCTACCATGCGGTAGAAAGGTTAAATGGCAGAAACTATGCTGCCAAGATCATGCACGGTAGAGGTGACTTTAGACCAATGATGTACAACGAATGGGAAATGATGAATCAACTGCATCACAGAAGACTAATCTCATTGCATGATGCTTATGAACATGAAGACAGTTTGACCTTGATCATTGAACTTGCCGCCGGTGGTGAATTGGTCAAAGATTATTTGTTGAAAACAGACTACTACACCGAGTCTGATATTGCTGGATTTATCCGACAAACCCTTCAAGGAATTCAATATATGCATGAGAGAGGCATTGGCCACATGGGTCTTAATGTAATTTTGTTGAATCTAGCTAAAAATGATCACATTTTTATAACGATTTAATTTCAGATTGGTGATTTGTTATTATCTCATCCCAACAGTGACGAACTCAAAATCGCAGACTTTGGTCTCTCCAGAAGAATCCAAATGGGTAAACTATATCCACTGAAATATGGTGTGCCAGAATTCGTAAGTCCGGAATGCGCAAACGGTGAAGGTACCGGTTTGGGCCATGATATGTGGAGTATTGGTATTATTACCTACATATTATTGTCCGGACACTCTCCATTCAGAGGTGTACATGATATGGAAACTCTACAACGTATCCAAGCCGGAAAATGGCAATTTGACGAATCCTGGTGGAGTCATCTCAGTTTGGAAGCACGCGATTTCATTACAAAGTTGCTTGTTTACCAAGCTGAAGGTCGTATGGATGTGCACACAGCATTACGCCATCCATGGTTGGAAAGAGCCGACAAAGTCTGGCAAGATGAATATAAGATCAGCAGTAAATACCTGCGCGATTACTTCTTGTTGTATAGAGAATGGTATGACAACGCATCCTGTCAAAGGTGGTTCAGACGTAGACCTCTGGAAGGAGCGTTTACTCATCCATCCAGGATGGTTTATCCACCTGGTGAGAGGTATACACCACCACCAGAAACACCAGCAGAGAAATCGAAGAAGAGAACATGGGAAGATGCAGTTCCCAGTAGGTCACCTCTTAATTATGAAATTGGTGTATTCAAATCAGAAAGCCAGTAAGTTTAATTAAACCTAAAATAGAGATGATGAGTTTATGACCTTTTTAATTTATAGTTACCAAAATGGTCCGGATACATATTTATTACAACTGCGTGACGTTGATTTCCCTGTACGTCTACGTGAGTACATGAAAGTGGCCGGAAGCCGTGGACCTTGCGTAGCCCACATCGTATCCAACGAAAATGGTTTTGATTGGGAGACACCAGTCATCCGTGAACGTAGGCGTTTCACAGACATCATGGACGAAGAAATCGATGATGAAAGAAAGACACGAATCAACCGTTACGGAACCGGTGAATCTAGTTACACCCTTAGACGTCTCAGACACGAAATAGGTACACGTTTAGACACCTACATTGAAGCCGAAGCATTCTTGGAAAGCAAGATTGAGGGACGTTTACCATTCTTCCGCGAAAAGCCGCAGATGTTAGCAATGCAAGAGGGTAAAGATCTGGAATTGATTTGCATGGCTGTCGGTGACCCAGAACCAACTGTACAATGGTTCAAAAACGATGCTATTCTCGCTGAATCGCACCGAATTAAAATTACACTTGATGCTAACGGCCGATCGCATTTGAAATTCTGCCCAGCGCTCTCGTTCGATCTGGGAATGTACAAAATCGTCGCGCGTAATAAAATCGGCCAGACAATCGCACGCACACGAGTAGTTCTGGGTGAAGTATCCGACGCTCCCGATTCGCCCGAAGGTGCACAAGTGTCGGACGATCAAGTATTGCTCACTTGGAAGCAACCCAAACACGACGGCCATGCGCCAGTCATTTGTTACAGCATACAATATAAACTCGCCGATGATATGGAGTGGGTCGAGAAGGCAAACAATGTAGATCACGAATTCTATTTGGTCCAAGGATTGGAAGCGGGCAAGAACTACATTTTCAGACTAGCGGCGAAGAATGCAATGGGCTGGAGCGAGTATGGTGTCGCCTCACCGGTCATCATGACCCTTCCGGTTGGAGCGCCGAAGATTCAATTGAGCAGAGCCATGACGCACTTGCAACAAATGACCGACGCTGGTGCCGAAGCACAGTTGGATAGACGTAACTCATTGGTGTACACATTCGAAACTGACCCAACTGATTGGATTAAATCCGATCCACAAGACAAATACAATTTTATTTCCGAGATCTACCGCGGGCAATTCGCCGCTGTAGTGAAGGCATTAGATAAAAAGAATGACCGCGTTGTTGTCGCTAAAGTAATCGACACGAACGCTCAAGGCGACGATCACGTCGAGGGGGAATTCGCGGCGTTAAGGTCGTTGAGACACGAAAGAATTGCGATTATGTTGGAAGCGTACAAGTCACCCGATCGATCATCCGTGTTTATACTTGAAAAACTGCAGGGTGCTGATGTACTTACCTATTTAGCTACACGACACGAATACACTGAACAAACTGTGGCGACGATTGTATCACAGGTGCTGGATGGCTTACAATACTTGCACTGGCGTGGTTTGTGTCACTTAGATTTACAACCTGATAACATCGTCATGTGCGGCGTGCGATCGGTGGAGGTGAAACTGGTGGATTTCGGGTGTGCACACAGAGTTACCAAGCTTGGCAACCATGTTCCTATTGTAGGCAGTCATGACTACATTGGTAAATTAAATTTGCATAACAAAATTCAATTTTTGTAATTTTATCTTGTTAATTATTATTTTCTAGCTCCTGAAGTGTTAGCGGAAGAACCAGCATTTCCACAAACAGACATTTGGAGCGTTGGTGTGTTAATCTATGTTTTGTTGTCTGGTACATTACCGTTCCGTGGCGCAACGCCCGAAGAATCGCGCCAGAACATCCTTTTCGTGCGCTACCGATTCGAACATCTCTATAAGGAAGTATCGCAGGAAGGCGTCCGTTTCGTGATGTTATTGTTCAAGCGACACGCAAAGTAAGAAACTTGGGTAATGCGCAGCCTTTCGTGCGTTGCTAATGTGTTAATGCGTTTTCAGCAAACGACCCACAGCGGAGGAATGCCACGAAAACAGATGGTTGCTGCCCACGGACTTCATGATCAAAAAGCGTGAGCGTGCTGTGTTCCTCGGCAACCGCCTCAAGGAGTACTCCGAGCAGTATCATGCGGAAAAATGTAAGGATGTTACAACGTCGGCGGGCAAAGTCGGACGCTCGATGAGCATACAAGAAGAGCTACAAACTGCTCCGTTTTAATTTAGAGATATATACGCAAATATTTGTTACTTAATTTAAATTATGATTGCCCAATTTTTAATATCGAACCCTGTTTAGCTGAATACAATTATTTTGAATTTTGTGGAAACGATGAAAATGATAACTGTAAATATGGCAATAACAATGGAACTTTGTTTTCGGCAATTTTAAATTAAACTATTAATATATTAATTAATTTTAGAATAGATTATTATACGCGGCAGTGAATGCACATGTTTTTGTTCTCTTATTTCGAATAAAATAATTATTGATGTTGGCCTTAAACTTTTCTACCTCAATTTTCGGCTGCGGCATTATCGAATCAACAATCAATGTGCTGGCCGATAAAATTACCAAGCCGTAATATTTTCCGATATTTTACACTTTTCACACAATTATATAACGCAAAAAAGTGAATAATAGTGCAAATAAATTTAGAAATTTTAATTCATCAACGTAATACTTTTGAACAATTATGCAAAAGGATAATAAACAAATAAATGTGTAATCGTAGATAAGTGAAACGCAGGACCGGACTAAACAATAAATAAACCAAAATTTTATTCTAATATTTTAAGGAAGCAAGACGTTTGCATATAAAAGAATTGAAGTGTAAAAACGTAAAATATCATTTCTAATATAAAATATCCGTCTGATTCAAGCCGAATCCCCGTCATAAAATCCATCTTACGGACATATTACTTTTATAACCCATTGGAGAAGTGGGATCGTTGAAATGTCCATAGCAAGAGTATATGAGAAAGTAGCGATAGAAGTTCAGAATTAGCCGTGAGAGTCGCCAGAGTGGTCAGTGCAGTGGTGAGGTTTGAAAATAGCGCAAAACAGCGGAAAACTTTATAACAAAATGTAAGTAATAGTCGTCATTCTAAGAAACTTCCGACTTCCGGATGCACAAAATCAATACTTTTTGTTTTCTGACTTGCAATGGAGTAATTTCCGCGGTGTGCTTTTTAAACTAAATACTTTTGCTTCTTTTTCACCTTTTTACACGATTTTGTTTCGATTAAACATGCGCGTGTTTCGGTTGAACGCGCAATCGATTAGGTGCATACATTGTAACAAGACGTACATGAATAGTTCACTTAGAGTAAATGCACTTACATTGCATAACTTATTACGTTAATACTTTCTCTTGCATCGCGCTAGTCTCCAACCGGAAATATTCCCGTGCATGCGAATAATTGCATCTCGTTGCATTTGCGGATCTTCACGTTCGGACAAGTCGTCGTTTAAAGTTATTTCCACTTTCCCTTTTGTAGTTTATCTTCACTCTCTTCAGACTTTGATTTGGAAAACGTCCAAGTATTCTCTACGTTAAGAAACTCATCAAAAGAAGTATTATGTGGGCCGCTACGCTTCTATTCAGCGCGTTTTTAATACTCTTCAATTATTTGTACTGCGTGAAGCCGAGGAACTACCCGCCTGGTCCAAAATGGCTTCCAATACTCGGCAGTGCGTTGTCCGTATCGCGTTTACGAAAAAAGACTGGTTCACTGGCGGAAGCCATGGCGATATTCAGTCGGAAATACGGCCCGGTGTTGGGCTTTAAGTTCGGCCAAGAGCGGATCGTTATCTGTTACGGTGGGCTCGCAATCAAAGAATTTCTCAATACGGAGAGTCTGAACGGACGGCCGATGGGACCGTTTTATGAACTGCGCACATTCGGCCGGAATGGCATATTGCTCACCGACGAACAGTTCTGGGTAGAACAACGCCGCTTCATATTGCGGCATTTACGCGAGTTCGGTTTTGGCAAACGCAATATGAGCGAGATGATCGAAGCGGAAGCCGACGTTATGGTCAATCACATAAAGCATCTCATCGGCAACCAGAAAGAAATATCAGCGCCGATGGATACAATGTTCGGTATTCACATACTGAACACAATCTGGACGATGTTGGCAGGCACCAAGTACAATCCGGAGGATTCCAATTTGAAATATTTGCAGAATATCTTGACGGAGTTATTCAAGAACATAGATATGATCGGCACTATATTTAGTTATTTCCCGTTCCTCATCTACTTCGCGCCCGAGTATTCCGGATATAATCTCTATATGAAAACGCACGTGCCAATTTGGAAGTTCATTACGCAGGAAATCGAAAAGCACAAAAAGACGCACGTGCCCGGAAGTCCACGAGATTTGATCGATGTGTATTTGGAGATGTTGGCGGCGCCGGAGAAGCCCGCCAGTTTCACCGACGATCAGCTGCTCGCCATCTGTCTGGACCTATTCATGGCCGGCTCGGAAACGACCACGAAATCTATGAGCTTCTGTATGCTGTACTTACTGTTGAATCCTGACGTGCAGCGGAAGGCGCAGACGGAGATCGATATGGTGGTGGGGAGGGACCGGGTGCCGTCGCTAAATGATCGCCCTAAGTAAATATAAATTTTATTTCCAGCTAACAGTTTTGCAATATGTATAGCCATTTTAATATGTATCAATATTAATATGCTGGTGATGCATACACAGTAAAATAACGCGTTTTGTATATTATATAGCATGCCGTATCTCGAAGCCATTGTTATGGAAACATTGCGCCACTTTATGAGGAGAACCTTCGGCGTGCCACATCGAGCGCTCAAAGACACTCATCTATGCGGTCACTTCATCCCAAAGGTACACAACGTTCTTTTTTTTTGTATCAAACGCGTCGACTATTCATGCCGTTTAATACATTTAACGCACTTGTTTAGGACACAATGGTAATCCCGACCTTCCATGGCATCTTCGAGGGCGCCGAGTGTATGTGGAAGGATCCGTACGCCTTCCGGCCGGAACGGTTTATCGTCGACGGTAAGGTGAAGGCGCTTGACATGTTCATCCCCTTCGGCATGGGAAAACGACGCTGTCTCGGTGAGACGCTCGCCCGTGGCAACCTCTTTATCTTCATCGGCGCGCTGCTGCAGAACTTTGATTTCAAAGTGCCGGCGGGCTGCAAACCGCCGACCACCGACACCGTTGACGGCGTGACGGCCGCACCCCGACCATTCCGGGGTATTATCGCACATCGTACAGCGTGATCCAACCATCACCCATACGCCCGCCATTGTTATTAATAATTCTTTATGTATGATATACCGTTAGCACTGAATTATCCAATAAATTATTTGACGTTTTTTACTTAATTCGAGTGGTCGGTTGTTAAATATAAATATATATGCGATAAATTAAAAACGTAACAAAATAATAAATCAACAAGTAATTCAAAATACAAAAACACACGTTGTGTAGGAAGGGTGCGTGCACAAAAATCCATTACTTAATAATATCACAGAGGATGCTGAGGGGTGCGGTCGAGTATATTGTAGCGATTCAAGATGTGTGGGAAGAGCATAGAGACTCGACCGTCGCTCAGTGGTCACCTAGCTACGGAGTACTCGTCCTGAATATGTATCTGCCGATGAAATCAACATGTATTAACCCCGAATTTACAGCAAGAACAAAACAAACCTCGCTCAATATGGCCCAATTGTCGCTCTCGCTGTGAACATACAAACGTAAAGCTGACACTCGACCAATGTTTTCATTAGGATTGCCGGTCGCAATGCCAACACTATCAAATTTACCTACAGGTACAAAAAAAAACACATGAAATGAAAAACTTTGCATTTGTAAAGCTCTCACTGCCCACTCACCGACGACAATGTATCCATCCGCCGTGAGATTCAACGAGTTCACATAGAGATTGCTCTCCGCCGGCATAACTTCGACGCTGGTATTGTAAAACTTGTCGGAAGGATGTTCGACGTTGCCGCTTCGGAAGAAAAACCTAACAAATCACAAAGTTGACAAGTTTTTCGCGTCTCCGACAGTCGGATTGTGATTGTAGCAAATGCACCTGTACCTTTTGATATGAATTGGTGTCTTGAACTTGAAGATTAATTGATCTCCGGGCTGTGGCAGCAGGCCCCAGAAGAACGCCTCGCCGAGGTACGCCCGTTTCAGACTGTACAGCTTGTAGCATTTGATGCCGGAGATGATGTCCGCCTCAGGATTAGTGTGCGGAAAGAAAAGCGCTACTTTGCCGAACTGCTTGTCCTGCAGCCAGACGAACCAGACCGGAAAAGAAGAAAAGCAAGCACCGACGTGCAGGAATGAATAAGTAACTTTTAGGGTTCGTGGGAAATATGACTCCCTAGAGCGCGCGCGGCAAAATGCGCACATATTTTCCAACTTCGGTGGCGGAGGATGAGAGCGCGAGCAATCGCTACACTAGCCACGGACAGGGAAATATTAAAGCCAGGATCTTCGCATAATAAAGCACAGTCGTTCGGGCCGACATAGGGCCCGAACCCAAAACTACGCCACGCCGTTTGCCACGGTTTGCACGGTATACAATGAATATTTATAAACAACTTGATTAAAAAAGGCCTTTTACGATTATGGAGCGTTATTAATTTACGGCCAAAGTCCACGCGCAGGGAAAATAATTACTGCACATTAATTACTACACATCCAACGCACGTATACATCTGTATCTATATATATATGTGTGTGTGTGTGTGTGTGTGTGTGTGGAAATAACACAAAAGTTTACAACGCGCGTACTGGATTTTATCACAAAATATAACAGAAGCGCGTTCCCTATGGGATAGGCACGCATAAATCTTTGATTCGTTGGTGTGCAGGTAGTGCTCTAGGATCGCTAGGAATGAAATATGTAAGATTCTTATCCAACTTCAATTTTATATGTTTGCCGAGGACTGGTCTACTAAATTCAAGCACGCCTAGAATTCTTTAGCGATTTGAATTATTTACGCGTTTGTGTAAACGAATAAAAGGAAAAAATGTTGCCTTCACGACATGAGAATGGACCTATGATAGGAGATGAAAATTCTTTTGTTTTTTTCTTATACCTTGAGCTTTTGCACTTTGCCTTTGAGCGACGAGTGCGTGCCGATGTGTTGGAATAGTGACGGTTTGTAATGGATCCACAGTTTTGCTTTGTCCCTTTTGTAAAAGTCCTGAAAACACAGAAATGTCATGTTTAACTGTCCGGCTTTTGTGACTGCCATAGCTATATAGCTAGCGCTCTACCTTGTTTTTCTCCCAGTTGCAAATTTTCGTGTAGATGAGATCGTCGAGCAGCCAATCAACTGGTTTGTCGTTGTAAAACATCTGAAAGAATTGAATGAGCCACGGCAGCTCGGCGCTCTTAAACATTTTGCCTGTAAACAGGATGAAAATAGAATAAAGCAAAATAGAAAAAGAAATGTTTTTAAATTTATTGGACGCGTACCGATAAAACCCAGCTGGCAGAAATCTAGGACGAACCATGGCTCCTTGTTGGCCGTTTTGTCAAGCGCGAATTTCTTCATTTCACTAATATAGTAAGGCTTGGCGAGAATGTCGTCCTCCAGCTGCACGTAGAACGTGCCCTTCGGCTGGCAGTAGGACATTAAGAAAGCAAAGTCAAATTTTGCTTCGACCGCCAGCGCACGCGCTCAACGGATCGCCGAGCGTCGAGCGCAATTTGTCCATATCCGGGTAGTAAGATACGGATGGTGACACCACTTCGATTAACCCGCTGTCAACTTGACTCGGAAATCTGAATTTATGAGAGAAATATTAAAATATCAACAAATTCATTCTTCCCTTCCCGTCCTATATCAAGCTTACCTCAATTCAATTTCTTTCGCAACTAGCAATACATATTCTAGATCAGTCTGAAAATAAAACAGAAAAAATAAAAATAAATTAATTTCAACTTGTTGACGCCAACACTTGATGGTGAAGGATTACACTTAAATGAATAATCGAATAATTCCACCGAGGCGGGCGGGTAATTTCCCCAATGGGCCGTTAATTAATTAGGGGAATGTTATTTATACAATATGACGGTTAAACCCAATAAGTTAATTATGAGGCGTGTAATCACCGAATGGAAAATTATACACATCGACGGCGAATACGCGTCAACGGTGCAAAGTTATCAAAGTTATAAATCAGCGATATAAACCATCAGATTGTAAGTTATGAAGTTAGAAACAGCGAACAACAGTGTACATTAGTCAAATAGGAATTTTGGTTGACACACTTCGTGTACTTCGAGTGTCGAGTTGTTGATATCAATTTGGCTTAGCGGAGAGACGACCTTGTAATTTATTAAATTTAAATGACCGAGAAATTGCGCTCAAGTTGACAGGTCACCATTGTTGTTTATAACAATGTTGTTCAATTAATCAACCAGTCGTGCGCATGCATAATTCAGCACTAACTGAATTACACCAAACTAACGCCTACAGCAATATATTTTTTCAAATTGTACTCCAACATTAATAACATTACAAAATATTAAAGAAGAAATTGAATTTTCAAGATAAGGTTATGTCATTTGACATATTCGACAAGATCATATACTTCATGGTTTGATAGTTGAGTAAAAAAACCTTTTAAATTTAATAAAAATGACAAAAAAAAAACGAAAAAAGATGAAATTGTTGGATATTGCTTTGATTTTATTGCTAAAACAAAATTTACTCGCACTTTTCTTAATAAGAATTAATTTAAGACAACTTTTATTAATTGCCATCTTGTTTAATATAGAATTCAATATTTTATTCTTCATCTGTATCTCGTAGATAACTTAATGATGTATTATCGTAAGAGAGGAAGTAAATTAAGCCGGATATCGATAACGAACACTTGCTCTCCTTCCGGTCGGGCACACACAAATGATGGATGATTTGAGTTTCCAGGTGTTTTTCTTCCCGGCCAGAACCATTAATCTTTAATAATACCACGAGACGAAACTACCTCCTTTTTATTACACTGTGCGCTATATATATCTTGTTAGAGCGTGTGTTTCGCAGCATGCAAAATTTGATACAGATTGCGCACTAAACCAACGCCTATTAGACTTGTTCCACGAAGAAAACCAAAAACCGGAAGGCGTTGAAAGTCAAAAGATAATGAAAAGATCCTACTGGGAACAGGATCTGCACGGTTGGTTGTTTAAACTGACTTTATTAAAATACAGTTTTTCACATCGCTGGAGAGAAAAATGAAGGCAAACAATAATTAAGCATGATAAATCCTTAGTCTTATAATAAGAGCGGCAGTGACAACATGTTTCCTCTTGAATAATCTCTACCTTTTTAAGGAAGGGGCGAGCTAAAATAAAGATAAACAAAGATAGAGAGAAAAAAGAATGCCTCGAAGGGGATTTTTGCACGTTACGGCTTATTTACGTCCTTTGAGGCTCAGTATTTAATGTACCTGGGCTGAACAATCTTGATACGTACTTGCGAATACATAAATTCTAAAAGCGACAAGCTTACGCTTTATGAATACGTATTTCTAAAACAAAGCCGGTGCAGTCATATTATATTACGTGGTTAACTTCGTAATCAATAAAAAATGGACCGAAAACAAAAGCACTTTTTATGAATTTTAAAAATACATTCAATTCAATGATTTCATATTTGATATTGTCACAGATGACAAAAACCGATTTTTCATTTATTAAAGAGGACATTTATTTGATTTATGATGGGCAAACAATATCAGAATATGAATAAAATAATAGGTCTTGTTTTTTAAATAGAGACTAATATTTTCAAGTGGATTATTTGTCAAAATATGGTCGATTTTCGTATTTATCATACAATTTATTTATAAATAAAAAATAAATAGCCATCCGGTAGTCTCGTTAAAATTTAAAAGAAGCAGGGTCAGTTGAATAAGTTATTATTTTAAATCAATTTTCAACTTGAATGGCGAAGCCTCTCTTGCTCTCGGCTCGACCACTATTCGACACCACAAATTGCACAAAAGAGTAGAAAAATAGGGTGACGATGTTTTGTCGACAAAGAGACTGGACTCAAACCAAACCTTAGATTAAAAATAAGAGGAGTAGAAAGAGAACCTGCGACTAGACCGAGTCACAACTGAGCACTGTGGGCGCTGCGTGCTGCTCTTTTATACATTCGGCCTACCCGATTGAAAAGGAAGGGGAAAAGCCCGCCACTGCGTGCGTCGAAAATTTAAATGACTTTGGCTTTCGCCCTCAAACCGTTCCCTACAACCTACTTAAGTTAATACACTTAATATCACACGTTACGCATGCACACTTTATATATTTTACTGAGTTTGCTGTTTATTCCCTGGTTAAGCTGTAAAATTCTCATTTAATCCTCAGTTTAAAGAAATAAAGTTTATATTATGCACCGATACACCCATGAACATTGAAAACAAGTCCCAAATGAAATGTAAAATGCCCACTGTAAATTCAAATGCTCGTTAAATATGCAAGTGGTTAACAGTAGAGTACCTGTTTTCCGAGTAAAAACACGGCACTACATCCACTACACTATGCACAGCCATCTCTCCTCCGCCTCAGCAACCCTTAGCCCTAAAAGTGTAATCATACATATCGCGTACGCATCATAGACATTGGCGACGAACCAATCGCGTCCTTGCGAACGCAGAGAAATTTGCGCAAAGTGTGTAGCTGCGCGATAAAATGCTATCTCATTTCGGGCGTGTTTCGCTATAACATTATGATGATGTAAGCGTGCCGTACACTGAACCTTGTCGGTGTTTGCGCTGCGCACGTTGTCTATACCGGCTATCTATACACGTGTAGCCCGGCTCCTTCGCCACGCTAAAATATTACATCTGTGTGCGTATCAATGCTATTTTTTTATCCTCTCGCCGATATATACGGGCATTTCGCATTCCCAGCGTGCGCGGGGCTGAAGCGGGAGGTGCGTGCTGAAAAGAATTTACGATTTTCCGGCGCGGCGCATGCTTGTCGCTGCCGTGCGCGAGAAAAATTGCTATCGTGTGTTTCCCATTTCGCAGCTCTCGCCGCACGTACGATAACGACAATCATTCCATTTTATTTGTACACAACTGGTCCAAAACAATAAAGAAAATTCATTTTCTGTTTAAAAATTGAATGAGCAAAAGAAAATCTCGAGGATTATTGTTATTAATTAATTACCCGAAGAGTAATAAAGCTATATTAATGACTCCAGTTGTAATCTAATGATTATTAAATTCCATACACGAGTTTTCAATGTTTAAAAAAAAAATAATTACGAATCAAAAGATAGATATAAATAATTATAAAATATTAATTATGTATAACTTTACGTAAGAAAATATTAATTTAATTAAATAAATTAGTAAAAAATGGAAAAAAACGTCTTTACTATTAGTAGTTCTTAAGAAATAAATTAATGGCTATCAATCTTCGAAAAAAACAACTTTTTGCAGATCTCATGCCCAAAACAAATTCCTACACAAAAACACGATCAAGAAAGTTTCGTAGGAAAGTATTTTAGCATGATTAGTTTTAAGTAATTAATAACTCCGAAAGAATCAAGTTGTTGTCAAGTTCAGGCCGCAACGCCACCACAACGTACACTATTAGTCAAGTATAGATTAATAGATTAATTTGAGGTTGTGAAGTAGACAAATTGCGCAAAATTTAGTTTGCAACTAAATTTATGGAGTCGCAAACTGTTCGATAGCAACAAATTCGTAATCTATCTGTCGCGGCCGATTTATACGCCGATCGATCGAATCAAACACACGATTTAACACAAGTGCCCTACAGCGCAGCCCGAATTGTCCAAAATGATACTCCCCAGGAGCCACGATATTCCGAAATTGTTTCCGCATGGCTGGATTAAAATGAAATAACACAGCGCGCGCGGATATATCCGCAAACAGGCCAAATCGGGTTTCAAGTGGCGCAAGAAGCGTAAGTTAATTACAAAAGCTCATACCTCTGCGACGAATATAACAATCAGCGCGTCCTCTCGCTCGTCCATGCTCATGCCGTCGACGAGACTCTGAAGCGTCTCCATGAGATAGGTGTGCTTCTCGCGGCGTACGGTAGGTACACCAAGGACCACCGAAACGCCGGTGCGACCTTTGGACATTAGGTAAGCCAGGCGTAAGCTGGCCGGATCGTCCAGTAAGTGCGGCAGGAAATGGAAGGACGACGGCAGACGCAGCATTATCGGTGGATTTAGACCGTGCGCGGCGTTCATGCCGGACATGTTTCGCAACAATTGTCTAATCTCCGGCTTGGTGGTGGCTGGCGCGGCGCCGCCAAACGGCGAGTGCGCCCAGCGACGCATTGCTATCGCTCGGCGCGACCATCTGGTCGATGTGGGCGGTCAGCTGCTGGAGGTCCTCTTGTCGTGATCTATACATGGTGTCCAAGTATTGCAGCTTCACCTGCAGCTCCGCCAGGCGTTGGATCAACATTTGTTCTGAACTTACATCTGGAAACAATAAAAATTCATGAATTTTAGCCTAATTTCTAATTTGTATTCATTCTCGAGTAAAATCGATTTGGAACAGATGTCATTTAGAAAATTACTTTCCACGGTGGGGAAATGTATGAGTATCATCAATTCCAAATGTTTTGAAAATTTAATTGCCGACGATGGTCCAATTAATGTCCAAATTAATTTATAACACTTTTAATTAATTATTTACTATCAATTTAATATGAATCAATAAGTATCTTAACGTAAAAATTGGTTAAAAGTAGATTTCACGTTGAATTTTCTCAGGAAACAACCTTAATTCAAGAATAAACGAAGAATCAATAAGATTGGAAACCGCTGAACTGCACAGGGACAGTTTACAGTTAGCACCCTCGGGCCCAATATATTCCTTGACAAAGTAATGTCTATTGTCTCGAAGAAAGCTCCCGAATGATCGAGGGAATTTGGCACGGATCGACAGATCAGTTTGGAGTTATTCGCTTATTTGTTCTAGAACTATCACCGGAAGCCGAGCGGAAGACATACGCTTTACCATCCGGATGGCAATCTATCTTGCGAGCGGTACGCGCTCCTGATAGGACTAGTTATACACGTATCTGGACAGGACACCTAATTTATCATCAATTTGTTTTAAACACATTTACGACGTGCGCAATTCGTTTAAGATTTCCTCGCGCGCGTTGACAAAAAGCGTTGATGGAAAATTAACGGCACGGAATCGGATTACGATCGGTAATTTGATTGTAGTTGTAACATAAGCGGCTTCAAAATGGCCGCTATAATTGAAGTTGAAGTTAGGCTTGAGTTTGACCAACTTAATTTTCTTCTCTCTTTACGTTGCAACCGAAGTTTGGGAATTAATAAAAAGATTTTTAGTACTTTGAGAAGTTTCACACATTAAAGCAATATGGCGGTACTTAAAAAGTTTCAAATTACTCTAACAAATATGTGTGAGGACATTTTTAAGCCGGAATTGCTTTAAAATGACAAAAATACACAGGTAATTTATATTGATAGATATGTATGGAAGAAACCTTACGAGAGCAAAATGCTGCGCGGTGGTTATTTAATAGGCATGAGAATGATTGCAAGTTTCCATTCGACTGACTAGAATACTTTATACGTTTACGAAACTTTAACGACATACAAAACTGTTTGTATTCCATAACACGCATCAGGAAATTTTGCGTCACATGCTGAGTTCAAAGCAGCGTTACAACAACATAACCTCTAATGTCACAAAAAAGTTACCGCATAAATATATTAGAGCACAAGAAGTACAAAGCGACAACACAACGTGAAGTACATGAAGTATTAGCATAATGATGATACGTTTTAGGATCTGCTCAATTAAACTTCGTAATTTCGTCTGTAATGACAGCCGCAAAACTGGAAAATACACATACCATTCATACACATAGCAGGAACTTTGCAATTTCCACATTTGCTATGTTAAACATTAGAAAATGTTTCTTGCTGACTGCGAATATTTTACTGTTGCTGAATCACGTCTTCGCTTTAACTCATGTCGTCTGATGTCGGAAATTTAATCTTTTCGCTGCGTTCAAAAACTGCAAATACTCGGAGACGATGTGCCAGCGGCGTCAATTTATTGTCTCAAATTCATTGTGTTTCCATTCAGTCGACGTAATTAATGAGCATGCTGTGCATTTTGCTTTTGTAATGTGATTAAAGGACAAATGATAGTTGAGAATTTCAATTATTTACACCAAACTATCTAATTTGGTGATACGTGTAACCAAATACGAGTATAAACATAGCAATAAATACCAAACAATAATGAAATGTTTCAGGTGTATAAATACATACCAACAATACCTGAGAATAAATTTATTCGATAAAAAATGAATAAATTTTAGTTTAATGTAAATATTTGGTTTAAATTTTCAACTGAACGTTTTGTATAATACTAATATTCCCAATTAACTCCAACTGTGTCAATGAATGACATCCGTATTATTCGCTTCATTATTACCAGATACATTCACTTCATTTCCGCCGAAAAACTCCAACTATTTTATGCACTAATTTATTTATTCGACTTCAATATTATTTTAACCTTGAGAAAGGTTAAAAATAGCATAGGTATAACATCACAACATAAAATGTATCGTGCATGTTCGACGAAGTTAATATTATTTATAATCCTTGATATTTCATCAATACACTCCTCGAAACTAATTAAAATTAAAAATGAAATAAATAATTCAGTTGTGCTTCTCTGGCGGCACAGGAAAAATGAAATTGAATTTATAATTTCGTATGTAAATTGCATTTTCCACCCGGCTCTCATTTGATATGTGAATTCGTTCACAGAATATTAATAAATGACCTCTCGTGTTGGAATGCGCTACCCTTTTACGCAATCACTAAACTTGACAGCCTGTGGGGGTCGACATCAAGGCAGGCGGCGGCAAATCGCAGAGTTAATACAAATACAAGCCAATAGTTTTGCCACTTCAAGCTTTAATTAAGTTTATGCCTTGAGAAATGCTAAATTTGCATGGAAATTTTATAATTGGAAAGAGTAGAGTTGTTTGTTTAGATAAAAGTGGATTATTTGATATCGTTATGTGCGTAAATCAAACGTAATGAACAAAGAGCTCGGTGCTCGGCACGTGTAGGCCATTAGCAAACTACGTGTTATCCGAGGTAAGGTATAAAGCTCGTAATCGTATTAGGAGCGTAGTTTTCTGTTTATCACACTGGTAATTTAATCTAATAAAGCTAGCTTCTACGCAAGCACGAGCAAAAAAATTATAAACGGATTTAAAAAGTAAACGCTAAATGAAGCAATAAAAAATATTTTTATGATGTTTTACGTGCAAGGTTTTACTAACAATAAAGAAAGTCCTTCCGGATGATGAAAAAAAAAAAGTTTAAATTGTTTCGTTATAAAAAGTTAAAACAACAAAAAAGTTACCACGTCAGTTGCAAACCCACTCTACGCTGAATAATGATTGATGTATTGATAAATTGCTAATGTGTGATACATCGGCATCGACATAAAAGACTAACTTCATGCAGTTATCCATCTACAGACCCACCTCGAAGAATGACTGGGCGTACGCCGAATGAACTGCCTAACCTCTGACTGTTTGACTTATGCGCTTGTGCGTTATGTAAACCTACAAGCCGAAGGTGAAGGCAATGCAACTTGCTGGTTACTGTTCAATGACAATACACTGAAAACAACATTCAACGCGGAATGCACGCACATCAAAGACCTGCCACATGCAACATGCCTGCATATGTTGCACATCAAAATGAAGGTGAAAAAAGACCGAGTAAAAGGTCGGACTGCCATGGCAGGTTAACGGCGCATCCGCGAAGAGACGAGACGTACCGGCGTCGAGTGTGTACTCATGGTTAATTCTCCTCCTTCCTGCTGCTGTTTGACTTATGTGTAGTGTGTCACGATCTAAGGTCAAGATTCGTACTCGACCAGCTAACATCATAAAACACATCAAACACACATCAAAAACCCTTCAACGGTAAATTTCAGCACAGCAAATTATTTTGCCAGCCAGAATTAATCGAGGTAATAATCTTCTCTGAGCCCACTATCATTAATACCGACACCGACACTCGAACAACACGAACGTATGCAATTTATGTGGAAATTATCGGATGGTTTAGTTTATATGCATAAAACTCACTCTCACGATGCAAAACTGCAGTCATTCGATATCTATAAACTAGAAATATGATAGAATACGTTTTCCCACCGCATAAACTAGGAAATACGTTTTTATCACTTCTTTTAAACATTTTAAACATATAACTGTAAAGGATTTTGAAAGTTTGTCATGCAGAACAATCGGGTCGACATGCAAAAGCGGAAATTTACCTTTGACCAATCATTTTTCCCAATGTTATTTCTTATTCCAAGCGAAATAAGCTAAAGTCACGATGTTACATTCGTGATATATCCGTGATGTTTACGCGATGCAATGTATGAAGCTTAAATGATGGCTAATAACAAGTTTCGCCAGCGTGTTTCCTGAATTAGAACATTGAATATTGCATGTTGTTCATCTTTTATTGCACCGCAAAGTGTATTAGTTAGTATTCATAGACGCGGAGTTACCTTCAGGACAGCCAAAGAAACACTTTGCACACTTAGCACACTTTGTGTAGATTGTGCACATGGATGAAGAAAAAAAAAACCCAACCGACGTGCTTCTTTCCCGCAATGGAAAGAGCCCGTAATTTCATTTACAGTTCAACATCAATTGGCAAAACGACCAAATTGCCTTCATTTATTATTTACTTACGGCATGAAAAACTTGAATGAGATTGCGTGGAATGATTGGAATGATGAAAGAAATATCCATTTGTTAGTGTCTTCGTTTAAGGCATTCTTTATGCATGCCCTGCATGCTGTTGAATGTTTTTCAGAAGCAATTAAGTTGTGCTTTTATCGGCACGACAGCCAGGTGATTTTAAGAGGCATTGTTTCAGAGATAAGTTAATTCAGTGAATGTCTACGTATCGACACGTAACATTACTTCCAGAAGTACACATATGGAATAAGCAGTACCTCTATATGCGTGCTTGTACCGTGTAGTAATATATCTCGAGAATAACGGCACTTACTTGATAATTTCGCCATGCATAATTTCTTCTTTCATTCGCGGCATTAGCAGGAAAAACAACAGATGTACCGAAATTAAACATAACCTAAACAATGTGACTTTTACCTTGGATAGAAATATATAGGCAAGCCAACATACAATAATACTGTTACATTCAGAAATATAAATATTACAGATGATGAAATCGCTGGGACATTCACTATTCACATATTCCAAGGTGCCTGATCGCGGTTGTTATGCATGATGTGCCCTAGAGAGTGTTCACTGCAAGATACTAATTAGTTTAACGAATCGCATTAGACGCTGTCAATTGGAACAATTTAATAGATGCTGGAATTGATTCAATTCACTCGCTGGGATTCAGCCATAATGCACACGCGAGCAGACACACATTGAATTAGTAGCGTTTAATTGCACCGTTGCAAAACTGCAATGTGAGCTTCATTATTAATTATGACAGTATTATGTCAAATAAAAACAGAAGTAATTTATTTACCCGCGTTCAAAAGGATTTAGTGAAATTAATGTTTTTGGATAACATAATAATTACGGCGTGGATTCAAACGAAAACATTCATAACACTCAAGTGAACATAAAGTTGCTTACGTAAACAAGCGCAATTAAATTCGCATAACAGGAGTAATTAACAACTAATTCGGGACCTAATGAAACACGATTGTTGGACATTCGGCCGGATAAGCGGCCAATTATAATTTGTTTAATAGTAATAATAATATGCTTATTACCTGCGTTGATAATCTAGCGTGTTGATGACCTTTACGCAATGAATAGTTAATGATTTTATTAATGTCTATGTGCGCAATTTTTAAATAATTTATAAGCTAATTACCAACGAGGAGAAATGTGGAAAGTGCTCGATGCAAGTTCGCTGTAAGCAGCGCTGACCTTTAACGAATATTCACTGGAGTTTTGCCGGCGAAAATGTTCTAAATGAAAATTTATCGTTCGCTCGCATTGGGACGTACCTACATGTTTACTCACGCCGGGCTCTAAACTCTAGAGGTCTTGTTTTGGACGGCTGCCATTTTAAGTTTGACTTGGAACAACAAGCAGCAAAAACAAAATGAATAGAGTTATGTTTTGTGAATTTGAAAAAAAACGTCAATAAATGTTCATGTTCATTTGTACGCTCCGCTGACGTTAATCATTCAAGAGTTTTTAAGCCCGTGGGCAATCAATCATTAATTTCCACATAAAACTCTTACGCAAGAGATTTACACTGTACAGTCACGTGAAAATCCACTTCACTTTAAAATCAATAGCAAATTTTCATTTTAAAATAATAAAAATAAAAAAGATTGAAGTGTGTATGCAAAACTTATCTAAGCGCATACAAGGTTGTTGGAAATAATATGCAAACAAACGATAATTGAACCGGTTATCCAGTGTTTAAGTGCAACTTTCGAAGGTGACTACAATAGAAGCAGTCACCGGTGAGCGCCGAGGAAATAACTGACATAAAAAGAGTACATGCGCGCATTTTGCGCAATAAAATGTGTCGCTGTGCAAGTTGTTACATCACCGGCTGTTATTTACTCGCTGGTATTGTTGAAAGCAAATGCAGTTCGAACGAGTGAACTGGATTAATTACAGAGTAACTGAATAAATTAACAACTATGAAATAGATAGGCGAAACGAAGCAAAAAAAAAAACACTTAGTGAAACTTGAAACTCTTTATAAAGACGCACAGAGACTCGAGACAGAAAGTAAACTTTCTACTCGGTCTTCTTAATTAAATATTCCTAATAAGTTGGTGGCATGTTGAGCAGTGAAAAATATTATGATAAAATTTCGTATTTGTATATTGTGTAAATGCGGACAATGTCAACGCAACTCAAAGTTAACAGAATAGAACAAAACGAATTGAAACAATTGAAAGATATAACAATACACACCTTTAACGGTGCTTAGCGTTAAATTTAGTACGCAAGCAACAAAATCGATTCTCGCATTCATGTTTAGAATATTGATAACGTTGATAACGCGCGTATTGTTGAAGTTTCGCGAGCGCAACGGAAACAGAACATCAGCTACAGTTGATATTAATATATTTCACAAATAAAACTGGGATGAAAATAAACGAGAAACCGGAAAACGCATCATTCACTCGAAGACAATGCCATATATAATATTAGGATGAAGATGAACCAATCATAAGACTTATTATTTTTAAAAAGTGAAAATTGTTTGTGAAAAATTACGCAATTTCTTCTGCACCGTTAGAAATAATGATTAAATTTGAAAATAATTGTAATGCAATTACTCTTTCGTGTTTTCCAATATTAAAGAAGATTTCCGGCATTTTTATGTTCCTACCTTTATTATTCTTGTGATGTGCATTATAAAAATTACAAATTACAAAAACAGAAAGTACTGCGCGCATCGCACAGGAAAAGAAAAGAAAAACACAACGTCGAAGTGAAATTAAATTTCACTCACCGACTAGCACTACTAAACAGTGCGTTTACATGCGTTTTTGACTTTGAGCATTCGCGCACCGTGTGTTATAAAAATACCACCGTTTAGATTACGACCAGTGGACACGTAAACAGCGTAAAAAGTTGAAATAAAAACAAAAGTAAACCGCGCAGACTTTCAAAGCGTGCGAGTAACTATTTTTATTCGTTAGTTATTTCTTTCGTGCAAATAGCAACAAACAACAAAAAACACACGCAATGTAAATAACATGTTTAATTTGACTTGTATTTATTCACAAATATAGAAAAAAATTTACATCTCACGTTTATTTTTCAATTATAGTACTGATTCGTTGACGTGTTTACCGACTATGAATATGAATTATGTCCATATTGAACCTAGTAGTTAGTTGTTACATTTCATTGGATTTTATTTGCCTTTTTTGTTTCGTTTTTTTTATTGTAGGACGTAAAGAATTTGTTGGATTGGAACACATTCCACATTCCATGGCAATTCAAACATTGCGGAGAATAAATGCCAAAGTAGAACGCAATAAAAATGCTAGTTCTAGGGTGGTTGTGATTTCATAGTGCTCGTTTAGCGTTGAGGACTTGAAGAGTGCATACAAATAGGATGTTTGCATAAATCCTAGACATCTAATACATATGTGAGCCTTTATTGAGGTTCTATTCCGACAGAGTCTCGGGTCAGCGCGTCAAGTGGGACGTGCGCCTCGCGGATTTAATTGCACTCTTAATGAATATGCAACAAATGCTCTTACGAAGGATGTGACGTGTCCTCCTTTTGTATTAAGGTGAAGTTTGCTATTTGCGCACTAGTTTTTGCATAAACCAGTTGTTTACTGCGTAATTCTCGCTATTTATTTTACAAATCCGCGTAAAATGCATCGTTTTTGTTCTTTGACAAGTGTGAAGTTTCGCAATAGCGTGTAAAGTAATTTTCTTTACGATGCTAATTGAAACGGTTGAATAATTGTTTACATTTGCGTTTAAACTAAGCCACAAAGTCATGCACGGTATTTCCATCAACATAAAGACTCAAATATTTGTTTTACAAAAATTTATAACACAAAGAAGAGTTTTCTGAAAGCCACGTGTTAACCACCACCATGTTGCTCACTAATTTGTTGCCCAAACAATAAAATATAAATAGCCATAGAGTGGTGTTTACCTGGTACTGAAAATAGCACGAAAAAGCAGAACGGAATGAAGACGACGAAGGCGAGTACCAGAAGGCAGTTACGCCTTCGCAGCGGCGTCACCACCAAATTGACCACGGCCATATACGCTCAGCGGTGACAAATAACTCCTCGACGAAATTGAAGTGTCCGCGAGTGTCGTACACCGGTCACCGGTCACATTCGCGCGGCCGAATCGTCGAAAACGTGCGCGATTGTCGTCGTCGCCGGTGCCGCACAGCCGAGTGACACAGATTCGCGCATGGGTCGCATGGCTTTGTATCCGCCGCGATGCAAATAACAATAAATAAACCCACAGCGCGTATGTGTGTGCCAAACAAAAACCGAGAGCGGAAAAGAATAAATATCTAATCAATTAGACCTAGGCACAAGCAAATGCGATTACGCCAAAGCGTGCGTTCGTTTGACGATTATTTCCGCGTCGTTACCGACTGCGCTACCGTTGCTTGCGCCCGGTAGTGTGCCGACCAGCAGCTGATCGCACGCGACGGCGCGGATGGACAGACAGAAGAGAAGACACACATGCGACGAGTGTGCGAGACACCGATGCGCGCTCGCGCCCACACTGACAGCGACTGACGATGAGTAGCGAGACTTGCGGCGCGACGAACGCGAGCGGACTGCGTGCGTGCGCCGGCTTATGTAAGAACAACCGTTCGGTGGGGTGCGAACGATGGCGGATGCGAGACAGCGACCGACTGCCGCGATTTTCGCCGCGTGCGCCTCGTGCGGTTACGTCGCGTCGTGGGGACGGTGTGGCGCTGGCGGATGTACACTTTTCTAGGTACTAGGTAGCTGTAAAACTAGCGATATACTAAAATTAAAAACAAAAAACAACGCCACACGTGGCTGCATACAGAACTAAAAAACATTCATTTGCATAGTTCCGTTGGAACTTTAGCAATTATCCAATTGAAACACCCCTATTTCAATCAAAAACCTCCAGAAATGTTTTATTCATTTATTTTTCGCGTTTTTTCAACTAGTTTTACCCGCAGGGTATTGTTTGTTAGTTACTTGCCACACCTGCGTTAGTGTTGTTTGTAGAATGGTAAAATTCATTTGATGTATACAGAGGTCGCAGCCCAACCCGAGCCACCACCATTTGGGGGAAGCAATGGGACTTTAGGGAGAAACAGGAGACGAGAGGGCCGCGCCTGAGCAGCGCGCGCATTCTATCGACCGCAGGAACGGCACAGCGTGGCGCCACGCGTGTCACGCGCCACATGGAAAGCGCAGGAAGTTGCAGTCCGAACGCTTGCAGGCGCAAGTTTCATTCGTCGGGATGACACACACGGAAAAACATTTTCGTTTTCGCGGCGATGGGCGATATTTTTGTTTGCCGCTTTCTGACGCCGACAATCTATTTATAGTACGCACAAAAGCGAGATGAAGAAATTCCCAGCGTTAGGTACTTTTATTTGCACAGATCACAAATATTGGAAAACACTTTCTTTTTATAATAAAAAAATAGGCAAACGTAATATTTTTGTGAATTTTATTTGAATTGTAATAAAAATATATTCTATTCCACCATTTTGATTATTTGTCAATCATTAACTGCAATTGTAGCGAATTTATTCATGTATTAATTAGCGAATCGTGTTTTTGTGTATTTTTTGGAGTCGTTAATGTTTTTATGAACAAATTTGTGTGTCCTTAATTAAAGTCGATTTAATCCCAAACTTAAACCGATGGCAAATGAAAGTTCCAAACTTTTTACAGTGTTTAATTAATTCCGCACGAGTTGGAGAGCTGCGAACGAAACGAACTGCGCCAGAAGCAAACTCCCAAGAAATTCACCGATGTTTTAGTGCGATTGCATCGAATTTTAACTATTTTCAAGCCTTTTAAGCACATTTATAGACAATTAAATACAACATAAAACTAATACGTAAATTACTCAATTTTTCAAACTTAATTCGTGACTTAATTCGTCACGTATGTGTACAGTTACAATTAATACGAGATAAATTACATATCATGTTCGTTATCGTGGGATTGGCAATACCTAACTGCCAAATGAACGAGATCCTCTCTTCTAGTAAGATAGGTGTCGAACAGTCTAAAGAGACGAAGAGAATTCGATATGGTATATCCAGGATTTCATTCGTTTCAGAAAGGCTTTGTGCGAAATTCCTGCAATTGACGAAGACACGAAAATACTCGTATGCCATTGATAGCATTTTTCTCACATACCTGCCTTCAATCTAAGGATTGCTGGAAGCGGAAATACTTTGTTCATTTTGCAGAAATTCGATTTCATGCAGTCTAATGTTACACTAATAAAAACAGAAAATAAATATGTAAATATAATAAATAAATGTTAAAAATACATATGCAACCAAACATACACGTAACACGAAACATAAAGTAAATATTACCACTTTCAACAATTGTAAATTGTGTAAACACAAGTTGAAATTTTTAAAACTACTAGTACAAAGGTACGTGGTAATTTTATCGATTCAAATCAAACATGAGTTTGTAATTTTCAATAATCACTTGTCTGAATAAACGATATCCATTAATAAATTTATAAAATCCACATAACTGACATCATAAATTACTTAATTACTTAAATTACAATAAATAACTTAATATTTTTTGAATAAAGTAAACTTTGTAACTATAGTTTTTATTCGATTAAATTATCATTGATGATTGATTATTATCTCATATCATATGATGCCTAGATAGATAAATAATTGATTTAATACAAATATTAATTATTAACATGTTTTATCAAGTTGTACCACGGCTACTAGTGCTGATGAATTCATTCATTATCACAAGATAAATTTATGATAAGGCCGGCGGTATATTAGATGATTTATACCAGCGGCATGAAATTTATTCAAGCGTTTTGGGAAATTTAATACAACAGGTTACTTAAAATCTAATCAAAAGCACTCGATATAAATTGCTACATGTTTTTATAAAAGCAAATCGTTTATCTCGAGTATCTCATGCATCATCCTGACGTTAGTAGTTACTAGTTGGCTAATGATAGCAGGTACAGATGTAAAAATAAGCATTTCAATAACAGCGAACAGTGATTAATTTAGATTTGTTTCAAAGTTGCCAACAATTAATATTAGTATACCGTGAGTTTTCCTTCACAGAAATAGTTTTATTAAAAAAAGTTGTAATTTCACAATGTATGCAACCAAATACACATCAGCACATTACACGTGTTTATATGTTGTGTAATGTTGGTTGCCTACAATCTAAAAATATTCACGGTATATTTAGATGACGTTGATGTAGTGTTTAGAACAAGCAGTGGAGTAGAAAAAAACGCAATCAGTGCATTGTGCGGCCGTCGAAGGAGAATATCGCAATTGTCGACAGTGTTCGCATCAGCACACATACACACATGAGCACACATATCGCACGTATCGCGACGTATCGGTATCGCGCGGTTATCAATTTCCATCGGCGTTCCGGTCGCCTAGTCGTCGACACGCGGCAGCCGACGGCGCACACGCAAATCCGCGCACTGTGCGTCTTCGGCGCGTCAAGATAAATCAACGTGTTATCGACAAGAAGACCTTCAATTCACATCAAACATAAAAAAAACTTTCGATTTAAAAAAAGTTCGCGTTTATTTATCTTCACCTTTACCGTACTAGTGCTAGCAACATGCGTGAACTTCAAACAAATTTTAAACAAAGATTGTGCGCACCGGTGCGAGTAATAAGTGTGAGTATGCGTCGATTTTTTTTAAAGAAAATAAAAAACATTTATCGTGTAAATTCATTTGGCGAAGGTTGCGTGAGATTTGGTTGATTTCATTGGCGCATGTCGGGAGAGAGATAAGTTGCGACGATGTTTGATGTTGCGTTTAGCTAGTAGTCTCGAGTATGTGTGCACACTCTCAACTAGGTACTTACTCTGTGTACAACACACGTGCATAAATATGTGCATGCCAAAAGTTTTTGATCTACGCCGCTACACCGCGCAGTAATTTTCGCTGTTTGCGCAGCGCGTTTGCGGTTGAAATAATTACGTCCACAAAATGTGTTGTTTTTTTTCTCTCTGAATGATCCTGTATTTGAGTCTGTAAATTTGTCTTGCGCAGTCAATACTCGGCATAGTTTTAAGTTTTAAACTCACATGCATGTTCGGCAAGTGCTCGTGTAATAAAACACAACTACTTTCACCGCGATAATCTCGCCATACGTGTTTGTCCCTACAGTGCCTCACGAATATGATAAATGAGCAGACGGCATAACATTTTTGCCATTTATGCGGCGCTGGAATTTTGAGGGCATTGGAGCACTTTAATCGAGTTAATAATAACAGAATGCAAAGTTTTGAAATGCGGTGGTTTTGACCAGTATACCCGCATACATCATCTCAGCATGAATAAATTAACGTTGTGTTGAAAGTGTGCGAGTGTACGTTGTTTTTTTGTGTCTGTTGTGTTGATTTGTTTCATTTGCCTTTCAAGAGTCACGTGCGCATGTGCTCGGAAAGTGAAAAAAATAGTTTCTTGAATTTCGTTTTAATGAGAGATATATCTCTCTCTATTTATTTTCTAGACGGACTGATAATATAATTTCCTAGCGTAAAATGTTTACACAATCCACGTCGAGTCGTTACGCAGGAAAGGAACAAATTACACCGGTGCTAGCAAATATGGCGTCATCTCATCACAGCATGAACGGTAATAAAATCCATCGCAAACATAATTAAAATTTAAAATTGATCGTTTTTTTCCAATTTTCTAAACCTAACAGAACATGATGTAGTCCAATACTTAAAACTGCACCCTGAATTAGTCGAGAAGTACGTGTTGACCGAAGTAGAACCGGAAGTGTTGGATAGTTGGGCAACACGTCGAACACCAATGCGAAAAACACAACGCAGCGAAGACGGGCGAAAGACTAGTCTTAGCAAATGGCGTTGTTTTCAAGATCGGCGCAAAATGCTCGAAGAATTAGTTCAGAGCCTGAAGAAAAATTTACGCCGCGAACAAGTCCTATGGGAGTTAGCAAATTGTATAACCGCGGCAACAGATTCCGACGGATTAAGGTGAGTTGGAATTGTTGAAAGTAACAAACGCCCAGTGTAGATGTAATTTCATCAACATGGACGTGCGCCGCGACGAACGAGTGTGTAAACTTTCTCATTACTGCCAGGCATAGTAATGACTTAGTTTGACAACGTGATGAAAAGCATATTTGATGAAGCGCTGATGAACCGGATGACACCCGCCGCACCACCACTGTACAAAAATCGATACGGCGGTCGAGGAATGAGGAAACTATATTAGGTTGTCATGCCAACCGCAAATAGACAATTTCCAAACAATTAGGTGCACGCAAAGTTCTGTTTGAAGTGCAGCCGTGAATACGTCTTGCGCGACTTGGGCAAAAGTTAAAATACATCTTGATGTATTATGAATATACTTGTTATTATGCATTATTCAAATTTAATTAAGATACCGCACATCTCTACTTTTAAGAGGCACCTTTCAAACTACTAACAATCTAAACCTAACTACAAAACTCGGATGATTTTAATAAAATTAGTACTGAGTTAAATTGTGTCGCAAAAGTTTTGCTCAGATGACAGCTCGTAATGTTGGTTATGCCGGAACAACTTCCTGGTGAATTACCTTCGCCTTCTGTTTCGTTTCATTTCGCTTTTGTTTCGTTTAGGCTGTTTCTAATTGACAACCCCGAACATCCGGAAAAGTTACGTCTCTACACCGACGGCGATAACGCCGCACACACTCACGGCAGATGCGGGTCTGGATCATTCAGATTGGGATCAGCGGAAGACTCAAGAGAGTTGCGCAACACCAGCCTGCGGAACTTCGTCGTGAAGCACAGGGAGCCAATTAGAACGGCGCGAAAGCATCCAGACAAGCGGTATCCCAATAGGCAAGTTGTAAGTTAAACTTTTTGATATACTAGGTATTCAATGACGCGCAAAGAATTACTTTTTTTTTCATTAGATAAATGGAAACCAATCCGATGATAAAACGGATCAAGCGGAAAATTGTGAGCAGTGTGACGCGGATGACAATTATCACTTCATGTGCCTGCCGGTGATGCAATCGAATCAGGAGATGTGCGCGGTGCTGGAACTGTACCGATGCCCGGATCGTAATGAATTCACTTCAGAGGAGGAAGAGATTGCCCTCAGCTATTTGATTTGGGGTGGGATAGCACTCCATTATGCACAACTCTACAACAACATGAACCAGCAGAGGAGCCTTAATGCATTTCTGCTCGATGTCGTCAGGTAACTAACTCAACGCCAACGCATACGCAGGTATAATACAAGGATAATATTCCCCAGGTCGATATTCCAAGATATGGTAAGCATGGATCCATTAGTAACCAAGATAATGGACTTTGCACAGAAGCTTGTCGACGCTGATCGAGCGTCACTCTTTTTATTAGACGAAAAGAACAACTCGCTGTACTCACAGATCTTTGACGTTGGCGATAGTTCATTGATGGATCAAAACGAAGAAATTCGTTTCCCTTTGGGGAAAGGTATCGCTGGTCACGTAGCCAAAACCGGTGAAATACTAAACATAACAGACGCATACTCTGATGCACGATTTAACCCTGAAGTAGATAAGAAAACAGGTTATAAAACTAACAGTATACTCTGTATGCCAGTATACAGAAGCAAAAAGTCCATCATTGGCGTTGTACAAATGGTCAATAAACATCACGGAGTCTTCACAACTCACGATGAAGAAGCGTTTAAAACCTTCGCAGTATATTGCGGTTTAGCTCTGCATCATGCCGAATTATACAACCAAATTAAAAAATCCGAACAAAAATACAAAGTAGCTGTTGAAGTTCTAAGTTATCATCGGTCTTGCACTGAAGAAGAATTCCAACAAGCTTTAGAAGAAGAAATCCCTCTGGCTATACCAGGTATAGATGATTATTATTTTAATCCGTTTGAATTAAAGGAGATGGAGCAGGTCAAGCACGCAATGTTCATGTTTTACGATCTCTTCGACATGGAAAAGTTCGATAGACATAGCATGCTGAAATTTACGCTGACTGTGAAGAAGAATTATAGGCGAGTGCCTTATCACAATTGGACACATGGATTCTCCGTGGCCAATTCGATGTATTCTATCATCAAGAAATCTAAACATGTCTTTAAGGAGGTTGAGGTGAATTGTGATGAGTAGCGTTTGCGTTCAGTTGAGATTTGATGGTTATCTTTTTGTAGAGCCTCGCGCTGTTTATAGCTGCGTTGTGTCACGACCTGGACCATCGCGGCAAGAACAATAAGTACATGTTGGACACACAATCGCCGCTTGCGAGCATTTATTCAACCTCAACAATGGAACATCATCACTTTAATCAGACAGTCACCATTTTACAACAGGTAAACTATCATAACCTCAATGTGGCACTAGGTCAATGGTTTTGTATTGTTGTAGGATGGTCATAATATATTCCACAAACTATCTAGTGATCAATTCAAACAAATTCTCGCTTTGATTAAGCATTGTATCCTTGCGACTGATTTGGCCACGTTTTGGGATACGAGGAAATCGTTGCAGGCTTTGGTGGACTCTGATACGTTTTGTCGTGAGAATGCTGAGCATATGTCGCTATTGCAGGCTATAGCGATGACAGCTAGTGATTTATCTGCGAGCGCAAAACCGTGGGACGTACAAGTAAAAACGGTGGACATTATCTTTAAAGAGTTTTACGATCAGGGCGATGCGGAATTGGCAGCGGGACGCACGCCGATCCCGATGATGGACCGTAGGAGACATGAGGAGCAGCCGGCTTCCCAGGTGGAGTTCCTACATAACATTTGTACGCCCTGCTATACTCTGCTGTATAAACTGGTGCCAGAAACCAAACCACTCTTGGATATGGTCGATGAGAATTTGGAAAAATGGAAGATAAAAAAGGAATCCTCCATATTACCAGTCTCCTTATAATAAGATACTTATTTATTAAATAATAAAATTATTACTAACAATGAAATTTGTTTATCAAATGATTAAGATTTAAATATAAACTATGAGTAAGGATTTTTTGCAGTTGTTCATTACTAATGTTTACAGATTGATTAGTTGTTGACTGATATGATCTATTGCTTAATTTTATTGATTTATGGATAAAAGAATTTTGACTTTGTGTGATTATATTATATGCATGACTGACACATGATGTTATGTGGTGAAATATATTAACTATCTTTAGTTTAATAACTTTCCGTTTGTCTAATCATGGTCAGTATTGTGGTTATATTCATTATTCATTATTCATGTGCTTTACAAACACTCGCTTCCGGTAGATATAAGAAAATACAAATAGATTTCGAGGTTAACAATGTACGACAAAGTACAAGTTATCGCGCTTATCAATGAAAAGTTTTGTCATGGCCGAGTTTTGTTAAATCCGTAATATTTTTATTTATTGAAAAATTTCGTGCATGTGTGTTACGTGACAGCACTTGAAATCAGCCAAAAAAATTAAGTATTTTTACAAGTTAAGTCAAGGACTTGCACTTCTAACATAGGAAAAATTTAAATCTGTAGGTAATCTACATTTTGAGATGACAAGTCACAACAGGAATTTCCAACTTTTTATTAATTATCTTTCAAAGTTGATCAGCTTTTGTAAATTTTTGAAGAACCCTGCTTCCTAGTTCAAGTTTTACTAAACTGCAGAGGCGGTATAAGAAATTTTGAGAATTCCTGATCAACATCATCAAATCATAAATTGATATCGACATTTTTCAAAAAAAAAAAAATTTAAATCAAGAAATACAGATAAAACGTTTTAGTTAAAAATTTAACTAAGTTAAAAGTAAATGATAGATACCAACTGCAATTCTATAAATATTTCAAACTACATCCAGATAAATAAGTGAATAATAGTTTTCAATTCAACTAGAAATAATAATACTCAACAGATAATGGAATTCTATCAATTGAAATTTATGATTTTTGTTAATATTTGAAAGAAAACAATATTTTCACGATTATTAATGAATAATTGGAAAATTCAAAGCAATGCAATAATAATTTTCACTCCTACTATATAGTATTTAATCGTATTTATTTATTACATTGAAATAATAAATAAATTCATAAATAATTAATTTTATTCCTAAACTAAAACTTACTATTCAATTTGTTGCATTTAATTATAATATCTTTGAACCGTAATTCTTCACATACCACTATAAAGTAAATCCCAACACAATTAAAACATTTTCAGATAGGAAATCAAAGCCGATGAATTTTTATCAGTTAAACTCGTGATATTCGTCGAGGTTGTCGCGCCGCCAGTTGTACTCTCTCGCCATTGTGTGTACCCGTGACGCGCAGTACGCTCGGCGCGTATCAATATCAATAGTAAATATTAAAAACATTATAAATCCCAGCCGAATACGATCGCTTTCGACAGTTGTCAACACACATCCGCAACGCACTGACTTGATACTCGTATGGCAACGCAAGCAGTTACCGAAATACTCGCTACCGGCGCGTTCAACCAGTCGCGATCAGCAATAATTGAGCGTACTTTTAACAATCGAGTTCATCGCGCCGGCGATACAGCACTTCCAACACAATCGAATTTGCAGCGTACTGAAGGCGTAATCGTGCTGGCGAAAACAACGTGGATGGGCGGTTTAAAGTCGTTGTTGGAACACAATCCATACACGCGCTGGCATAATGTAGTTGATAACAATTTACGCGTTTGTCCTAAATTGCAACGAACAACGCGCGGCAGGACACCGGAGTATTTAGTCAAATAGTTTATAACAACTTAACTGTGATAATGAAGGAAAACCAGAAAGAAAACCAGGTGAGTTTTAAAGTTTTAAACTTAAATCATTAAAATTTTATCAAAAACAATTATAATTTGTTTAATTCGCTAGTAATCTGCTATATAATTAGAACAAACCTTGCTCTAGTTGTTGTTTAATTACATGTCAAACCAAAACACGGAAATAATATGTTTTATAAATTTAAACATAAAAAATGTTTAAAATTAAATTAATCCCAAATAAAAACAAAGGTTATTACATGCGTCATAAGTTTCCTTAATGTAATTGCAAAATTTACACAAAAAAAAAACAAAAACAACAAAACCTATGACCAATAACCATATATTTTGCAATAAATTAAAATATACTATTGTATTACTAGCAATTCTATTTTTATTATCACTTAAAACCGATAAATATTTTTGTCTTAAATTCTGACAAAACAAAAAACTCCAACTTTATCATTATATAAATTTGATTAAGCAATCTTGTTTTGACCTTTAGCGCATCATTAAATCTAATTAAATATTAAATAAGAATTAAATCTATTTTGAACAATTTCTAGAAGTTCACACGTGCATTGTGTGCATCAATGCCGCCAGCTCAGTATCAGTGAACATTGACGAGCGCACCCCGCTGATAAGCAGCAACAGCAGTGCAGGAAGCAGCAGCGGCGGCAACAACAACATCCGCCGCCCCCAATACGGCAGCATTCATCGGCGCTCAGAGCACAATCAATTCAGTTGGTTGCTTGTGACTGCCTTGTTTATATTCTTCTTCACTGGCATCGGCATTGCCACATATCTGCTCTTCAACGAGGGTGAGTCACGCGCCACCATCATTTACACTTTAATTCATATCAAGCCATATAGAATAAAACACGATAAAGCGATAATTTCATTTCATTCACTACTATTTACTTCGTTTTGTGTGTCTACGTTTATAAAACGACTGCGCAGAGAGAAAAAATCGTGATATTTTCTTTTATAGACATCAGACACGGCATTTCCTAGCAAAATGGGAAGCGAATGCACGGTCTGCTTACTATAGTTACTATACCCAGCCCCAAAGGTATAATTTTAATTTATTTTCATCATTTTCTAACCCACATTGTCACTGATAAAATAAATCATCTTTGTGATGCCATCACCAATCATTCGATTGTCTGATACCAGTATATTTGAGGATTATGACGATGAAATTGATAGATTAATGCGCCTGTTTTGCTTTTAGGTGTCGTTTTCACACCGGAAATCTACAAGTTCGTCGGGCGTGAGGAATGGAACGCATCATCGAGCGGCGGGCCGCTGTTTACGATAAGCGTGCCGGCGGACAGCGTCATACTCACCGACACGCGCGCAGCGCATTGTGATAGATTACCGGTTTGCGCCGGACTGATAAAAAACCTTCAGCGTCAATCGATGACGGATATTAAGTATAATTTTTTAATCGACGACACTGGAACGGTCTATGAAGGACTCGGATGGTATCAGACTCTTGAAGAGCATGAAGGACGACCAATTTTTGCACTTATTGGTAGATAATTGAATAAAAACAGATTAATTTTAATCTAAGTACCTATATTATTATATTTTTAGGGAATTATATGACAAGCCCAACTCCAACAAATGATCAGATTGTTGCGTTGAAGATCCTTTTGAAATTCGCAGAGGATCATCATGTGCTTATGCCTTGCAGTGCCTTGAAAGTCGCTGCTGAGGATGAAAACAAAGCGACTTTGCGTAGCTTGGCGGAGATGTTACAAGTGGAGGCGTATAATGAATGCATCGGATGATTTGATGCTCGTTTTGTTTTACTGGGTTATCGTGACAATCGACATCTAAACCAGGATTGAGTCCATGAAATGTCTCAAATTGTAACAATTGCATGATGCTAAATAGCATCAATTGGAGTGGTGCTCATTGATTCATCTTAATTTATTTGTTGGAACTGAATACATACTTGTCTACTTGTGATAATAAATTAATGAAAATATTTTTTTTATTATTACAAATCCTTTTATCGATTGTGATTTTTATTGACGCATGATAAGTATAGAATTTACTAGAACGACGCGAATTTACTTGTAAGTATTGATAAAATTTATTTTTAAATGAACAGCAAATGTAGTAGTTTTATAAATAAGTGTGGGTATTATTAAGTCTAACAAGTATATAAATTCCAGACACGACAGAACACTGTGATGACTGCGCACCATTATTTTATACTGCGACCTACCCGCTTAAAGTAGTGGAGGCAAAGCTGGAGTTATGTGTATGTGGTGTTCACGCACTGCTTGAACGGACAGAGGGGGGAAAAGGACTTTGACAAAGCTGTACTTTGAGATTAGTTGTAGTAAAGATAGTAACTATATTAACAAAAGTGCGAATTTAAACAAAATTGCTGTTTTAAAAGCATCGTGGGTGAATAAATGTATCAATGATAAAACGCTTTGCTATATAACGCACAATACGCACAAAACGCGCTCCTATAAAATTGTTACGACCACCTTTTGGTTATTATTGTTGTGATAAGATAAAACTATTACCAATGGGCGTAGTAATATTTACCATCAGCAGACGTTCAAGGCGATACTAACTGCTTTTGACCTTTTAGCCCAAAAACGACCGTGATTAGGTTTAGTATATATTCAATAAATTTAGTATTCCTCCGAACTTCAAAGAAGCAGCTACTTTCCTACAGAAAACCTCTTCTATGTCAGAAGTCCTAACCGACGAGAACGACAACAAAATTTGCTGCTTGGAAAAATTATAAATCTCCCACTAAAATTGCTTGTTTATCCACTTGAAGCCAATCAACCTACATTGCGCTTAATAAATGCTATTATCGCAAGTGGACGTGGAACAACACTGGTCAAACTGGTATTTCTTCTTGTCTCAATCACTCTTTGTGCTATTATTCTTTATAAATTAAAACAGCTTGTTCACGGTTTGCACTACTTATATTAAAATGGAAGGTAAGTGTAAGCGATTTATAAATATTAATTTTAAGTTTAAATTTAAATTTTGTCCATACTTATTTATATCTTAAAATGAATAATATTGAAATAATACTAATAATACTTGAAACTTGCATAACACAAAGTACTACACTCCGTTGATAATCTTTATCATAAAGCTGCAATTCATGCTGGAATTAGTAAACAAACACTTTGTTAAGATGATTTTGCAGTTTGTATCACAGTATAAACAAAATAATCCAGCAAATACTCAGTTCATTTCAGTTTAGACACCGAGCATCATAATTATGGGTTATTATTTAGTACAATTTATTTATTATATTTTGGTCTAATTAAATATAAATTATATTCTTTTCTAGATCAATTCCAATACAATGAGAATACTTACGAGCTCTTTGTCAAGAAAGCAACCGAGTTCAAGCCGTACCCCGGTGGTGTCGGCAAATTTTACTATGATCGACTCGTCCAAATTGCCACACAAGATGAAACCATTGTTGCACAGGTTACTGAATTACTAACAATTATTAATTTTAAACTATTTACTAATTTTAATAGTAAATTATAGATTGATGCTGCAACAGGCACAACACAAACATTCAAGCAACTTCTGGATGCATCAAAAAAACTAGCGCAATACATGCGTTCAGTTGGAATAAAACCAGGAGACAACATCACAATGTGCTCATACAATCACATAAACAGTGAAGTTGTAATGGTTGCTGCATTATTTGTTGGTGCTGTCATGTCCTCAACTGATCCAATGTTGTCAGTGGAAGATTCTAAATATTTACTGAACATGGTCAAACCAAAACTGCTCTTTGTTTCGGATGGATCTGAGGAGCTAATTGAAACTTGTGTTGATGCAATTCAATTAAAAACAGAGATCATATCAGTTTCTTTAAGTTCTCATAATGAATATGACACTATTGAACAGATCTTGAAAAGAACGACAATGGAGAAAGATTTTGAACCATTTCTCGTCGAAGATTTAAGCACAATATGTTCAATTCTTTTTAGCAGTGGCACTACAGGACTTCCAAAGGGAATTTGTTTAAGTCACAATACTATTTTGGCTCCTCTATCAATGTAAATACCAAGACTTTCTTGGAAAATTTTAATTTATTAATTTATATGCTTCATAGATTTCCCGCAGTAATATTAAACTGGGTAATATTGAACTATGCAACGTTCTATTGGATTTCTTGCGTGTTCAACCTGGCAATGTCAATACAAATGGGTTCCGCAAGATTATTAATAAAACAATTTAAAAAGGAAAATCACTGGGCTATTTGTGCTAAATATAATGTGGTATACATGATTCTGTCCAATACAATATTCATGGAAGCAGGAAATTATCTCCCTGACAATTCTGAACTACCCAGTCTCAAATTTGTTGTTATTGGAGGTGGAATAGTCCCAGAAAAGGTCTTAACCACCTATTATGAGAAGTTGCCCAATGTACAAGTAGGATATTTGTATGCTTTGACAGAAGCAGGTCTTGTAGCAAAGTATGAAGTTGGAGATAAAATTGGTTCAAACGGTAGACCTGTTGCAGTCAATCAAACTATACGGGTAAGCCATATCTACTCAAACTGAGCTAACATGTTTTTAAATCAAAATTATACAGATTGTAGATCCAAACACTGAAGAAAATCTTCCCTTGACTCAAACCGGCGAGATACGTGTGAAGCAAGCATACCAAATGGCAGGTTATTACAAGATGGACTCCAAGGACGCGTGGGACGCGCAAGGATTTCTAAAAACTGGCGATTTGGGATATTTAGATAAGGAATACAATCTTTATGTCGTGGACCGCATTAAAGAGATGTTCAAGTATCGCAGTTGGCATGTCGTGCCAGCTAAGATTGAGAATGTGCTTAGTTCACATCCGGATGTACTTTACGCTATCGTCATTGGCAAACCTACATATAACGAGGATGAAAATCATGCGATGGCGATCGTTTGTCTGCATGAGAAAGCACAGACTAGCGCTGCAGAGTTAGAGGCTTTTGTTAATCAGCGAATGGATAATTTAAATCAAATTCGTGCTGGTGTCAAAATCATTGACAGAAACGAGATTGAGTTTACGCCTACAGGGAAAATTAACCGAAGATCTTTAAAGAGTAAATTTGTTTCTTAAATTTGATTGGTTATTGTTATGAGGTCACAAATGTTATGAAAGTTGTGATAAAATAAAAATATTCGTAGTACATAATTAAATTAGACTGTGTCAGATTACCTGATAGTAGCGGGAAGATAAACTATCATGGGACTTCCTCTTGGGGCAATGGGTGCAGCAGAAGAGGGATGAAGAACATAAACACCTGGAACAGCACTCCTAGAAGACACAAACACAACTAATCACAGTGGTTGCACAGGCCATGTGGCCTTCCTTGAAAATGTGGTGGGGCAAGAGGTAATTTGAAATATTTTGGAAATAGTTGCATGACAGGTCGTCTGCAAGAGTGCGAACTGCGGGTACGTACCTGTAAATACCAGTGAAGAAGAGAAGTTGAACAAGTTGTTACAGAAGCAAGAGAAACCTCAAGGAGCCCCCAAATAGATTGTGAATGAACGGATATGATTTACAAAATTAAATACTTAGAAACACTATTGCTGGTGATAATCAGTATTAATATCAGTATTAATATTAATATCCGAGAAATCGAGGAGACAGAGGAAGTGCACACTCTATAAAGATGATTCACTTTATTATATAAACGTATTGTGCCCCAATTTGTTGGTTTATTCCTGTTTTCCCGTCTGGCATTATCAAAATGGGTCAATATTTTTAATCAACGCAAAATTTCTTATTAAATCTAAATTATTTTGTTATTTAGATAAATTCCAATATAATGAGCAATCTCACGAACTCTTCGTCAAGAGAGAAACCGAATACAAGCCAAACCCAGGAGGTCTCGGCAAATACTATGATCGACTCATTCAAATCGCCACCCAAGATGAAACCATTGTTGCTCAGGTTACCTGATTACTAACAACTATTAATTTTTAACGATTTATTAATTATAATAGTAAATTTTAGATTGATGCATCAACAGGCACAACACAAACATTCAAGCAACTTCTGGATGCATCAAAGAAACTAGCGCAATACATGCGTTCAGTTGGAATAGAACCAGGGGACAACATCACAATGTGTTCATACCATCACATAAACAGTGAAGTTGTAATTATTGCTGCATTATTTGTTGGTGCAGTCGTGTCCTCAACTGATCCAATGATATCACTGGAAGATTCTAAATATTTACTGAATATGGTCAAACCAAAACTGCTCTTTATTTCTGATGGTTCTGAAGAGCTAATTGAAACTTGTGTTGATGCAATTCAATTGAAAACAAAGATCATTTCAGTTTCCTTGAGTTCTCATAATGAATATGACACTATTGAACAGATTTTGAGCAACACAACAATTGAGAACAATTTTAAACCGTTTCTTGTTGATGATTTGAGTACAGTTTGTTCAATTCTGTTTAGCAGTGGAACAACAGGACTACCAAAAGGAATTTGTGTGACCCATAATACTATTTTGGCTCCTCTATCAATGTAAATACTATTATTACTTTAAAACATTCTAATAGTATTGAAATATATACTTTATAGATTTCCTGCAGCAATATTAAACTGGGTGATATTAAATTATGGAACGTTCTATTGGATCTCTTCCGTGTTCAACCTGGCAATGTCAATTCAAATGGGATCCGCAAGATTATTAGTAAAGCAATTTAAAAAAGATGCTCATTGGTCAATTTGTGCAAAATATAATGTGGTCTACATGACTCTATCCAATACAATCTTCATGGAAGCAGGGAATTTTCTCCCTGACAACACTGAACTACCCAAACTCAAATGTGTTGTTGTGGCAGGTGGATCAGTCCCAGAAAATGTTTTCACCACCTATTATAAAAAGTTGCCCAATGTACACGTAGGATATTTGTATGGTTTGACAGAAGGTGGTCTTGTATCAAAGTATGAAGCTGGAGATAGAATTGGTTCAAATGGTAAACCTGCTGCCCTCAATCAAACTATCAGGGTAAACCATATTTATGCTCAGTTCAATGAATGATTTTTCTCAATCAATATTATATAGATTGTAGATCCAGATACTGAAGAAAATCTCCCCTTGACTCAAACGGGTGAGATTCGAGTGAAGCAAGCACATCAAATGGCAGGTTATTACAAGATGGACTCCAAGGACGCGTGGGATTCCCAAGGATTTCTAAAAACTGGCGATTTGGGATATTTAGATAAGAATTACAATCTTTATTTCGTGGATCGTATAAAAGAGATGTTCAAGTATCGCAGTTGGCATATCGTGCCTGCGAAGATTGAAAATGTGCTTAGTTCTCATCCGGATGTACTTTATGTAATCGTCATTGGCAAACCTACATATGACGAGGATGAAAATCATGCGATGGCGATCGTTTGTTTACATGAGAATGTACGTACTAGCGCTGCGGAATTGGAGACCTTTGTTAATCAACGAATGGATAATTTAAATCAAATTCGTGCTGGTGTCAAAATCGTTGATAGAAACGAGATTGAGCTTACGCCTACTGGGAAAATTAACCGAAGATCTTTAAAGAGTAAATTTGCTTTGTTATTGTTATGAGGTCACAATTGTTATTCAAGATGTGATAAAATAAAAATATTCGTAGTATGTGTATTTAATCATTCACAGTGAAACCAGTAATTATATTAGTCTTATCACAGTACCTGATAATAGCGGGACAATAAACCATCAAAGAACCTCTTCTTGGGGCAATAGGTGCGGCAGAAGAGTGGTGTGCGAATAAAACCAACATTGCGAGAGAAGAATATATACACTCGCGACAGTATTCTTAGAAGGCACAAACTCAACTGATCACAATGCTTGCTCCGGTCACCTTATACCTGCGGCCTTCCCTGAAAACGTGGTAGGGGAAGAGGCAGATGCGTTTAAATGGCAGAATGGGTCGCGCAAGAGTGCGAACTGCGGGTAGGTACCTGTAAACAGCAATGAAGAAGGAGAGAAATTGAACAGATTGATACACAAGCAAGGGAAACCTCAAGGAGGCCCCAGAATGAATTATGAATGAAATGATATGAATCAAAGTTTGATGTTATTACAACTATACGCTTTAAATGTTATTATTTATCTATTAATGTTGTTATTATTTGACTACTTGAAATTTGAAACTTGCGAAACACACTTTCCGGTGATTATCTGTATTAACTTCCGAGAAATTGAGGCAGCAAAGGAAATAAACACTCTATAAAGATGATTCACTATCATATATAAACGTATTGTACCCCAATCTGTTAGTTTATTCCTGTTTTTACCTCTGGCATTATCAAAATGGGTCAATATATATATTCAACGCAAAATTTCATATTAAATCTAAAATATTTTGTTATTTAGATAAATTCCAATATAATGAGCAAACTCACGAACTTTTCGTCAAGAGGGAAACCGAGTACCAGCCGTACCCAGGAGGTCTCGGCAAATATTACCATGATCGTCTCATTCAAATTTCCACAGAAGATGAAACCAGTATTGCACAGGTTACCTAATTATTAGCAATTGTTAATTTTAACTATTTACTAATTATAATAGCAAATTATAGATTGATGCTGCAACAGGCACAACACAAACTTTCAAAGAACTTCTGGATGCATCAAAAAAACTAGCGCAATACATGCGTTCAGTTGGAATAAAACCAGGAGACAACATTGCAATGTGTTCATACAATCACATAAACAGTGAAGTTGTAATTGTTGCTGCATTATTTGTTGGTGCAGTCATGTCCTCAACTGATCCAATGCTATCACTGGAAGATTCAAAACATTTATTAAACATGGTCAAACCAAAATTGCTTTTTGTTTCTGATGGTTCTGAAGAGCTAATTGAAGCTTGCGTTGATGCAATTGAATTAAAAGCAAAGATTATATCAGTTTCTTTAAATTCTCACAATGAATATGATACTATCGAAGAGATATTGGAAAAAACAACAATTGAAGAAGATTTTGAACCGTTTCTCGTTGATGATTTGAATACAGTTTGCTCAATTCTCTTTAGCAGTGGAACTACAGGACTTCCAAAAGGGATTTGTTTGACTCACAACTATATATTCTCATCACTATCAATGTAGATATTAATATCTAATATCTTCATAAATGTTCATTTTGATTTATTTATCATTATTTATAGATATCCAACAGTCATACTCAACTGGGTAATATTGAATTATGCCACCTTCTATTGGGTTTCATGCGTATTTAACTTGCAAATGTCAATTCAAATGGGTTGTGCACGATTATTAGTCAGACAATTTAAAAAGGAGACTCACTGGTCCATTTGTTCAAAATATAATGTAGCCTACACGTTTTTATCCAATACGATCTTCATGGAAGCAGCTAAATATCTCCCAGATCTATCTGAACTACCTAGTTTGAAGCAGGTTGTTGTTGGAGGTGGATTAGTCCCTGAAAAATACTTAACCACTTATTATGAAAAGTTTCCAAGTATTTACGTAGGATATGTGTACGCTTTGACAGAGAGTGGTCTTGTGGCAAGTTATCAGGCCGGAGATAAATTTGGTTCAAATGGTAAACCAGTTCCAAACAATCTAACTATAAAGGTAAAACATATTCTACAATTTAAACAATTAAAACCGTAATGCATTCAATTCGTAATTATATAGATTGTTGATCCAAATACCGAAGAAAATCTCCCTTTGACTCAAACCGGCGAGATTCGTGTGAAGCAAGCACACCAAATGGCAGGTTATTTCAAGATGGACTCCAAGGACGCATGGGACGCACAAGGATTTCTAAAAACTGGCGATTTGGGATACTTAGATAATGATTACAATCTTTTCATTGTGGATCGTATTAAAGAAATGTTCAAGTATCGCAGTTGGCATATCGTGCCAGCGAAGATTGAGAATGTGCTTAGTTCTCATCCGGATGTACTTTACGCTATCGTCATTGGCAAACCTACATATAACGAGGATGAAAATCACGCGATGGCCATCGTTTGTCTGCATGAGAAAGCACATGCTAGCGCCGCAGAGTTGGAAGCTTTTGTTAATCAGCGAATGGATAATTTAAATCAAATCCGTGCTGGTGTCAAAATCATTGACAGGCACGAAATTGAGTTTACGCCTACAGGGAAAATTAACCGAAGATCTTTAAAAAGTAAATTTATTTCTTAAGTTTGCTTGTTTGTTGTTATGAGATTATTTATGTTATATGTATGTACATGCAATGGAAAAATAAATAACTCAAGTTACTTTTCCACCTAGAAACAAATTATTTTATAACCTGATTTATGATTTAATCTAGCATGGAGATTATTTATCAAGACAAACATAATAAAAAGGCTAGCAGACATAATTTACGCATAGTCATAGTCATACTCGTCTCTAAAATGGAAGGTTTGTTTGATACTAAGCATAATTATTATCCAAAACTTACATAATTTCATTTCAGCCAAATTTGTTTTTGACAATGCAAAAAAAAAGAACTCTCTTCAGGGGGAGAAAATCGATCAAGCCCCATTGGAGGACTGGGAAGATACATGTTTGATCATATAAAGAAACATGCAGAAAGTGACTCAATTGCACAGGTTATTAAAATCACTATTTAAAACTATCTCAATCATTTCCATATATTATTATTAGATCGAAGGAGAAACTGGGATGCAAGAAACATATCAAGTTTTCTTCTCAAAATGTGTAAAACTTGCTCTGTTCATGAGGGATCAAGGCCTTCAACCAGGCGACATCATCTCAATGTGTTCCCAAAACACAATGAATAATTCCGCTGTGTTTATTGCTTCCTTATTCACTGGTTTGGTTACTGCTTCGACTGATCCACTAATTTCTGTAGAAGATACAAAATATCTATTGGATATGGTCAAACCAAAAATGATTTTTGTTTGTGAGAACTCTACAGATTTAATTACGAAAGCACTCGGAGAAAATAACACAAGAATAATCGCTTTGTACAAACATAAATCTTTAATAGATTTGCCAGGAATTTTTGAATTATATAATGATGATGATATTAAATCTTTTGTACCGGTTCATATTGATAACACGAGAATAACCGCTTGCATTATGTTCAGCAGTGGTACAACCGGATTACCGAAAGGGACTTGTTTGAGTCATGACCATCTATATGCTGACATGGCGTAAGAATAACGATTAAAATTTGATATTTTGCACAAAATATTATTTCAGTGCTCCGCTTGCTTCAAATGGTTCAATATTATGTGGATTCACTACCTTGTATTGGTATTCCGGAGTATATTTCAGCCTAACTACATTCTCCAAAGGAATGATAAAACTCAATTACAGGCAATTTTCAGCGGAAAATATTTGGAATGATCTTAATAAGCACAAAGTATGCACTAATATATTAACAAACAAAGCGAGTCACTTGGTGTACCTAATATTCATTTTCAAGGTTAACATTCTTTATATGTCGTATGCTCATACTATGGACAGTGTACAACATTTGAAAATACCAATGCCGCACTTGAAATGCCTGCTGATAGTCGGTGGTATGATCGCTGTCAAGTACCACAAGGAATTTAAAACTAAACTTCCTCACTTGTTGGTTGGGGGAGGTTATGGTATGACAGAAATAGGTTATGTTACGAAAAATGATGGAAGTTGCTCACCGGAGAGTGTTGGGTTGCTTGCCGCTAAAAACCTCATTTTAAGAGTATATTTACCACAAAAATCATAAAATTATGTTAATATTATAAACAAATTTTAAATTTATTAGGTTGTTGATCCAGATTTAGAAACTCCTCTGGATCTTAACACCGTCGGAGAAATTCGTGTCAAAAGTAAAAATCAAATGAACGGATACTACAATCAAGACTCCAAAGATTGTTGGGATGCTGATGGTTTTTTCAAAACCGGAGATCTTGGATATTTAGATGATAAATATCAAGTCTATATTGTGGATCGTATTAAGGAAATGTTTAAATATCGCAGTTGGCACGTGTTACCGGCTAAAATCGAAAAAGTTTTGAGAGAACATCCAGCTGTTTTGCATGGAATCGTTATTGGTGTACCAACAAAAGATCATGAAAATCATGCTATGGGTTTCGTAGTATTGAGAGATGGATTTTCTGTATCAAGTGAAGAATTGGTCAAATTCGTCAATAATAAAGTGGATGACATTCATCAACTTCGTGCTGGAGTTAAGTTTATCACTGAAAATGAGATTCCATTCACTGTTACCGGTAAAATAAGTCGTCTTAAATTGAAAAAAATGTACTCTGAATAATATTTCAATTAAAATATACCTAATTGGTATTTAGTATTGGCGAATGTTATCTTAAACTTTTATCTCTCATTAGTATTTTGCTAAGTTTTAGTAAAAAATAATACCAAAACTTGTTTGCTTCAAAAATATTTGCACATGTACTTAATCTAAATATTTTGTACAAATATTCTAATGATATACTAGCTAATTATTATGTTTTTCTTCTTTGCAACCAAAAAAGACATTTGTTAACTAATTTTTAAATATCTCGTCACACTCATTGCAATTCACTCATTCTTGTTGTTTCATTGTTGAAACAAAGTTTTGTATACTATTATGCCTGTTTTTTCGAAATGCGTTTACAATGAGAAAACTAAAGAACTTAACTCCGGAGGTGCACCTTTTCCATGCCCTGTTGGAGGTGTTGGAAAAGGAATATTTGATAAAATGAAGAAATACGGTGATGATGACTTAATCGCACAGGTAAATACAAATGTAACGCATAAACATACAAAAATATGTTAATCAAAGCTTATTAAAGATTGATGGAGAAACTGGCGAAGAAGAATCATACAAAGCATTCCTGAATAAATGCATTAAACTTGCATTATACATGAAACAACAAGGCATTCAAAACGGCGATATTATTTCAATTTGTTCCGACAATACAATGAACAATTCCGCCGTGTTTTTAGCTTCACTTTTCATTGGTGCAATCAATGCTTCAACAGATCCCAGATTCTCGGTGATTGAAGCAAAATATCTTTTAGGAGTAGTCGAACCAAGAATGATTTTTGCTTCTGAAGACACAATAAACCTCATAAAAGGAGCTGTAGAAGGCGAAAACTACAAATGCAAATTAATAGCTCTTTATAAAGACGACACCTTGGAAAATATTCCGGAAATATTAAACCAATTCACTGATAAGGAAACGGAAATATATGAACCTATTTTTGTTAATGATACATCGTCAACCGCATGTATGATGTTTAGTAGTGGTACTACCGGTTTGCATAAAGCAGCACGCATTAGTCATGATGCACTCTGTGCTGATTTTGATGCAATCTTTCATAACAGTTTACCGTATATTATTCCGCAAATGAGAATAACTGGATATGCTACACTCTTCAGCCTTTGTGGGTATATTTTACTCTAGCTCCGTTTTTCTGTGGTCATATTAAAGTTAATATACAGGAATACCAGCCAGAAACTATGTGGGACCTTATAGACAAACTTAAAGTACAAATATTTTTTTACTAATTAAATTTTACTGCTAATTGCATATTTGGTTTAAGGTCAACTTGATATATTTACCATATTCACAAGCAATGGATTCACTACCGCATTTAACGCATTCATTACCACATTTAAAGTGTCTAGGAATAATTTCTGGACAAATTGCAGCTATATATTATAAAGAATATAAAGACAAACTTCCTAATACACATATTGTTTATGGATATGGAATGACAGAGATTGGATTCGCCACAGTTCAATATGGAGACTGCGCGGTTGAATCATCAGGCAAACCAGTACCTAAAGATGTCATTTTCAAAGTAAGTAACTAAAACTAATTTCTCATAAATAATAAACACATTTTTAAAGATTGTTGATCCTGATACGGAAACTGCTTTAGACTTAAACACAGTCGGAGAAATTCGTATAAAAAACAAAACAGCTATGTGTGGATATTATAAAAACACCACAATAGATGTCTGGGATAACCAAGGTTTTCTCAAAACAGGAGATCTTGGATACTTTAATGAAAAGTATGAACTCTTTATTGTGGATCGGATCAAAGAAATGTTTCGATTCAATGGTAGGCATACAATTCCTGCAAGAATCGAGAGGATCCTACGAGAACATCATGCTGTACTTCACGCTACAATCATTGGAATACCAATAAATGACAATGATCATCATGCAATGGGAATTGTGGTACTTAGGGATGGTTATTCAGTATCTGCTGATGAACTAATCAATTTGGTCAATGATAGAATGGATGTTATGCATCAGATTCGCGCGGGGATTCAATTTCTCGCTGATAATGAGATTCCTTACACTGTCACCGGGAAGATTGATAGACGTAAATTGAAGCAGATGTATTCAAATTGATTATGTTGATCTTTTTAATACTTGATACAATATATGAACTGAAATATTTGATAGAGAATTGTCCGTAGATTAAGATTCTGCGATTCGTTCCTTTTATCTGTTTTAGCTTACGAGATATTCGCAATTGTAAAAATCGTCAAAATTTGAAAATTTCAATTTTAGCACATTTGGTCACATTTTCGCCCTTTTACCCTACGATGTTTGATTATTTTATGTTTTAATCTTAAAGAGAATTTTCCAATCTTTCATAATCTGCAATTCGTTGGATTCTAGTGCTTTTAGTTCAGAAGATATTCACTATCAAAAATCATCGAAAAAAATTATTAAAAAATCTTCAAAATCTGAAAAACTACAATTTCTCTATTCTCTCTCTGGCATGGTATAGCCAAACAAATACGTTTGTCTCTTTTTAGTGTCGTTTCATTAATTTTGAAATCACAACGATTCTAAGAAGTTTACACTTCAAAAAGTTTTATTCGTTTTTCATATAATTTAATGTTGTGTTTTCCAAAAGTAAATCACCAGATACAATACTGGAAATATTTCCTTGTTAAAATTAACGTATCTATATATACATTCAGGAAATACTTATGACGTATTTAACTACCTGAATTCTCGAAAATTATTTCCCATGCGGCTACCTAATACTTGATATAAGCATTCTTGAACATATTTAAGGCATATTGGCAAAGATAAGAGAACATATTTCACCTATCGCTTTACAAGAATGTAAAACAAGAATTTGCAATTATAAATACCCTTATCAATATATTTCCTAACGAGTTAACGCAAAATTGCATTCAAAACTGCTTCAGCTTTCATCATGCAAGGTAACTATCAATTTTTGATAAATTATCACTAATTAATTATACATATTTTTCCTAGACTCCGAAAAATATGTTTATAATCATGAGACTAAAGAGCTCTTCACTGGAGGAACGGCTTATACTTGCCCAGCTGGAGGTTTGGGAAAAGCAATGTTCGAAAATATGAAAAAACATGCGAAAGCAGGAATTATTGCACAAGTTGAAAGAGAAACAGGCATAGAAGAATCCTTCAAAAAGCTTCTAAGCAAATGTATCAAAATTGCTATATTCATGAAAGAGCAGGACATTCAACCTGGCGATGTCATTTCAATGTGTTCCGAAAACACGTTGAACAATTCAGCTGTATTATTCGCTTCAATTTTTATTGGTTCTATTATTGCTTCAACTGATCCAGATATTGCTGTTGAAGATACAAAACATTTATTAGACATGGTTGAACCAAAATTAATTTTTGTTTGTGAGAAATCAACAGATTTGATTAGAAATGCAACAAAAAATTGTTCCTACAAAACAAAAATAGTACCATTATATGGTGAATCAATTTGTTTTGATATGTACACGGAAGAAGACGAAGAAAAGTTTCATCCGGTTCATATTGAAGATACAAATTCAACAGCGCTGATTTTATTCAGTAGTGGATCGTCTGGATTACCGAAAGGTATTTGCTTGAGTCATAATTCAATCGTTGCAGATTTTGCGGTGAATGATACACAGATGACCAGGCTAGGCATGACTAAATTTGCCATTTTTACAACACTTTATTGGATATCAGGAGTTTCTATAACACTTTCAGCTGGGTACTTTGGTGTAACTAAAGTAGTCTTTAGAAAATTTATACCTAACCAAGTCTGGGATGATTTAGATAAACTAAAAGTGAATATATTCATCATTTCCTATTCCAATGGAATGCAATGCATACCATACTTGAAGCATATAATGCCGGATTTAAAAGCGGTGGTTATAGTTGGTGGACCAATACCAACTTTGCAATACAACGAATTTAAAAGGAAACTACCAAACACAGCATTATTTGTTGGTTATGGATTGACGGAAACGAATAGTATTGCCTACAATGACGGAAGTCATTCACCAGAATCCGCATATTTACCGATTAATAGAAATATTGTTATTAAGATTGTTGATCCGGAAAGTGGGACAGCGTTGGATTTAAACCAGACAGGTGAAGTTCGCGTTAAAGGAAAATATTTAATGAATGGATATTATAAGAAAGACACTGCGAATGGCTTTGATGAGCATGGTTTCTTTAAAACTGGTGATCTGGGATATCTAGATGGTAATTATCGGTTGTTTATAGTTGATCGCATCAAGGAAATGTTTAAATATCGTGCATGGCGTGTGATTCCTGCTAAAATCGAAAAAGTTCTACGTCAACATCCTGCCGTTCTTCACGCGGTTGTTCTCGGAATACCACATGAAGAAGATGATAATCATGCTGTGGGTATAGTTGTACTCAAAGAAAAGGTTTCCATTGCTGAGAATGAATTAATGAAATTTGTCAATGATAAGATGGATAATCTTCATCAGCTGCGTGGTGGAATTAAATTGATTCTAGAAGAGCAGATTCCATTTACGCCGACTGGAAAACTTAACAGATTGAAATTGAAGCAGAATTATCTAAATTCGGCCTTGTAGTTTGTAATTTATTGACAATGCGAGTAATGAGCAATATCAGTGACCTTTTAAACATAATTATTATTTACTTATTGGAGTTTTTATTTACTTAAATTCATTCAACTTTGATTATTGTATTTGTTCACTTATAATCTGTAAAACTGTTTAACTAATGATCTTTCCTTATCACCCAATAAACAATGCTTTACTTTGTATCTTGCACTGCTATATATATAATGTAATTAAATTGTAATAATTACAATTTGTAACTATCATGACGAGCATGATAAGCATGACTCGACAAAAACTAAATAAATATATAAATCTTACAATTAGAAGGATTATAAGTTATTCGAGAGATGTTAAGGTTTACATTGTGCTACATTTTCTTTTTCTTTGAATATATTCACTATATATAATTAGTTTAACTTGTAAACAGCTTCAAATGATAATATTCAGTATAAGTGCACAAACAGTAAGATTTTAAAAACAGTTTTTTCATCGCAACTGAACAAGAAATACAGTAATTTAGTCAATATGGAAGGTATGTCAGATTTTAAGTACTTGAAATTATTATTTATTGTAATTATTTATAGAAAAATACGTATTTAATCCCGTTACTAAAGAACTAAAGACTGGTGGAGATATTGATCCGTGTTTACCAGGCGGTATTGGAAAATTACTCTTTGAAAAACTTGAAATGTTTGCTCAAAGAGGTAGAACAGCACAGGTAAATCAAATTTGTGTACTTTTACTCCCAATTTCTTATAAATTAATTTTTAGATCATAGCAGAAACAGGCTATGAAGATTCATTCACTGATTTCTTCATGAGATGCAAAAAGTTGGCAATTTATATGCAAGATATCGGAATTCAACAAGGAGATATTATCTCTTCTTGTTCTCCAAACAATCTAAACAGTTCTATTCCTTTTATCAGCGGTTTATTTATTGGTGCAATCACTGCATCTACTGATCCTATTTTATCATCAGAAGATACAACTTATCTGTTAAACATGACAGAACCAAAATTGATTTTTGTTTCTGAAGAATGCATTGATCTCATAAAAAATACGAAGTATTATGAAGCCAACAGCAACTGTAAACTGATCGTATTACAGAAGCACGACAAATATGATAATATACCGGATATTTTGGACAGATATACTAATGAAGAAGCAAAATATTTTGAACCTGTATTTATTGAAGATACAACTAGAACTGCTTGTATTTTATTCAGCAGTGGGACTACAGGTTTACCGAAAGGCACCTGTTTGAATCATAACTATTTAAATGCCAATGTATTTACCAATAAATACATCGATTTGTTTGATAGCAAAGAGCATCAAAACACAATTTTGAGTTTTACGACACTTTATTGGATTTCGGCGGTTATGATTAATCTAAGTGTGTGTTACTACGGATTGAAAAAGTTGAGTTGTAGTAAATTTGACGCCAAAACTCTTTGGGCGCTTGTGAAAAGTACAAAGTAAGTTTTTCTTACATATAATTAATTTATATATTAAAACTATATTTTTAGGTGAATAAATTGCTTATGTCTTATTATCATTGCATTGAAGGACTTGAAACTTTAAAAACTCCTCAACTGTCACTCGACCATTTAATGATAATGGGAGGACAAATCTCGCCAGCGAAACAGGATCAATACGGTGAAATGTTACCAAATGCTCAGATTGTTAACGCATACGGAATGACTGAAACAGGAAGTGTATCAGTAAACTATGATTACAAAAATCGTTCATCTGGAAAACCTATGCATAAAAATCAAACTATCAAAATTGTCGATGCGGAAACTGAACAACCTTTAGATTTAAACAGGGTCGGCGAGATAAGAGTCAAACACAAGTTTCAAATGAATGGATATTACAAGAAAAACTCTGCTGATTGTTGGGATGAAGATGGTTTCTTCAAAACTGGTGATGTTGGTTATTTAACGGATGAATATGAGCTGTTTGTTGTTGATAGAATAAAGGAAATCAAATACCGCAGTTGGCATGTTTTACCGGCGAAAATCGAGCGCCACCTTGTTAAACATGCATGTGTACAGCACTGCGTTGTTATTGGTGTTCCTAATGAAGAAGACGACAATCATGCAATGGCAATTGTTGTTTTAAAGGATAACTTCACTGTTAGCAGTGAGGAATTGCTCAAATATGCCAACGACGAAATGGATAGCATTCACCAAATACGGGCTGGAGTGCGAATTGTTGCAAAACATGTTATTCCGTACACTATCACTGGGAAAATTAACCGACGTTTGTTAAAAACACAAATTCTAAGTGGCAAATGCAATTGATGTATATATGTCAACACAAAACATTAGTATAAGTGAAGTATTTTAAATGTAACTTTGTTGCATTGTAATATTTCACAAATAAACTGAAAATACCAGAAATTTGAATAACAAGGTCATGTTATGTGATTTTTTCCCTTGAGTGAATTTATATTTGTTAAAAACACAAATATTACCTAATAAATATTAATAACAGTAACTGCGTTATGTGCAAATACGAAAATAATTATCGGCTAATCGCAACACTTGTAAAACCGAATTGTTTCCTAGTAAACAATTTACCTAGGTAATATGAATATCTATGAACACTTAACGTAAAATTAGAATGCAAAACCAATCAAGTAATTAAATTACAACAAATTTTGTCGTTTGGACTTACCTAATACGTTAGTTATGACAAATAATTAAATACAACTCAATAAAATATGAAAGCGTTATATATTCTTTCAAAAACGCCGGCGTAAAAATTACATAATTAGTTTTAAAACACTAGTCTAACAAGAAACATAATAGAAATGTCAGGTACAAGTATATTTTTTAAACTTTATCTTCAGCAGAAAATGCAAAAAATTTTATTTAATGCATAATTTTCCTATCACTTTTAGATATGTATGTGTTTGATCCATTTAGTAAAGAACTCAAAACTGGAGGAGATGTTAATCCATGTTTGCCAGGCGGTTTTGGAAAAATGTTATTTGAAAAGATGCGCAAATATGCTGAAATTGGTCTAACTGCACATGTATGCATTTAACTTTAATGTTTATTATTTATAACTTTAATAACAAATCTAAATAAATAAACTTTTAGATTAATGTAGAAACAGGATATGAGGATTCATTCATTGACTTCTTTAATAGATGCAGGAAACTTGCAATCTACCTGCAAGATACCGGAATTCAACCAGGAGATATTATATCTTCTTGTTCTTCAAATAATTTAAACAGTGCTGTGCCTTTCATTAGCAGTTTATTTATTGGAGCAATTTGTGCATCTACTGATCCTGTTTTATCACCTGAGGTTACCACGCATCTTTTAAATATAACAGAACCCAAATTAATCTTTGTTTCTGAAGATTGTATTGATCTAATTGAAGAGAGCAACTACAGAGCAGACAATGACTATAAATTAATCACGTTGCAAGAAAGTAAAAAGTATGAAAATTTACCAAACATTTTAAAACGATATTCTGATGAAGATGCTAAGCAATTTGAACTTGTGTTTGTTGAAGATACAAGTAGCACTGCTTGCATTGTATTCAGCAGTGGTACAACAGGTTTTCCAAAAGGGTCTTGTCTAAACCACAATTATTTAAGCTCAAATGTTATCACCAAACAATTCATTGAACTATCTGATAGCAATAAACATCAAGATACGGTTTTGAGTTTTACAACACTTTACTGGATTTCTGGTGTTGTAATCAGTCTGGCAAGTTATTACTATGGGTTCAAAAGATTGACTTGTTGCAAATTTGATCCTGAAACAATTTGGGGTTTAGTCGGCAAGTACAATGTAAGTTTTAGTAGATATTGTAAGTGACTTTAAAATTGTATAGCATACATTTTAGGTAAAAATATTACCAATGTCATATTATCATTGCATAGAAGCTCTGGACACTTTAAAAGTTCCTCAACCCAATCTTAATCATCTAGTTATATTAGGAGGACCAATATCACAAACAAAACAAAAACAATATGCAGATATGCTGCCAAATGCTTACATTATCAACTCGTATAGTATGACTGAGATTGGAAGTGTCTCAATAAACACAGATTACAGAGTTCCATCATCTGGAAAGCCGGTTCATAACGGTCAAACTATAAAGATTGTTAATCCCGAAACAGAACAACCTTTGGACTTAAACAAAACCGGTGAAATTAGAGTCAAGCACAAGTTTCAAATGAATGGATACTACAAGAAAAACTCAACTGGCTGTTGGGATACTGATGGTTTCTTTAAGACCGGAGACATTGGTTACTTATCAAATGAATTCGACCTGTTTGTAGTTGATCGAAACAAGGAAATGTTCAAATATCGCAGTTGGCATGTAATTCCAAAGAACATTGAACACCATATTCTAAAACACACATGTGTAACAGAATGCGTTGTTATTGGCGTTCCAGTAGAACATGACGATAATCATGCTATGGCAATAGTTGTTTTGAAGCATAACAGCCACGTTAACAGTGAGGAATTATTAAAATATGCGAACAACCATCTCGATGATATTCATCAAATTCGCGCTGGAATAAAGTTTGTCACAAAGGACGCAATACCGTATACTACCACTGGAAAAATCAACAGGCTTCTGTTAAAAACACAAATATTAAATGGTAGATCATAATCAATAAATATAAGTATATTAACTTTATCACTTTAATTATGAACAGCAGTAGAGTTGTCAACATCATCTGCATTGGCCTTTGGCGGTGGATCGCTTGTCACTATATTTACAACTCCTTCGTAGCCTTTGTGTATGACAAAATTAACATCTATAACTGTTCGTGTGGCTAATACTTCCCGCACTTTAGCCTGCTTCATGGCTAGCTCTATAGCAACATCTTTCGGTAAAACTTCCAAATCTTTCCGTGGCATTTTCAAAACAGCATTTTCAGTCCCATTTACCTGGCATACCAAGTCTAGATTATAGTCGTAGTCAATATCTGGCCATCTCTGTTCCAACACACCTTTATCCCACTGAATTTCTTCATTGGTTGTCAATCTATTCGGAGCCGAAACAAAACCAGACCATAACTCAGATGCAAAATGCGGCGCCATAGGTGCTAACAAAATAATTTGGCATGCTAAAGCCCTTTCAAATTGTAAACTACGCGCAAAAACTGTTGCAGGCGCTCTTCTTATACTGTTCGTCAAACCTTGCAGCTTTGAAATGGCTACGCTTATTTGCTGCGAATCGCAATAATTAAATGTTGCGCCCTTCACGTAATAATTTCGCGAATCAAACATGTAGTCCTCGTTCGCTTGAAACTCGTCCTGCTTAGTTATTTCTGGCATTTCCTTTCGATGATGTATGAAATCTTTAATTGTTAGCCAGAGCCTTCTTTGCCAGTTGATTACACCTGGGAAAGCTAATCAAACATTTTTTTTTTAAATAAATTAATCTGTTTGGGAATTTAATCTGTTAATATTTACTGTTGCTGTTCCAATTCCGATGTGAAGTTGGAGCTACATCGGCCAATATTAGTAATCTGGTTGTGTCCACTCCATATTCATTAAACATATCAGTTGGGTCGGTTCCGTTGTACTTACTTTTACTCATTTTCTCCCATTGCATTACAACAGGCTCACCTGTTTCTTTGCAGGTTGCTTTGTTTTTCTTAACATCTGCAACTTTTTAAATAAATAACCCCATCATTGGTACAAGAAAACTTACTTATAACATTAACTTTATTCGGCGATAGATATTTTCCAGTTCCTTTGACTCTGTAACTCCTCCCCATAACCATTCCTTGTACCAAGAGGCGTTTAAATGGTTCTCGTTCTTGTAACATTCCCAAGGAATGCAAGAAATGACTTATAAAACGCGCATAATACAAATGTAAAACCGCTGAAACCAACATTTTCTTAACACATACTCAAAACACAAAATATGATCTAAAACTATTCTCACCATGTTCTTTTCCGCCAATATATAAATCAACCGGCGCCATTTTCTTACCCTTTTCGACGTCAAACATTTCATTATTACAATCTCTATTTAAATATCGTAAGTAATACCAACTACTATCTACAAAAGTGTCCATTGTATCTGATTCCCGTTCAGCTTGCTGTCCACACTTAGGACAATCCACTTTTTTCCACTCTTCATTCGAGGCCAAAACTGATCCGACTCCCAACACCTCATTGCATTCTGGTAATATAACAGGCAACTGTTCTTTTGGAACAGGTACAGCCCCACATGATTTACAGTGAATTATTGGTATTGGCGTACCCCAATATCTTTGACGAGAAATTAACCAATCGCGTAACTTTGAACTCGTGTAATAACCACCTGCATTAAGTTCTGTTAACTTTTTAATTATATCTTCTTTAGATTTGAATTTTAAATCAATTGTATCATTGTTATATGTTATATTATGTTGATTGCAAAATAATTGATCTTTTTCATTCACAAGTGGCATTCCTAAATGACAATCGGTTCCTTCAGCAAATTCCAACTCATTGGTAACGTAAATTTGTAATTCTTCGTTTGTAATCGGATTTATCGCGACTGAATTTAATACTTGTGTATTTTCATTGAACTTTTTTAAAGGTTTTGACTTTTCAGCTATTAAATTGTTGCTTGATACTGCTATAAATTTAACAGTTTCCAAATGCTCTACTTTGTCAGTCCATAAAGTTAGTAATTCATTAGTTGTTTCTTGTCCATTTGATTTTTTCACTTTAAAATCAACAGCAATCCCATTGCAATCACCTATCAATGTTTCTGTAGCTTAATAATGTCTCTCAATCTTGTAAAATTGAATCATTGAGGCCATCCTGTAAAGCTTTAGCAAATTTAGTTGTTTTAATAAACCATTGCCTCAACAGTTTCTTTTCCACTTTGATGCCTGAACGCCATGAGCACCCATTTTCATCCACTTGTTCATCAGCTAAAACTGTACAATCAACTGAATCCCAATTAACAAGTGCTTCCTTTTGATATGCTAGACCAGCATGAAACAATTTAAGGAATAGATCCTGTGTCCATTTATAATATCTTGGATCACAAGTGGCTAACTCTCTATCCCACTCAAAACTACAGCCTAAATGTTTTAACTGATCCTTCATGTGCTTTATATTGTTGACTGTCCATGTAGCTGGAGATGTTTGGTTTGCAATTGCTGCATTTTCAGCTGGGAGGCCAAATGCATCCCAACCAATTGGATGAATTACCTTATAGGAAACAATATTATAAACATAACTATAAAATTAAAACAACATACATTTCTTCCATTCATTCTTTGATATCTTGCAATGGAATCACTGATTGTGTAGACTCGAACATGACCCATGTGCAAGTGTCCTGATGGATAAGGAAACATTGACAGCACATAATATTTCTCTTTTGTATCATTACAGGCTTCATTGTATTTAATACTTGGATCAGTGGCTAATTTCTTTGACCAGTGCTCTTCTATTTTGTGTTTTATATCAGTATTTAAGTCTTGATCCTGATTACAAACACAAATCATTGAATAATTACTTAAAACTAAGTTTTAAATTGTATATTACCCATAAATTTAAACTCGTGAGTGATCTATATCTTGAAAGTGAGTATATTTGTTTGTTTCTTAGCAGAGGAAGGAAGTTTATTGATGTTCTTATGAAAAACATTTTGTGGAGTTTTAAAGATTTGCTAGAAAAGTAAGGTTATGTACATTCATGCAGTCAGGATTTAAAATATTGATAGCAAATGGAATAGAGAATAATTTTCTTCATAAAGAAATACAATAAGTATTAATGAGTAACTAGAGCTTTAATATGAATATTTTGATACTATTACACATATATTCATGGAATACTAAACAATTTTTGAATATAAATATAAAAGCCACAAAAGATCTTCAACTTCTATCCAAATACTATTTCATAATCATAAATAAATGCTTTACTTATATTTCTTTGCACAAATAATCTATTTTTTAAGAATTAAAGTTAAATATTTAAGCCTAATTGTAGTTGTTTCGCCTGCGGGCGCGTTGTTTATCAAAACGCAATTCCATTTCCTCCAGAACTTTTGGTGTGTAACGAACTACCAATTTTACTGATCCGTGGGCTTGCTTCAGTAGTTCCACAGCTTTTTCGTGGTTTTCACCTTCTACAGACTAAAGAGATACAAATATATAGAATTAATCAATATATTGATTATCAACTAAACTAAGTCAGGAAAAATGAATATAAATTTAATTCTATTAAATTAAATAGGTCAAATTAATACTTACAACACCATTAACACTCAACAGTTGATCTCCTCTCTTTAATCCCCCATGTCTATCAGCAACACCCCTAGGGATAATCCTTGATATATAAATTGGGGAGTTTTGTTCCTTGCCACCCATTACATTAAACCCTAAACCTTCTTCAGTTTTAGGTAGTTCTACCACTCTTGGATGAGCATGACCCTCACTGGCTGCAAAAGCAGCCACAGTGGCTTTGGCAGTGGCTGAGGCTCTCACATCTTGTGAACCCTGAATATCAACAGTCTCATACACATGTTCATACACTTCTCTCACTGCATTGAGGAAGTCTGATTGCAGGACTTTCTGCAAAGCGGCGAGTTTGGTCGCTGGCACCTCGCCGTTTTTCTGGAGTTTTTCTAGTAACTCCACAGATCTTTTAATGTCTGCAAGGTATCAAAACAACAAAATTAGGACGCATATTGTATAGAATAAGAATTAGAAGATAAAAGTATTACCTCTAGAAAGTGTTAAAGGTTCAGCGACTTGGGCCATTTTTAGTTGATTGCAAGATCTTGGATATTCTGAATTTATTCTATATTTTGTTTGTTTTCTCTACCACCCACATAAAATAATCGATGCCCGTTTGTTTTCTGTCAGACAAGTGTGTACGTTGTGCGCATGCGCATTCTAGCAATGTTTACTGGAAGGATTTACAGGGCGTAAATAATACGGAAACGAGTTAAAAATTGATGAAAATGTTTCAAAACTATATAATTATACTTTTACTGCAATTATCTAAGTACACACAGTTTTGATTGAATTATTTAAATTCATGTAACTTTAGTGAAACGTCAGTGTTAATAGAATTGCATTTAAAGTCATTTTTTCTTGTCGCTTTGTATAATATCTATTTTGAAGAATAACAATGACTCATTGCATCATTCAAGTAATTTTTTTACATTCGTATAATTTACTGTAAGCTTTACTTCATTATACCATTACTTATCGTTCATTTGAGTAAGTTTAAATCACGGGCTCGGAAAATCAAGTGTGGATTAATTGTGTGTGTAGTGGAATAGTGCGTGTAGTGACTAGACAGCTGTCATTGTTGTTTCGTCGCAGTCACTGTACGAACTCAGTTGAATTCAATAATAATTTAGCCATCAGAATAGTTTAATTAAGTCGATATTAACACAAAACGAGGGAGTGATATTCCATACAAAAATGGTGTACGCTTCGGTGCTTCGGCAATGGCTGGGAAGCGTAAGTATTGCCCAAGCATACATTCTTACATTTCATAGTGATATGATGATGTGGTGATGATGTTATTCAGCTATAAATACTCATTTCTTACGTTTTGTCTAGTATAAAACACCTGACTCCGCAATCACGGATATCGTAACAGCCACCAATCAATACAAAGGATTAGAACCTCTGCTTGAGACATACAGTAAATTTGACTTCTTTTATTTGTTATTAAAGTATTGTAGTAATGTATGATTGGTTTTCTTGTAGCATTCAATGATGGATCATCTCTTCAGCTTGTTAACTTAACAGGTACAATTCCCGTGCGTTATAAAGGCAATACATATAATATTCCCATTAAAATATGGCTCATGGACACACATCGAGAAATGCTCCCATTTGTTATGTGAAACCTACCAGTGACATGTCAATTAAAGTTTCTATTTATGTGGATCAAAATGGAAAGATTTATTTGCCATATTTACATGATTGGAAACCAGTAAGTACATATTTCAAGAGTTTTATATTTTTAGCATTCTATTATTGTACTTTCCAAATGTTTAACTCTTAAATTCTTTAAATTTTTGCTTAGAAACTATGCTGTTTCAATTATATAAACTCAAATTTGAGTTATTTAGTGAATATATCTCATGTTTCTATTGTTCTAGAACGATTCCGATTTATTAGGCGTAATACAAGTAATGATAATGACATTTGGTGAACATCCGCCGGTATTTGCAAGACCCAAACAACCAGAAGTTGCGTACCCAAACAATCGTAAGTAATTTGCAGTTTAAAAACAATCCAACGTTTTAAATTTTTCCTTCGTTTCAACAGCATATGCATCACAAGGCGCTACAAATCAATTCCCACCGTACCCAACGGGTCCAGGTTTCTCAAGCTACGGTGGATACCCTCCGTATCCACCTATAAATACTAACGTAAATAGCGGAGCGGGAAGTGGCTTCGGCGGTGGTTATCCACCCTATCAAGCGCCGTATCCACCAGCTCCTGGCTATCCAGTCCCCGGCGCAGGCCTACCGAGCCATATTCCCGGACAAGGCGTAAACGCTAACGCCGGTACGATAAAAGACGAACACATTCGAGAGTCACTGTTGTCTGCAATCGAAGATAAGTTGATGCGACGCATGAAGGAACAGTATCAACAGAATCGAGCCGAGTTGGATACGCTCAAGAAGACGCAGTATGAATTGAAACAGGGGAAAGCCAAGTTGGATTCTATTTTAGAGCAATTAGCAAAGGAAAAGGTAAGCAAATATTGCAACACGAGCGCAATTCTATCAAAATATAGTCGTAAATGTGTCTAAAATCATGATTGATGACATTTTTATTGATTATATCATTATTTGTTAATGTTCCAGAGTGATTTGGATAAAAATATCCTAGTTCTCAAAGACAAAGAACAAGAACTTGAGAAAGCTATAGAACGACTCAGCAATCAAGAAGCCATTGATGTAGACGATGCAGTCACAACTACTGCACCCTTATACAAGCAGTAAGTGTTTAACATCCTAAAAATAATGAAATTAATAAATAAAAACTAAAAATTGTGCATTCATTCCAGATTGTTAAACGCATTTGCAGAAGAAGCAGCCTTAGAAGACGCCATCTACTACATGGGTGAAGCGTTGCGTTGCGGCGTGATCGACCTGGACGTCTTTCTGAAACAGGTGCGAACGCTCTCGCGGAAGCAGTTCATGTTGCGCGCCTTAATGCAAAAGTGCCGCCAGAAGGCAGGCCTCATGCCTGTCTAATGTTCCCCGGAAGAGCGAACGAATAATATTTACACATTCACACAAAGCACACTTGGCTTGTTATTGATTGCTATTATTGAGAAATGTTATAAACCACATTTTATCGACTTATATTATTATTATATTATAGAAAAACAAAATATATTTAAAATTTAAACCCATGTTTGTAATTCTAAATAAAAGCAGAACAGACTGAGTCTTGTGGTTGTTGTGATTTTGTAGTTGCAACTTAAATCTTAAATTACTGAGTGCTTTTTATTAAACATATATACCAACTGACAATAGCAGGAATAAAATACCAAATCCAGAAAATATTGAGGCCACCAATGAGACTAGTAGTTCCTTGCGCAGGCTGCGCGTGTGTTTATTGCTCGTTACTTCGTAGATGAAGAACCACGCCGTGAAAAAGATGCCAATTCCCAGCAGGATTAATGTCAGGTGTGGAAAGATTGCTGGGTTGACTGGAGATACATATCTTGTCATTGAGTCCATCTACAAAAATTTAACATAAATATATCGCCACTCAAAACAGTTAAATGCTTACTTTGTGTTTGTTGTATTTGGCTTTCAGTGCTTGGAATTAAGAACTATCTAATAAAACTTGTTGGAATAACGTGGCAAACAAACACCGGCTCGTTTTCTGTCAAACAAGTAACAAGATGGAAACAAGTCATCGTGTTTCAATGTGCGCATGCGCAGTAACACCATAACACATTTATCTAACTTTAACAATTATTCAAGTAAATATTTTATATTTAGAGTTTAGTTGTAAGTATAATAATATTTCATAAAAATATAATATTTATTTTAAGGTTGTTTGTTTATTTATCTTTTGTATTTTTGTTGCAAGTTCAATAAAAAATAATTATGTGCAATTAAATGCTTTTAAATATTTAAAAACTTCAAGTACTTGCACGTAACTACTTTAACGACTAATTTTTATCTTCTAAACGCTTGTTGTAAACAAGGAAGTAGTAAATTTCTCTTGGTAACAGCGACCTCAGCGTCCTCTAAAAATATTTCGATCAATATGACAGCTGACAGTGAGAAAGGTGAAAGAAACTGCCATTTCCCATTCTAATGTCAAGTGCGTCGAGTGTGAGGTTGGTGTGTGTTGTTTGTAAGCAAGGTGTTTATCGCCGGAATCGGGACATTTCCATCGCAATTAAAAGGTAAAGCACACCGGAACGCCTTGAAGTATAACGCTCGATAATCCACCGCGCGTTAGACGTCAGCGAATTGCCACAACTGTTCCACAAAGCAGATAACTGTTTATTTCCGAGGGTGCAGTTAAATGTGTGCGGTTGACATATGACAGATGACGATGGTCTGCTGCTCAACTGAACTCAACGAATATTTTCTTTCATTTGCATTGGAACGCATTAATTTATTAATTAAGAGCGTTCGATAGCGTTCAATTCGAGTCACTTTAACTAGATGATCGCGTGAGCTAAATAAACAGGGTCCAAGTAAGTGCGCGGTGGGCGTTTTTTACGATTTTCGTGTAGTAAAAGTCAAAATCAGCAGATTGCAAATCAGTGCTGGTTTTTAATTAATTATTCGGAAGATAAACGTGTTATAATAATAATTTTTGAAGAATTACACAATGTTTTAAATTCTACGTTTAACAGTGCTAAAATTTTATCGAAAAGTTGTTTAGATTGCAAGTTAGAGGCAATTAAAGTTGATTTTGCTTAAGTGCCCTATAAATCGTGAGAGAAAATTATATTCATTTTAATTTATTGACTAAATAATAAGAAATTGGTGCATAATTTGATATATATATATTTAGTTGAGACCGTTATTCTGCGCTTCGGTCATACTTATGCAGTAATATCTATTTTTAGATTGAAAAATCTACACAAAACAATGTTATTGCACTGGCATTGATTTGCACTTGTGAATGGAATGAACGAAGAAGACTTAATCAAGCGAGCGTTCGAAGAGCGAGAGAAAATCTTCAAGCGTTATGAGTTGGGCCGTGCGGAAGGCGCCGAGATTGACCCATGGGAAGATCCGCAGTTCGAGGTGTACCACGCCACCGACCGATATGGGTTTATACACGACAAACGGCTACCGGCCAAGCTGGACCCGCAGGAAGCAAAAAAGCAGCACATAGAACTCGAGCGCACCAAGAAGTGGCTGAAAATGCTCAAGTTCTGGGATACACCACAAGTCAAAGAGAAACTGCACAAGAGAATCTACAAAGGAATACCAAACTCATTACGTCCACAGGTTTGGATGAAGCTATTGGACGTCGAAGAGGTGAAGAAACGCAACCCAGGTCGGTACATGGAGATGTGTAAACTTGCGCGTTTGCATTCAACCGACGCGAGACAAATCGACTCCGATGTGAATCGTCAGTTTCGTGAACATATTCATTATAGAGAACGCTATAGCATTAAGCAGCAGAGTTTGTTCAATGTTTTAACCGCGTACGCGATGTACAATTCGGAGGTTGGGTATTGCCAAGGCATGTCGGGGTTGGCGGGTGTGTTGCTCATGTACATGGCTGAAGAGGAGGCGTTTTGGGCGGTGCATATTCTGCTCACGAGCGAAAAATATGCAATGCACGGATTGTACAAGGAAGGATTTCCTAAACTGACTAGATTCTTAGAGCACCATGACAAGATACTTACCAAATTTCAATCGAAGCTCAAGAAGCACTTTGACAAACACGGCTTGGATGCGATTCTCTACTCGTTGAAGTGGTATTTTGTTTGTTTCGTCGAGCGCGTGCCGTTTAGTCTCTGCTTGCGTATCTGGGATATTTATTTGTTGGATGGTGATCGGATTATTACGGCGATGGCTTATACGATATTAAAGTTACATAAGCGCAATTTGTTACGGCTCAATGATATGGATTCGATAACGCAATATTTGCAAGTAAGTTTGGAAGCTTTTGTATTCAATATTTTGTGGATAATTTGTCAAAAATTCACATTTTTTATTGTCTAGGTAAAATTATATAAAGATTTTCAATACGACGAAGATGTCTCAATTGCAAGTCTAGAAAAAACTCTGGAAGAACTCAAAAAAGCAAAAATGGAACATCCTGGTCCACCGACAAAGGATGAAATCCCAAGTAGAAAGTTTGGTGTTTTCGTGGAGCCAACCCTCGAGCGCAAAGTTGGTATCCGACAGGAAGAGTTCACCGACAAGGAGAAAGAGACGAGCCAAATCGTGACAATGCGTAGCGACGCGGCACGCATCTCGGTGGTGGAGAACGAGAACGAGTTCGAACACGATGCCGACAATCGAGAATCTCAGCTGAGCGCCGGCACCGAATCGGTGGGACACACAGGTACTGAATCTGATTTAGACACGTTTTCGGTAGGAAGTAGCAGGCACTCGTTGAGCAGTCGCTCGAGCAGTAAATGCGCTAGCTCCGAGTAGTAGACAGTTTGAATGCACCCGTTTGTAAGCCGGAAATGTGTATCTGTATTACTATTTTACACGTACTGCCATTTGCAATTTAGATAAATAGTCACGTTGAGTTTTATTTGATTTTAACGTAGTTAGATTAGTTAATTGTCCTATGAATCCCAGCGAATGATGATATTAACGTGAACAAACAATTTCACTCAACATTTAGTAATCGTTTATTTATTTAATTTAATATACGCAATCGAAACGTACTGATGCAGGAGATAATAGGCAATAATGAGGCGCACTGATTTATTGAAGCACATTCCACAAAATTATTTGATATTTGTATCAAGTGGATACACGGATTTATGTTGCCATACTTTTTGTTAGCTAGCTGTGACTAATATTTTCGTTCTTTTATCTACTACATAGTGTTACAATCAATACAAATTATTACATGTGTTGCCACTGGAGTGAACTAAATGTATCGTTTACATTTTTTTTTGTGTTGCAACCAAATGCAAACCACCAGCACGGATATTGTTTTAGCATGTGCTGTCATCATTGTATTTATACTGATTTAAATGCATGCTTTATCAATGTGATTATATTATTTATATATTTGTACCGATTATGAATGTATATATTTGAACACGCACTATTGTATTTATTTCTGTGTGTACATATAATCTTGGTTTCGGTTAACTCATCGGTTTCCATTTTAATGGGTTTTGCCAAATTGCAGTTATGTAAATAACATTTAGTTACTCAAGAATGCAATCAAAAGTTGTGATAACTTCGACTAATTGTTATGAGAAATGACGAATATTTAGCTGAACCCATTTATTAATCCAAGAATCAACCTAATATGAATGTTAAATACTTTCTTCCTTCATCGCACCAACTTATCTCGAATCACTGCTGTCGGTGCACATTTAAATCTAATTTCCAGAAATTAATCAAACCAATAATATGTGTTAATAGGTATGCCAACAATCAGCATATAAGTTTGGATGCGTTGTTTGGTATGTTGTGATTTAATTTAATCATTTTTTCTTTAAAGAACCACACTTTTCCCTGCACCCCGCTCCCGCAAAGCATCACATCCCTGAACACAGACTCCTCTCGTCGCGCCGCCATCTCCAGCATCCTCGTCATCGGCGTGTGCGTGATGTTCACCATCCTGACACCGCTCCTCTACCCTCAAGCATGACAATCGACACGTTTCACACCTAACCGTGGACGATGGTGCATGTTCCGTCGGTGTACAGTGCGCAATAATCCGAAAGATAAAATGAACCGATCGCAACGGGTAAGAGTCCTGAACTGAAACACGAACACGGTGCATGGCGTCTTTTATGTAACTTTTACTTAAAAGCTGGTTGGTTGTACTCTGTAATTGTAAGTAACACCTCACAATGTTTTATTTTATGTACCAGTAGTTGTTGATTTTGTAAATTTTTGATACTTGCTTTATGTTGAAGTAAAAATAATAATTAATCATATTTTGGGGACCATTTCAGAGTCAAAATTCTCATTCGATGTGGGCATGGACGACGCCAGCTCGCTGCTGGACTGTGAGCATACTGGATCGCGCAGATCTTTGGCGGACACGAGCGTTACATCCACCGCTGATCTGAGCGTCTTCTCGGCAGTGACGCGCTCGCAAGCGCACGATAACAGCTTGGATACGCATAGCAACATGTCTGATAATTCAGTGGGCGGCGGTAGTTCAGTAGGATCGGGTGTCGGTGCCAGTGCGCAAAAGGCGCTCAGCCTCAGCACGCATTCAACACCGCGTGCCACCCCGCACCAGCCTAGCCCTGATGTTTTGCGCATCTATGTACCGTACACTAGCCCGCTCGATACGCCCATCGCCAGTCCGCAAAATGGCGATGTGCACAAGTCGCTGCCGTATTCGTTTCCAGACAACCGCATCCGCATAAAGGTTGATAATGATGAGCTTTCGACGCCGATCGTCGAGCATGGTCACATTCGACCGTTCATTCTCGACAGTCCCGAGTTGGATTTGAAGTGAGAGCGCGTTGGGTAAACAATTGCATTTATCTTTTTTATACTCAGTACTTGTATATCGAAGGCAACAACAACGAAACGGCATTTGGTGCTTAGCGGCCTCGATGAATTTTCCAGTCTATGTTAACAGATGCTTACTCTTAGATTACGTTAAGTTAGTGCTACTCAAAACTGCATATAAGTACATACTTGCCAAAGTAATACACAATGTATAAAAAATCGAACTACACAAGTGATGTTTTATGTATTAAAAGAAAAACTGTTGGACCATTTTACTCATTGTTAGAATACTCAACACAACAAAACAAGATGGCGTACATTGAGTTTGTGGAAGTAGATGATTTGACTATTTTATTCATTCTTCGATAGTTCGTACCTATATTGTAAATAGTTTCAACTCAACTAGTCCACCAAAACTGTTGTATATTAAATGTCAGTGTGTGTTTTTCCGCATTTAGGATTGTATCAATATTGTATAAAAACGTTACAGTGTTGTAATTTAACCGTCCCGTTGTAGATGACAAATGAGAACACATTCAATAATTACATTCCGGTACAATACTTCCGCAAATATTTTTTAAATAACACTTATGTATGTGTGTGCCATAAACTTATAAGAGTGCGAATGGAGCATCGATTCAATTCAACTTAGACGCCGACAAATAAATCTTGAACTCGTGTAAATATCAGAAGAAATTGACAAACAAATGCAAAACAAATGATCAATTATGGTGTAAAAATACTCGGTACTGTAATTATATACTCGTAATCCTTATCTAACTGTGACACATTTTTAGTAATGTAAAGTCTTGATTAAGTGTGTAAAACTGAGAAACTGCTAACGAATGTTAGGAACTTGTTAATTGGGCACAGCCGTAGATATTTACACCTTGCAAAGAATGTGGAGAGGGTTGTTCAAGCTGAATTTCATTGTTTTTATTAGGAAGTCAGACGATCCAATTTTGCAAATCTTCTTGGCTTAAGAAACAGTCTCAAAATGAATAATTTTTCGTAAAATCAAGTCTAACTCGTCACGATTGACAAAAGATAAATGGTGCGTTCGACAAGATGTATATACTCATGATACGACCCGTATTTGATCGTAGTGTTCAGTCGAATATGTACGAGCATTTGTTATAGATTAATATTTTATTTATCTACATATTCGCAACTAGATTTACGACTTATTTATTTGTAATTTTCGGTCAGGGGAGTCGATTTTAATATTAGTAACATTTGCAACTCTTCATTCAATTCTGCATTTCCAGTGCATATCTCTAACCACCATTTCTAAAACTTTTTACGCAACTACTTTAAATTATTATACATGATTCTAGTAAAAACACGGTGATCGTGTACAAAATTGTTATTATATTTCCTATGTTTCGCATTTTCGCAATTTCCACAAAACTATTATTATAAACTAAACTAAAACGTCTGGATTGCAATAATAAATAAAAACACAAGAAATCTTTTGTTTTGTTGGATCTACCAAATACTATAATATAAAATGCACGCAGCTGCACATACAAATAGATAAATAAAAAGATTAAAATCCTATCTTCATTGATGTGAAGTTGTCATTGGTTGGATAAATAATTCTTAAATTTCTTGCAACGTCCGAAAGTTATACAGTCTAGAATCCATCCTTCTTTCACATAGACTTTAGATTCGCTTTCATTGTCACTATTACCCCCTATTACAATTTTTGCTGCTTCTATGTCATTTGTCACTTCACCTTTGCAAAGTATTACCAGTTCTTCCAAATCCTGCTTGCTGGGTCGACAGTCAGCAGAAATGTGAATCGCTCCGCAACTTGTGAACACGTCATGTGAGAACGCCTTCCCGAATGATTCCCGTTGCAATCTAAGCTGCTGCACCAAAGGTGAGAATTCAGTTATTTCATAAGCATCTTCTTCTAACCATTTGCCGGCTTTCATTGAATCGTACAACTTGAACAAGAAACAAAAATGAGGTTAGGTTACGATTATAGGTTAGATAGTTTTTGAAAATGTGTCAGTTAACTAACCCATTCGCTGCGTAATATCCATATTCCTCGCGACATGGCACGTAGTAAATTCACAGTTCTGGAAGCCTCCATCGCAACGAGGTGAGTAGTCCTGCTGCTCACATTTTGTTCAATGATAAATTCGTCTAACTTTTTAACAATATTTTGGAATTCTACGATTTGCTGTGAGTGAAAACGCGTGCATACTATCGATTTATTCTTTTTTTGTTGTGTTTGCGTCGGTATCGGTTGAGAGCGCTGCGTTTGTAATGGTAGCTCTTCAAAGTCGTCATCATTATGAACTTTTTTATTTTCATCTCTGGTTTTTGCCCCTTGATTACCAGAAATCGGAAGTGATTCAAGTCTATCCTCCAATTGTTTTCTTGTCGCGTCAGTTCTAAGTTTCAACTGTGTATCTTGTGTTCGAATGTTGCGTTCTTCTTCCTCATCGTCTTCGTCAAGTATTGATTCCTCGAGTGCATTATCAGGATTACAAAGTTTGCGCTTATTAGAAGTCTTTGAAGCATCACTTGATGTAGTGGTGGTAGTGGCACGCGAAGATGTCAAATTACTGATTAGGCTCGGCCTACCTGATTTTGATCGCGTCGATTGCTCACCGCGCGATGTATCCGTACTATCATCAATAATTGAATAACAAGTGGAGGCGGTCTTGGTTGAACTGGTATTCATTTTCTTATTGTTGCTTATCGAAGTTTTGTTTAGTTTTTGACTAAGGTCAGATAAAGGACTTACTGCGATTTGTTTTGTCTTTGTCGCATTGCCTGGTGATCCTTCATTTGAATTTGTTGACGAACTTTCCCCCTCCACCGATGTTCCTACTGAGACTCTCAGAGATGGAACGCCTGAAGAATTCGTTTTTTCGGATACTCTTAATGATATCTCCGCATCGGTTGAATTTTTCGTTTTCGCATCGGAAATATTAGATAGTTGGGACTTTGATACATTCAAATTGTGTTCATTCGTCCTCATATGAATTGTCATTCTTCTTGTAATTCTTCTGGTGGTTAAATCATTCGTACTTGTATTCGCTGATGATGCCAAAGAACTTCTAGTACGTTCCATAATCTGGTTACTTTGCTTCTTATTCACCACAGGTGTCTTTAGTATAGCAGTGGATGTCTTCCTCTTAGTTTGAACAATCTCCTGATAATCATCAGAACCATCTGAAATACTTTTTGCACTTGATGATGAAGCTGTAGAAGTCTTTGTATTTTTCTCAGGACTCTTACTGTTCTTCAGTGACTTTGGTGTTCCGTAAGATGAATTTTTATTAGCTTGAGCCACTTCTGTGCCATCTGAGATTCTTAATGACAATTTCTCAAGGGATGCATTTGTATCTTTGTCATCAGATTTCCGGGAAATAACTTTGATCTGCTCCGATGGTTCAGGTGTTTTTTGTAAAATTGTATTCCTTCTTGAAGACCTCTTTACTGCAAATGATATTAAATCATCAGATTTACTAGTGTTTGTTGATGATATAGAAGTTCTATCTACAACTGATTTTGTCAAGTTTGTTTTCTCGGAAGTACATTTGCATTAGTAATCTCCATATCAGTAACTAAATTATTGGTTTTCCTTCTAGTAACATTATTTTTCGGAGTATCACTAATTGTTTTAGTTAATAAACTTCTTTGCTTCGTTAAATCCATCGAAACACTTGCATTATCAGTCTCATCAACAATAATACCCAATAATTCCGGGTGTAGCAGTGTCCTCCTTGTACGTATTGGAGTATTGGGTGTGGCAGGTACTGCTGTAGGTGATAAATCACTCTCCTTTTCTTCCGGTACCCTTTTTGTCTTAGGTGTGTTCGTGCGCCTCATAGTAACATGTTTAAACAAACTTTTCTTTGTTGTTAGCTCTGAACTACTACTGTTTTCTTTATCTGCATCATAGGTGCGTCTAATATAAGAATTATTTCGAAGATTTTCACTAAGTTGCATCGATGCATTCAACTCAGCTTTAGATTTGCGCGATGCACGACCTGCAATCAGCGGCGTATCTGATGATGCATCAGACATATCAGAGCTTGAACTATCATCATGAGTATTCTTGTTGTTAATGATCGACTTATTTTGAAGTCTTTGTCGCGTCATATTCAAAAGCGTAGAGTTTGTGTCAGGCTGTGAACTTTCAATGATTTCATCATCATCTTTATCATTAATCATAAAATCATCATCTAGTTCAAATCTAGAGGTGATCGTCTTGCGTGGTGAAATATTTGAGAGTGAAGATGCGCTTAAAGACCGACGTTTGGTGCCCAATTTCTGAAATATTTACTTTTACATTCATAGAACCAAAAAAAAAACTCATGCAGCAAGCACAAACTGAACTCAATACTTACCTCATAAACTCAAACAATTTTAAAACCTTCACCCTTAATATAACATTCACAACATGCAAGCTTATACATTCATTTTTATATATTAAGATACAAAAGTAATTAAGTAAACAATATACTTCACAAAGTTTATCACAGGTTTGTTTAGCATCATAATCACCAAGTGCTGGATAGATTTCTGGTGGTGCTCTGATTCCAGTTCTGTCCATAACATCCAACCATAAGATAGACACCAATGGCAACTTCAATTGTTTTGTTTTCTTGAAAGTTTCATAACTCCCATCCTGTTGAAACAATTATTAGTGTTTCTACCAAGTTTAGTTAATATCTGATTAACTTACTTTATAAATAACATGTGTACATGCACTAGTCAATTTTGGAGCAACAGTGGCTCCCATCTTCAGAAGCAATGCTTTAACTCCTGCAGATTTGTCAGTATAGTTTGCATCCATCACCTCAACATAAGCATTAACTCCTTTCAATAAACTTTTCTTGGGTGGTTTTCTGGATGGTGTAAGTGCCAAACTCTTCATTTTATTCTCAAATTTGGCTGCACTTGCAGCAGCATTCATTGTTGTAGTTTCCGTTGTTTTTCCATCATTTTATACTTCATAGAAGCTGTTGGACTATCATTTGACACTGTAGATTTAATTTTATTGATAGGACTTGAAGTCCCTTGTTCTTTTTGTAAATGCTCCTGAATTATAGCTCTATTTTCATGTAGTATTTGTATCACCATTCGTTTTTTCTCTGGATCGTTTAAGAGTTTCTCAAAAAGCACATTTTTCGCTTCTTCTGAAGGCAATTTGGCCACATCTGCTAACTTGCGTTGTCTTTTGGGATTCTTTTCCTGCCGAGGAGGCACACGTTGTGGTGATAGTTGTATAGACATTCCAGAAAAGCTCCTTGTTGGATTAGAATTATTCGAATCCATGTCTTGTTAGTGTATAAACTTTAAAATTACTTAAATTGTAGAAAATGACCGTTACAGATTACAAAGAGACATGAATGAACATGTAAGACACAATGTATAAAGGTGGAGAACTGTCATGTGTACAACATGTTGCATATATGCACACTGTATACTGAGACCTCTAGATTTTAAAGCATTTATTAATAGAAACGTGAACGTCTTTCTTTCACGATTTCTAAGTTTATTCGAAAATTATCATCTTCTCCTGGTTCTAAACGCATTTCTTCATTTATATTCCCCATACCAATGCAAATCATTTCTTTATACTGCTCAGGACGGAAATCATCAACCTGACTTCCATGATCGTCCCATGGATTCCATACGATGAAATCCTGCAAGCCAGAATTTTCAACTCTCATCCTACAATCCGAAGTAACATGGAAAATGTCCACAGTACTTGGCGCTTGTTTGTAAATTCGGTACGTCCAGGCGGTAATCTCAATTGCCTTTTTCCGATCCGTTCGCAATACGTCATCTTCCTTTATAGTCTCGTCGTTATATTGCACATTGTTCATTCCTACAATCTGTATCGTCTCGACATTCGGGACCTTGATAAACATCGGATACATTAGATTAAAACGCATCGGTAAAACTGGACTAGTGTTTTGAATGTGGCTTTTGATTTCTAAGCAATACTCTGATAACCTGATTGTATTGGTAATTTTAAATTGAAAGTTCCAAAATGATCTGGTATGTGGATTGTCCACTAGCTCAAAAACAGCAACAATATCTTGAGTGTCTTTATCTAAGACAGGGCCTTTAATAAGTTTCCATTTTGATATGCATGCAAATCCGTTCGGTGGACCAAATTTCCAACCGCCATATTTCGGAAAAGCAATTGATACTCCACCCATTATTTCTTTGCGTTGATTGAGTTTGGCGTGGCGGCTTAGAAACAATTGTTCCCAGTTCTTCACGCGCCATGATGTTACTGTGCATCCATGCACGTTTATTGAACATTGGGTGTCATCACTCCATGCGAGTGTTACCACATTACTATTCTTGGGACATTTTCTCAACATTTCTAAATAATTTTAAAGCGGTTATAAGAAATAAAACAACAAATCTGTCATAAATTGTCAAATTTTTATTATGAAATAATCTGCGATGTGTATATTACACGTGCCTTTACGAGTATTTAATCATCGTTTGATCTAGTTTGCTGTGCAATTTAAATTGCAAATCCACATTTTATCCAGTTCAATTATTATCAATGCGCAACAAGCGCAATAGACGCAATAAACAAGAATTATACATTCAAAAAAAACCTCTCAAGGATTTATCTCAAGTCGGAACCTTTCGGTTTGTCGCGTTAATCCGCATTAAAGCAGACAGCCACAATTAGAAATGGAATTTGATTTCATTATGTTTCATTTGTTGCAACATAACAAATAATCATCATACACTTGAAGCATGATCTCAAAGTTTTCAATCTCGCAGCTGTACAATAATAATAAATATCCCAGCGTTTATTCATTTTCCAAAATTATTTCTATTTTATGGGATAAAAATGGATTACACATTATTATCTTACTTTCACTACAATCTTATCTCAAATATTTAATGCTGGTTAGACTCTAATCACATGATTTATACCTATACTAAAGTCTGTTGTCGTGCGAAAAATTACACATCAAACAAATTGTTTGTATTAGAGATTTAAACATCTTAAAGACTTTACGAAACCCAGAAATTCTCACTAAACGTTTATTTCCTATTTATTTTACAATTACACATGATGATATCATTATCTTAATAATTGGCATTTAGGCACACAACACTTGATAATTTATTGCTTTATTTTGTTTTTTTTTTCTTCCAAAATTTTTATGATTATTTATTGATTAGCAAAATATGCTGCACTATCGTATTAATGTTAAATGTACGTAATTTTAATATGAATCTAAGAAAACGTTTACTTTACGTAGGATTGCGGCGAGTGATTCGAACTGAAATCCACAATGGCGATTCAAGTTTTATATAGCCATGCACAAAAGTTGCACACAGCACTACTAATTTCTAAATAGATATTTACAGCGAAGTGGATGGAAGTTTTCAATCAATTTTTCTGTCATATCAAATCACATACAGTATGCAATGCGTTTCGAGATTAATTATTTATAAAGTTAATCATGAATTTCGTTTCCTTTTACGATGTTTTTCAATTTTGTAGATGTAGTATCAGTCGAATCAAATTCAGGTTTTAAGCCTTTGCACTCGTAAAATCGTCTCAACAGTGTGGGTTTTTTTTGCTTGTTTGTTTTTCGGTTGGAATTGTTTGAATGGTTTGAATTTGTCACCGCCGGAGAGTTGTGCAACAAGTTTTTCGATCTGCATTCATTCTAGACGTGCTTGCGACAGAACGAATGGCGGTTCATGAACGCAGCCCATTTTATATAAAAATATCTGATTTTTTTTTTTCAAAAATGATTTCTATCTGCAATCATTAAATTCAGGCTATATTAGAAACATGAATTCGTTGAAACAGAAAGCAATTAATAGCTTAATGATGGATTAAACGATTTTAAGTTAAGTAGTAGTAGACTTAAGCGTATAATTTATTTATAATGTTGACATTTGTAGCTTATATTCCTAAAAAATATAAGACGTTCGATTGCTATCTTGAAAACTTCACTTTTACTTTGTAACATTGCCGAAAATATTTTACAAGTGCCCTTGTATATATAATTAATTATTTATTCAATTTAATAGATCATTGTGCGCATTTCAACCAACAAATTTACTTTGCAATATCAATATGTAGGTATATAGGTAATTTACATTTTATATTTGTAGGTTATGTAATGATATACTGCGGCAACACACATTACAAGTAAATTCAACACTAGTGACGCACATTTTAAACTTTTATTTAATATTACTCAAATGTGTTAATATTATACTCACTTGGTGTAACTTTATATGAAATTTGTTAAGGACTAATATTATTCTATCCTAATCTTGACATGAATATTTTATGACTGTAAAAAATACTGTTTGGAAATCACATCACCACATAAAGAAATTACCGTGTGGTATTCACAGGAGCACGTGTAAAAAATCGTTTATACATAATTACTGTTACATTCACAGCAAAACTAATCTTCAGACACAATCAATGATAAATTAATAACAAAAATAATTATTTGTTTTAATGACTACTTCTGAACTGGAAAGTTTTAATATTTATATAAGAGCCATCCATAACAACAATGCGTGATTGATTTAAATACATAGCAAAAAACCAATAATTTCAACACCTATCAACACCAATATCAATGTTTGCCTGAGTTGCATTTCAACTTGTAACGACTGATAATAACCTGCCTGGTTGAGTAAATACTTGATCTTAAAGTGTGTACTTTATTTCTCATTCAAATATTGTCTAGAAACAAAAGTACGAAGATATCATTCTGCCTTGAGAGTTTTTTCCATGGGTTTGATAACTTTGCGCGACTTTGAGAGGTTTGCAGGATGGCGTTGATGGGAGCGCACCGCGAGAGAACCTCGAACCGCCCCCACCATCGCCACCCGTCGCACGCGCTTTTAAACTGCTAACCGCGATGGTCTGTGCTGTCTGCTGAGTGCTGCGCCACCGACTGCCGATTTGCTCGCACTATAAAATATAAAAGTGAGCAGCCGTTTGAAAATCGATGCATTCACACACTACACACTACCGAAGCATGTACAGAGTGTACACCCACACGCGATTAAGTTTGCTATTATTTCCAATCGCAGTTTTCAATCACATCTGACGACGGTGTGATAGATTAATAATCGGTGATTATTAATTATTTTTTAAATTAATATATAATAACAACTTGTAAAGTGATAATAATTTTTTTATGATATAAACATAAGTTAAATTTACATTAAATAGTAAAGTTAAAAAATACGTACGGTTAGTTGCGCTGTTTTCGCGTGCAAATTCAAGTGCTAATTTCCTTTTCTGCGCTCAAGGAGTCATCAAACGTAAGTGTGCCTTTGAAATCATATTATTTTGTTTACTATGTCACATCAAGTGTGCAAAAGTTTACTCTAAGTATTGAAGTACAACTTAGGCGCACAATAATATAATTAAGATTATAAAAATATTGATTGTACAATGCCAAACAAATTACATTATTGATTATTGCTTAAATTCATTAAGTATAAAATTGTGTGCCTACATAATAGACTAAGGATTTCATTGATTAAAAGTTATACCCAGTTTTTTATCTAAACAAAATGTAAAAAGGTATTTTTTATTTCAAATTTCAACTTTTAGTACAAATATCTTTAGGTTTAACAACGTTTTATAAACAAAACATTTATTCTTTTATTACTTCAGAAAAATTTGGTTTTTGCACGATTTGTTTTTAAGTAATTAATAAATAACTATAAATAACTAAGTATGTAGTTAATTTGATCGTTAAAATGTGTTTGGAAAATTTAAATTGATCTATAAAAAGTTTCTCTGATTTATTGTTGATAATAACACAAACCTGTTTTGCGTCCGCACACACCGTTAAAACACTTAATAGTAAATTTAATAAGAATATTCTATTTAATTAGTTTATCGGTGATAAGAGAAAGTGTAAAAAATGCTGCAATATTTTTATTAAATTTATTAACGTAGTACCATAGTTAAATTGAACAAAGTATGACCAGATGTTTTGAAATTCAAATTTCTGCAAATAGTTTAACTGTAAAATGTGTAAAAGATTTGTTGCACAAAACGCTCGCCAGTAAATACTCGTAGAAATATATTACTAGGTCAATAATTTCAAGATTGCGTTTGCCGACAAGTCGAGATTGTAATTTATTTACCTATTATTTTCCCGAGCAGTGCAAAGTAAACTAGTCGATGAGTAGTTATATGTACTATATATCTACACATCGTGTTACTATTATGTATTGCGCAGAGACGTCTAATAATAAAATACTCATTGATGTAACGAGAGTCCGAGACATAGAAATCGAGGATGATATAATCACGCAAGTTGTAACGCACACCTTGCTGATGAAAAATAAACATAGCAATTTTTTAAAATCTATATCTAAATATGTAGCTAGATTAATAAATGAATAAAAAAATCAGAAAATCACTTGTTTTGATGATATAGTGCCATAAATTGCAAAAACGGTAATAAAATTTGAATTGTTTAATAGGGTTTTACATTGTCGTTTCAAAATGCAACATAAACGGATTTTGACTATAAAAAATTGATGGATGTGAGATTTTATTTATTTATTACTTTATTACTTTATTCCGTGTATTTGCTATTGTTTCAGTGAGCATTATTATTTTATATTGGCGTTATAATTCCTAAAATAATTCATAGTAATAAATATTAATAATAAATTAATGAAACATCAATTTTCCAAATTATCTATTTATCATTTCCAAAATTCAGAGAATAATGTCAATGTACCAGTTATTTATCGGTTCAGCTTTCTCTAGGAAAATATTTCGTTAAATTTCTAAGGTTAATAATTAAGTGCGATTTGTAATGTTTACGATTTGGCAATAACAGTCCAACACTTGTACGCTTAGTGATTGTTTCATTCGCTCGTTATTTTATTACACACACTCAATTTTGATTGCACTATTGCACATGCACTCATTTATATAACAGGGTGTAAATAACGAATAAACTTCTTGGACGCATTATTATTGCAAATAACTAACAAACAATAAAGAGACTTACGTGTGGCAATTGTCAGAGGTAAATATTTCTTTAGAGTTTTTACTAACAATGCAAAATTATATTGTTAATGTTATGGATATATTTTATATGCAACATGACTACAAATATGCGTGATATTTCCGATAAGTCTACAATTTGAAACTCACGTCGTCCAAATCGTGCAAATATTTTTCAGCAACCATACAAAACTATGCACATATTTTGACTACTGAATTAGACAGACCTGCGTATGTTTTCTAATTATTCATACACTTTAAGTGATAAATTGTGGGCTTTACAGGATAAACAAGTGTAACTAATTTCGTTTTGTTATTTAAACTTTTGAGTACTTA